CTATATTAATTTCTCCAGATATGGCTTCACCTTACTCAGTAGAAGTTGAACAAACTAAAATAAATTACTTAAACTTGTTTGTTTAGGTTTTACCAAACATGGCTTCACTTCCAGATATAACTGCTGTATCCTATGATATCTGTGGTGTGGTGCGAATGTTTGGTTCTCGTCACAAAGCAAAGGTAAACTCCTGTACATATTTATGTTTCTCTGTTGTTACTTATCTCTCGTGTTTAACGTTTTAATATTTTAAGTGTAGGTAGCTTTGACTCATGGACCCACAAATGTCAAACCACAAATGAAGCAAACAGATGACACCGGAACTTTCTGTTTTGAGGTTTGTTGATGCAGATATGTATCTCTACTAAATCCACTAGACAAAAGTTAGTTTTATGAAGTTAACTCCCTTAATTCTTTGGAGAGTTGTTTCTGGCGTATGTGGTGACTTCGTCTCTTTTCTGTTTATAAATGGAGAGTTGTTTGTGGCTTATGTGGTGACCTCGTTCCTTTTCTGTTTATGAATGAGTTCTATGTTTCTCACGTTATAACTTCTCTTTTATTTATTCACTTTTTTGTTATCATATATATTCCAGGTTCCACCAGGCGAGTATAGGCTGTCTGCTTTGGCTGCTACACCAAAGGGTGCTTCTGAGCTTCTATTTTTGCCAGCTTATGTGGATGTTGGTGTCAAAAGTCCATTGTTGAACATAGAATTTTCTCAGGTGATTCGCTCTCAACAACTCCACTCTCTTGGACGAACAATAGACTTCTACGTTTTCAGGATGATTTTCTTTCTTCTAATTTCTTTTGGATGTTGATGCAGTCCCGAGTCACTGTGCATGGTTCTGTTACTTGCAAGGAGAAATGTGGTCCGTCTGTCTCAGTGGCGCTTGTCGGAGTAGCTGGTGATCGTGAAAAGAAGACAGTTGTTTTAACCGAGGAGAGCAGTCAATTTTTATTTTCAGACATATTGCCTGGAAAATACAGAGTTGAGGTGGGCTGCATGGTTTCTTCTCAACATTTTTTTCTCCTCTTTACTTCTGTAAGAGAGATGGAAAAAATGACATTACTAGCCAAATACATTTACTAATTGCTTGTCTTGTTTATAAATTTAGGTTACAAGCATTTCACCGGAAGCCACATCTAATGAAGACAGTTGGTGCTGGGACCATAGCTCGATTGATGTGAATGTTGGAACTGAGGATATCAAAGGGATTGAATTTGTCCAGAAAGGTTACTGGGTTAATATTATCTCCTCCCATGAGGTGGATGCTAAAATTGTTCATCCTAATGGATCACCTACTAGTTTGAAAATCAAGGTATTCTTTTCCTGTGAATTCTCCTTGAGTTTTGGCTATATAGGGTGCTATATTTAAACTCTGTCAAAACTAATTATCTTCTTCATTTGTGTTAATTACAGAAAGGTTCACAGAAAATATGCGTTAAGTCACCTGGAGGACATGAGCTTCAGCTTTCTGACTCATGCATGTCCTTTGGGAGCAATTTAATAAAGATAGATGTCTCAAATCCAAAGGTTTTAGTTTGTAATGTTTTCTCTTTTGTTTTAATATTCTTTGGCTTCTCCTTCATTTAGCATTTACATGCTTTTCTCTATGTAGCCTATTCTTCTGAAAGCAGAGAAGTACCTCCTCAAAGGTCTGATAAATGTGGAGTCTAGTTCAACCGAAATTGAGTCTGAATTGCCAGAGGATTTCATTGTTGATATTCAAGACAAGGACGGACAGGTCATCAACAGTATTGCTGCCAAACTTGCATCTGATGGGGGTGACGTTTATGAGTACCAAAGCTGGGCCAATCTTGGTGAAAAGATTAGCTTTGTTCCTCGAGATTCTAGGTATGATTTACTAATTATGATTTCAGGGGAATTGTGAACTAGACTTCAAATATTTGGAGTCAAATGTCTCAGGAATGCATCATAGTTCATAGAAGAGAAATTTTTGTTTTAAAGTCCAACAACCAAAAGACTGCTTGGGTGCTTGAATTTTTCTCCAATATTGTTGAAGCCATTATTATTTTCAAGTTACTTCAGCTGTATTCTGTTTCAGGGTTAATGTGGAGAAGAAGATGTTGTTTTATCCTAAAACGTTTCATGTAAGTATTAACTAGTACTGCTTGCCAGTAAAGATTATATAATGGGAACATCAAGCTTAATTTATATTTGATCTAATAGGCTGTAGTGTCAAATGACGGATGCCAAGCTTCAGTTTCTCCATTTACTGGCCGGCCTGGTCTTTACATACAAGGATCGGTTTCTCCTCCTCTTCCTGGTGTTCATATTAAGGTTTCCGCTGCAAAAGACAGCCTGATTTCTTCACTTAAGAAAGGTGAAGTAGCTATTGAAACAAGCACGTCAGCAGATGGTTCATTTGTTGCCGGGCCCTTGTATGATGATATAACATATGCCACAGAGGCTTCAAAGGTAGGTGTATATTATACTGATAATTTTTCATGCCCATGTAAATGGACCTCGAGATGATGTTTTGCCTCATTTTTCTAACCTTAGGTTAGATCTCATCCATCTGGTTACGCTGTAAATCTCACTTGTATTCATTTGTTCTGAACCAATGTGTTCCTGATCTTGGCTTACACGTGCAGCCTGGCTACCATATTAAAAGGCTAGGACCATATTCCTTCTCGTGCCAAAAGCTTGGTCAAATCTCTGTGCGCGTATACTCAAAGGACAATGCCGAGACATTAATTCCTCCGTTGTTGTTATCATTAAGTGGCGATCATGGTTACAGAAACAATTCTATATCTGGCGCTGGTGGACACTTTGTATTTGATAGCTTATTCCCTGGAAATTTCTACTTGCGTCCCCTTCTTAAGGTAATTAACTCATACGCCCCTGCATTCCTAGCAAAGAAATGTTTTAAAATGCTATGACTGGCTATGATCTAAAATAGAAAACAACAGCATTCATTGGGAGCATTCTTTAATAGCTCGCTCATAACGTAAAAAGTTACCCAAAATAAACAAAGTATGAACTTTCTGAGTATATATCATCTCCTCAGGAATATTCTTTCAAACCGTCAACAATGGCAATAGAGCTGGGTTCTGGGGAGTCCAGTGAAGCTGTATTTGAGGCTACTCGTGTTGCTTACAGGTTTGATCTTATTCTAAATTATCATTTCCCACTATTAGTTCCTGATTTTAACGTACGTCAAAAGAAGCTAATGCCTTGATTAGACTGGAATAAATTGTTTCCGGGCTCGTAAAACTTTTTAGGCTCATTTCTTTAAGTATGATTGCACCAGGGCTCACTTCTCTGCAAAAAAAAAAAAAAAAACACTTTCTTTGAAACTTGTACGGTTGTACCAATTCATAATGACCAAGTAATATCTGTCACTTTTAAGTTTCAATTGAGATCTCATTGATCTTTACTATCAGCACATTCTGATTTTGGAGGTTTAGATTTTGGTCTTAAACAGTCATTTTGCTGAACCATCGTCTTGCTAGTTGAACCCTTACCTATATTTGTAGGTTTAGACTACATTCTATCTAACCTTCTTCATTTCTGTAACAATATACCTTGTCAATTCCTTTGCAGTGCAATTGGTAGAGTTGCTCTCCTATCTGGCCAGCCACAAGAAGGTGTTGCGATTGAAGCTCGCTCTGATTCCAAAGGATACTATGAGGAGACTACGAGCGATAATAATGGAAATTATCGACTGAGAGGGTTACATCCAGATGCAACATATGTAATTAAAGTGTCGAAGAAAATTGGTTCAGGCAACAACAAAATTGAACGTGCATCTCCAGAGTCGGTTTCTCTTCAGGTTTGTTTCTGTTTCTCCAAGTAATATTGATTCTCATCATCCCCAATATCAACAACAGGATTTACCTGACAATTTTCTTATTATAGATTGGGTATGAGGATATCAATGGGCTCGACTTTTTGGTATTTGAACAACCAGAAACGACCATATTAACATGCCATGTTGAAGGAAAACAAAAAGAAGAACTAAACTCGAATCTGCTAGTGGAGATCAGATCAGCCATTGATGAATCTAAAATAGAGAATGTCTTTCCACTACCACTGTCCAACTTCTTCCAAGTAAAAGGCTTACCCAGAGGTAAACACCTTGTGCAGCTTAAGTCCAGTCGTCCTCTAATCTCCCACAAAGTGGAATCAGAGATTATTGAAGTTGATTTCGAGACAAATACCCAAATCCATATCGGTCCACTTCGGTACAGTATCGTGGCAGATCATCAGAGTCAGGTAAATAGATAACTGAAAGAGTCTTTCCACATTTTCAATAGAACGAGTTTTGGTACTAGTTTTCTAATTGTGGTTTGATTTGTATATGTTTCAGGAAGTGACACCTGCAGCTATATTGCCACTGGTTATTGGCGTTTCGACAATCGCTCTGTTCCTCAGCATCCCCAGGTAATAATAATAACCAAATTGTAACATAATGTAATATGAAACATGTTCATAATTAGTAATCCACATGCTCGTATGATAACAAGGTTGAAAGACATATACCAAGCCACGGTTGGGATTTCGTCTCCCGGGTTCACTGCATCTGCCAAGAGAGAACCTCGAAAAGCTGTTGCTAGAAAGAAGACGTTCTGAAGAATATTATTCAATCTCTTCGGTTTTTTCCTTCTTTTTTGTTTTTGTTTTGTTATATATTATGTCGGTAGAGTGAATTTATTCGAAACTTGCAGAACTCACAAACTCCTCCTCTAATCCATTTTAAATTTTAGAGAAACATTTTGCTCAACAGTTAATTTTTCCATTTCATTCCTTTATAAATTTGATTTGTGCTAGAATCTTTTTCTCTATTACTATTTCCACTCTGTTTGAAACATTACTGATCACTTGAAACATATTGTACGATCTCCGATCTTCATAACTTAGAACAAACGAGACTTGAAAAATTAGCATAAGTTATAAGTAACTTCTTGTTGTTCATCACCAACTGTCATCAGATTCTCACAAACGTCTCGTTGGATTGGGATTACAAACCCCGAACATGAAACTTCTTGTTGTTCATCACCAACTGTCATCAGATTCTGACTCGACAACTTTGCTTTTGAAGACTTTTTCTAGAGATCACGACAAGACAACAACGGACAAACAAGTCTTTCTTCTTCGAGTTCTGTCACTTTTCCTGATAATCTAATCAACGAATGTCAAGGCGAAACCACCCAAATCTTAGGATCCTGCGACGGATTGGTCTTAATTGGGATATATGGTTTTAGGTACATTTGCTTAATCAATCCAACAACGGGAGTGCATCGAACACTCTCTCCAGAATTATTGCAGTGGCCTATACATAATTATGGTTTCCGTTCTGGTGTAAATAGTCCAACGATTACAAAGGATCGGACACTTTTTCAAGGATATACAACGTTCTTTGAAAATTGTACGTCCTTCTTTTTGTTATTAACTGACTATAGTTTTAAACTGACTATAGTTTTAACTGATTATAGTTTTGGATGTGATAATCACTATATAATATCTGCATATATGTAGAATACGATGCACGACAAAGTTATATATATGTACCATGCATCATCGTAGTGTAATCGTGGCTTTATTATTGACGTTATTGCATCAACACGGGAATAATTAATTATTAAGTAAATTGACCAATTTTTTTTTTTCTGAATAAAAGATCAATTGACGAAGTTTTGTACGTAATACTTCCAATGATAAATAAGTTTACATATTTGACCATGCATTTCTTATATCTTCTAACGTCTATATATATTTTTGTTCATTTTGAAGTTAAACTATTGGCCCTAATGCCACTTTCCGTTGGATTTGGAAAAGACATTACTACAAAATCATACAAGATGATTTCGATGTACTCGATAAAAAGCCATCTTCATGGAATTGGATATTTTAATTAACCGTTTCAGTGTCAAAGTTATATCTTTTGATGATGGCGAGCAAAGAGACGCCGGCTGGTACGATTTAGAGGACTACAAAGTTTGCAATGAACAAACACCAGTTTACGCAAACGGGTCACTTTTTTGGTTGACATTATATTATTTTACTTTCGAATATAAAACATTTTCAGAGTTGCCTTCACATCTATTAGCTATTGATCTGCACACTGAACAGTTTCGATGGGTATCATTACCAAAATGTTACATCCGTTACTCTCGTGGTGTACAAATGTGGAGCCTAAATGAACGTTTGTGCTACACATACAATGTTCTGAGTTAGACGTTTGGAGTTTACAACGAGAAGAATATTCTACTCAAAATTGGGAGAAATTATTTTCTTTTAATATTTTGAATATCAGTAGATTAGATGCAAAATGTTGGATGCTTGGTCTAAGAGCTGCTTACTTTCGAATGATTGAAAAGGGCCAAGATCAAGTGTCGTTTGATAGTCTAAAAACGGCGATTTGGTATTCCCCGACTATGATTTCTCCGTCAAGTTTGTTATAATTTTGATTTATTGGAATTGTGTGATTTTAAAAAATGCTTTAATATTATGTATTCTTATTGTATTTTATTAAGAGCTAGGTCATCAATATTGTCATTTTCTCTAGGTACATATATAACCTCTAAATTGTATATCCTCTATATTATTTCCGCATTAAAAAATATATAGACTTTTTTTTCTACGTCCATGGTAATGCACCTTCGTAGATAACCTTAACCATAGACTACACTACACAAAAAGAGGAAGAAAAAAACCTCAAGAGTTAATTTGAATTATCCCCTAGTAATGCACCTTCGTAGATATCCTTTTGCAAATACTTTAATTTGTTGCTTTCTTTAACACAATTACAATATGTTAAATGAAATTTAAGAATATTTTTTTTTCAGGTTTGGGTTTTGTATTTTACATTCAGGATTTATTTTTGAAGGAATAGGGTTTAGTATTTGGAGTTTTTACTTAGAATTTAGTTACTTTGTATATAGAACATGATATTATTGAAAATGGACAACAAGAGAAAGTGTTTTTGCAAAAAAAGTATAAAAATAGTATTTTTTTTTCAAATCCCCTTTTTTTTCAAATCCCCTTTACAATGTCTTGAAGCAATTAAATAAAATAGTAATAGTGTATCCCACAAAATATATGGTAAGCCCTCAAAAAAGAAAAAAAAAAATGACAAAATACTATAATTTTTATTTATATTAGTGTTCTTGATCACACAAAGCAACAGATCCCCAAGTATAAGGACTGGGCATCTTTTTGTATCTTTTGGTGTGCACATGACCCAATTAATGCTGAGGATATCCGAATGCATAATAATTCTCGTTTGTGAGAAACTTGCGGTTAACTGCTGAACCGGTCGCATATAAAACAAACGAATGCGCGTATTACATACTGTCTTGTGCAAACCACACGCATATTATATATATTGCGACTGTTTTTATAAGACTAGCTGTCCGTCCACCTACACTAGCCGGTCACCAGGTACTTTTATTTAGCAACAATCCCATGTGTTCACCACTCCTTGCACTCTCTCATCTCTTACCCTAAAAATCTCTCTCTCTCGCTCTCTTCTGTTTAATTCGTTTCGGTTACTTGAAGGGATTTGGTTATGGAGAATGTTGGTGCTGGGGTGCCGTTTTACGATTTAGGGCAAACAAGGGTTTATCCACTCTTCTCTGATTTTAACGATCTATCGGCGGAGAGGTATCCGGTACGGTTCATGGATTTACTTGGTGTTCATCGTAATGCCCTCACCCATACGCCGCTTATGCACTTTCCCACGACTACACCTCACTCGTCCTCGAGCGAAGCTGTGAATGGAGATCATGAAAAGAAGAGTGAGAACGACGAGGAGGAAGAAGAAGAAGAAGAAGATGGAGAAGAAGAGCAACATAAGACATATAAGAGGTGAGTTTCAGCGTTTTGTTTTCGTTTTCCTTTTTCTTAAAGTTTATTTCTTTTTCACATATATAGACGACTTTAATTTGGTTTCACATAGATTAAGAACCAGAGAAAATATTATTATATATGATGCTCTTGCTGAACTTAATTAATTTGGATATAGGTTTAAAATAACAAAGAGTATAAAGCAGACGAAAGTGAAGGTGCAAAAAGTGTCATTCATCACGAAGAGTGAGGTTCTTAATCTAGATGATGGTTACAAGTGGAGAAAATACGGTCAAAAACCTGTCAGAAACAGTCCTTTTCCAAGGTAATATATATTAAGCTTCATTCATTCATTTCCTTTACTCTGTGTCTTCTTTCTGATACATTATATTATATGAGCTAGCTAGATATTTACATATTTTGATGGGTTGTTTTTCTTCCCCTTTGCAAGGAATTATTACCGTTGCACAACAACTTGTTGTGATGTGAAGAAGAGAGTGGAGAGATCATTCAGTGATCCAAGCAGTGTAATCACCACTTACGAAGGCCAACATACTCATCCTCGTCCAGTACTCTACATACCCAAAGGAGACCGCCTTGGATTCAATGGCTCAGCTTCTAGATCCCATCTTGCCCTCCCTACACTCCCTCCTCAGCTTGTAGATTACAACAGCCATCAACAACAAGGCCAGTCTTCTTTTGGAGCTGAATACGTTATCAGGCAAGAAAAAGGATCTCATGATCATGATGACCATGATGATGACCATGATGATCATGTAGTGAAGAAGAGTCGAACTCGGGATCTGCTGGATGGAGCTGGTTCAGTCAACGATGATGGTCTTCTTCAAGATGTTGTTTCCTCTCGTATCATTAAGGAAGATTAATAGTTAATCGATTCATGCATGAAGTATCTAGCTAGCTAGCTCGGTTTAATTTTTCTAATTATATTGTAAAAACAAACCATGTAGCTGTCATACGTACTTGATCATGATGAGTATTAGGGGTTTTATTTGTATCAAATGCGAGAAATCGAACTTATTTAATAGATATTTTATTACTTTAACATAAAGAGTACCCGATTGATACAAGGATCAAAACATTGATTAATTAAAAGATTATTACACTATACTGAACCGTACGTACCACATTTAAATACCTAATTATTTTCACATTGTGTGTGTGTCTTACTGATCGATAGCTTACTAGTCACTCTAGTATATGGATCATCAAACCCATATCCGACCGCGAACAATGTACATGATTCTGAGAGCAATAATGCTATATTAGCTGGGGTTCAGTTAGGTTTTGTTTTCTCTATATAGTTTAAAGACGATATATATATATATATAGGTAAGATTGATTGATTGGTCTTTTAACAGAGAGCGGTAATTCCGGGGTTGATGATGCTTTTCTTAATTTCAGCGATTAAGTTCTGATTATAGAACTGACTTTTGAACAGAGAAACATAATTAGATGGTTCAAAGGGAATATTGATGTGGAAAAGACAAAACTTATGTTACATATTCATTGATCAAACAGGAAATTCGACGGATCAGTATATATTATCTAACACAGGGAAAAATAATTATTTACCACACAACTTGTGTATCATTTCATGACTACCCCTCCCTAGCTACTGCGTTGAAAGTCCAATTTGCTATTTTAAACTTTAACGTTTTCTTTTTGGTTTTTATTTTATTCTCGTGGTCGTTTCTTCTAAAATCCAAAAAAAATAAAAATAAATAAATAAAGGAGCAAATTAAAACAAATTCAAATTCTAACCTAACCTCTAATTAATGTTTTTTTACTTTTAAGAAATGGACAATAACGTACGTGTAGTGTAGACTATATATGACACTCTTTATATACATGTTTGTTAAAATATGAGATTCGTTCCGTCTTCAAGCTGTTTGGAAGCACAGTATGTTTGAATTGAGTCAAACCCTTATTAAGACCACACTATATGACCATTTTCTATATATAGAAATGTTTGGTTTCATCACCTTCTGTTCCAAATTTGATCTCGCCGATCGTGTCACATGGTCTTTAATTAATTTGCTCCAAGTAGAGACAGACGATGGTTTGAAAAACCTAGAAAAGACAAGTACTTATCAAATCTCTACATATCTTCTATATATTGTTATCAATAAAATGTAATATATAGTAATTAATAATTTTGAAACAAAATTTAGTTATATAAAATTTAGTTATATTTTATGCAATTTGATACATAAATAGCAATTTTGGGGAATTTAAACTATATTAGATTTCTTAGCTATATATTGTATTGTATTTTTAGTATACACAGATTTTTTCCTACTTCCCTTCTTCTTATAGCTAGGAGTACTTAATTTCTTTAGTTTTTAAATTCATTATTACACTACTTTCTCATATATATTCCTATTTTGTTGGTCATTATCTTTCTTACATAGTTACATCATATTTTCTCGTAGTGCTTTCTTCTTCTTCTTCTACTGTTAGCATATATATTATATATATAAGAGACAGAAAGAACGATTGTAAAAAAAAGTTGAAATAAACAAAAATTGACTCTTGTCGTCATACTCAAAAGGAAAATGGCATACTGTATTCGCCATTGTCTCTGTACTCCATCGGAGATTTACGAAATTACTGGTTGCTTATGTTTCGGACCCAACACGGAGAAGACCAGTGAAATCTTCAACACAATTTTCAAGGAAAACTACTCGGAGTTGGCTTTGAAAGAAACAAAGTCTGATCCAGAGCTAAGAGTGAGTGTGATGGAAAACATCATAGCAGCTTTCAATTGTAATATCCATTATACGATCATTAATTACAAGGAGAACATGGGTTTCGCTATATGGATGGTCGGTGAATATTCCTTATCGCTTTCAGAGATCGAAAATGGATGATCTGTTATCAAGCGAACCCTAGTTCATCAAATGATCCAACATGCCATTGGTTCGAAGAGTGTCGTCGAAGGCTACTCATCATCGATGGAGATGCGATGAAACTCGGAACTCAGGTAGCTATCGCACTAACCAAACTTATCCATAGATAAAAATTCTTTGTTGGGGCAAGAAAACTCAGGCAAGAACGAACAGAAGCTGTTAGAATAATAGCGTCGATGCAGCTGCTGCCTAAACCGGTCAATATGGGACGTGCGACTGTCGCTTTCCACAGCGGGGAAATCAGGAGATGCATGAGATCTATATGCCATCAAGATAAAGAGCTTAAACGGGTTTGTGAAAAAGCAAGTGGTGAGAATTTGGTTAGCTTGCTTTCCAAGAAACTGCAAGAATATGAACAAAGAGATTTGGATGACCAAGCGTTTAATCAGTTGGTAAGCAACCTCATTCACCCAACGTTGTATCGGTTTTGGTTATGCTCGTTCTTGATTATTAGTATTTTAATTTATGTTTCTTAATTATGGATATAGGAAGCAATCTTTTACGGGTCGAATAACGATGGTCATGCATAGGGAGACATGCGATGCAAATGTATGGATACATTAAAAGTTGTTTTCCTTAATTTGAACTATAATTAAATAAAGCATATATATCCTTCATGAAACATTTAATTTGAAAGCTTGCAATGAAGAAATTTATATGTGTGTTATCATTGCTCCAAGAGTCCAAGGGGTTGATAGAGAAACATTAATTCCAAAAAGAAACTCTAACCAAAATTATTGACGAATCGGTGAAGGACGAGATCAATTGACACAAAAAAACAGTCGTTTCCCTTATGTTTCTCCTTATTCAAGGGATCTATATTTAATACGGTTTTATGTTGTTAATTATAAGAACAAAACATTGACATGTCAGAGCAAGCATGAACAACGTATACTTATATAACTCGTTCTGAAACGACGACGTTATGAACAAATCGTGAAAACTTGAACCGACGTCGTATAAATGAGGGTATATATGTTATTTACAGAAATGAAAGGTTCTAAAGGAAAAATAAAACACTAATTTTTGGAAGCTGTCAATTTCAGTTCCTACAAGCATCGAACCCTAATAGCAAATTTGTCTCGTCCAGCATCTTCTTCTCGTTTTCGAGAAATTGGGTCGCCATTGATTCGAACCTCGCAAGGTAGGATTATAGATTTCTATATTCTAGGTTATACTCTTTTTCTTCTCTTTCTCCGACGCTCTTTGGTCGCATTGAGCTATATGTTACATTTGTGACAATCGGGTAACAGGGTTATTCGAATTCTCACACAATTTTTGTTTATCTCTATGAAAGATGGCAAATTTTTCGGTTTAATCGTATTGCGTGATGAAGAATTTCTCGTAATTAGGTTATTTGTCTTATGGAAAATGTGGCGTCTAGTCTTTCTTCTTCTTATAATTTTTAGTGATAAGAGTCTTCAGATTGATTGATACTTTTGTGGATGAATGAACCCTTGATTGAATCATAGTCTCTTTCTGGTCACTGAAACTTGTGTTTGCTTTCAGATGGAAAGCACTAGATCGGACCCAGAGCTTGATGATGACTTTAGTGAAATCTACAAGGAGTATACTGGTCCTGTGACTACTGTCACCAACACTATCCAAGACAAAGACAAACCTATTAAACAACGGTCTGAAGAAAGATGTGATGAAGAAGGTCAACAACCTGACCCCAATTCTGTGCCAACTGATTTCACTAGCCGAGAAGCTAAGGTTTGGGAGGCTAAATCGAAAGCTACTGAGAGGAATTGGAAGAAGAGGAAAGAAGAAGAAATGATCTGTAAGATATGTGGGGAGTCTGGTCATTTCACTCAGGTGATCCTTCAATTTTCTTCTAGCTAACTCCTTTCTAGTTTTTACATCATCTGTGTGTCTTTCTGAATGTTGCATCATTCATCTTTGTTCCATATTTTAGGGATGTCCATCAACACTTGGTGCCAACAGGAAGTCTCAAGAATTCTTTGAAAGGGTACCGGCTAGGGACAAGAATGTGAGAGTTTTGTTTACGGAGAAAGTTATGGAAGGTATTGAAAGGGAGACCGGCTGCAAGATTAAAATGGATGACAAGTTCATAATTGTCAGTGGCAAAGACAGATTAATCTTGAGGAAAGGTGTTGATGCTGTTCACAAGGTTAAGGAGGATGGTGAGATGAAAAGCTCTTCTGCTCCTCACAGGAGCAGATCCAGGTCACCTAGGCGAACATCTGTTGGTCCACCGCGTGCTCGAAACTCTGAACCTCAAGTACAGCACCCGCCATCACATGGTTCATCAAGTTTCTCAGAGCGCTCTGGAAGGCAAGATAAGTTTGTGGATAATCGTGTGCGTGAAGAAAATCGTGTTCGTGAGAATCAGCGAAATGTTTACCGAGGATCACCACAAGGTAGGGACAGGATAGGATACCTTAGAAACCTGGTTATTGTCTCTTATAGTCTTGTCTTTAAGGAAGTTGATTTTCCGGCTTGTTTTTGGCCGATAATGTCCTTTTCTTATCTTTATTTTGCAGCCAAAAGGTAAGTCCTTATGTTCAAGCATTTTGTACAGTACTGAAGTAAATAAATTATTTACTACACTTTTTTGTTTGATCTTCTCTGATTGAAGTTGGAATCATGTGTCTTACTGTAGCTGTAACCTTTCACTTAGTCTCGTGGTCATGCAGTTAACATTATTATTCATTTTATGAAGCTTATGGTAGTGACAGAGCTCGGAGTCGTTCCACACATTCAAAATCTCCTGGGAGACCACGTTATAGTGGATGGGATAAACCGTATGACAGGCAAAAGCCTGAGGTGAGTGGTTATAGGTCTGAAAGATGGGATCAAGAGAGAATGGGTGGCTCCAGCGACATTCAGGTGAGTCAACAGTTTGAACGCCCTCCTTTCCCACAGACGTTAGAGGAACTAGAATTGGAATATACGAGGGATGCAATGGAGCTTGAAAAGAAACGGGATAAGGAAGAAGATGAGGAGAACATCAAGCATCGTGAGGTAAGAGATCCAGTGACCGAATGTGTTCCTCTTAGATTCAAAACGAGTATAGGATGGATTGAATTCTATCACCTCAGAAATTGCAATTCCTAGGAGTTTCAACTATGAAAGTTTCATGCTTTTTACATTTTAGTTGCTCATAGTATAGGATGGCAGCGGATCTCTCCAAATGTAACTTAGTCCCCAGTCTCCTAATGAAATGCAATTACTGTTGAAGAAGTTCAGCTTCTGACATCAATTTGTGCGAGTTTATAGACAATCCGGGAACTGAGAGAGAGTTACATGAAGAAACTGGCTGGGCTAAGGGGTATGAATGCTAAACAATGGGATGAGTTCCTTCAATTGGATGCTCAAAGACGTCAACAGCAAGCACGGCAGCAAATTTCTGGTCTGAGTTATGGTAACTATAGACAGTTTCCTTATACCGAGTTCGATGATGGGTACTCTGCCAATCATCCTCCCTATGGTGGAAACAATGTGCCAATGGATTCCCAGGGCAGATATCCAAACCATGTAAAAAACTATTCCTCAAGGCATCAAGAAAACAATTATAGTACTGGGTTTCAACGCCAGAGACGTGAGGACTATGGAAAAGCCTACAATCGTTATTAGACCATCGTAACCAGATGGTGTATGGTAAGTTGTTTCTCTCATATGAGGACGAAAGTTAGTAATGTGCTGTTCTTGGAGTTGATGGTTTTGATTGAGTAGCAGATCACAGTGTAGATTGTGGATTCTCGAAGAGTCTATCTTTGTCTCTCTCTACTTTTTGGCCTAAAAAGTTATTTGAAAATTTCAGGGTCTGCTGAATATGGGTTACGACAAACGAGTCCAGATCTCACCTCCAAATCTCTGGTAGGTAATCCGAATTCTTATTATGTTGCACACATAATGTAACTTGGAGACAATGCGCAAGCAAAGGGTTGTTCCTTGTTGGTGAGCCAGTCTAATATGTGGCAATGTTGAAACTGTCCTCGTCCGTGCAAAAGAAGACCTGTAATTGCCAGCAATCTGTTTCTCCTTTGGTTTGTGTTTTTACATTCTAAAAGATTTCCTGCTTTAAGAGTAGTGATAAACCATTTCATTGTACTCATACTTCATCCTGTAGACAGGTTATTTTCTTTAAGATCTGATTAATTGCGAATATCTCTTTTGCTTCTGTCAAAATGTTTATGGTCTGGCCATTGTCTTTCCAAGCGCTCACATCGGAATGGTTGATGAGATACAACTCTATTACAAAGTTGCCCTAATGTGGTGACATTAATCCCTCGTGAATCCAAAATGTCTTGAGAAAGGCATAAGTTAAGTTTTGACTTTGACACTTCGTTTTCCTCTACAAAGGTTGCAACTTTTGCACTTGCCATTTACAGATACAGAGCGAGCTTGGTTCGGATAAGTTTGTTTCATAATTTCACAGTATAGCTTTAATGCGGTGCCCCGTATGATGGGTTGATCTTGTCACTCACTCGGCTGGTAGGCTCGGTAGCTAATGGACTGGGCCTGATAATTTAAAACTTATCACATGCCTATTATTAGCCTACATAACGAACACTTGGGCTCCGCATTCGTAATATTTGAGGGGGCTATATAAGATGCTTTGTTAAGTTGTGGGGTGAAATTGAAAATTATAATAAAACCTAAGCCGCCTCTCTCTCTCCCCTCCTAAATCACGCGCTGCCGAACCCTAGTTTTCATAAATTTTTCCATTCATTCCTTCTTCTGTTTGTGCTCTCGTGGAGGAGATGGGTACAGAGAGAAAGAGGAAAGTTAGTTTGTTCGACGTTATGGACGATCCGTCGGCTCCACCGAAGCACGGCAAAATCAATGGTCTTCCCGACGTCGGAATCAACAGTCTCGTCAATAAATGGAACGGGAAGCCTTATTCACAGAGGTATTATGATATTTTGGAGAAACGGAGGACTCTTCCTGTCTGGCTGCAAAAAGAGGAGTTTCTCAAAACTTTGAACAGCCATCAGACCCTTATTCTTGTCGGTGAGACCGGTAGTGGTAAAACTACCCAGGTAAAGTTTTCATCTTTTCTTCTTCTCATACTTTGAATTTGATATATAGACTTATTATGAATGATTTAATTGGAGTTATGATGTTTAGTGTCTATAGAATGAAGAGCTAATTGTAAATTTTGTTTCTTTGTACAGATCCCACAGTTCGTTATAGATGCTGTGGACGCTGAAACTTCGGATAAGCGTAGGAAGTGGTTGGTTGGATGCACACAGCCTCGTAGAGTTGCAGCCATGTCTGTGTCTCGTCGTGTTGCTGAAGAGATGGATGTTACTATAGGGGAAGAAGTTGGTTACAGCATTCGTTTTGAGGACTGCAGTAGCCCCAGAACCGTGCTTAAGTAAGCATTAGTTCCCTCTTTTAGCTTCGCATCTTTATAATACATGTACTTGCCGACTTGTATCTAATCATGTATGACTAGGTACTTGACTGATGGTATGCTCCTGAGAGAAGCAATGGCGGACCCGCTCCTAGAGAGATACAAAGTGATCATTCTCGATGAGGCCCACGAAAGAACTCTAGCCACAGATGTGCTCTTTGGTCTTCTCAAGGAAGTGTTGAAAAATAGACCTGATCTTAAGTTAGTTGTGATGAGTGCTACTCTAGAAGCTGAAAAGTTTCAGGAATATTTTAGCGGTGCTCCTCTGATGAAAGTTCCGGGTAGGCTTCATCCAGTTGAGATCTTTTACACTCAGGAGCCTGAGAGGGACTATCTTGAGGCTGCTATTAGAACTGTTGTTCAGATCCACATGTGTGAGCCACCTGGTGATATTCTTGTTTTCTTAACTGGGGAGGAGGAGATTGAAGATGCCTGCCGCAAAATCAATAAAGAGGTTGGTAATCTTGGGGATCAGGTGGGACCTGTTAAAGTCGTGCCACTGTATTCTACTCTTCCACCTGCGATGCAGCAGAAGATATTTGATCCTGCTCCAGAGCCGGTAACTGAAGGTGGTCCTCCTGGGAGAAAGATTGTTGTCTCCACTAACATTGCTGAGACTTCCCTAACTATAGATGGGATTGTCTATGTCATTGACCCTGGTTTTGCTAAGCAAAAAGTCTACAACCCACGAATCCGTGTTGAGTCATTGTTGGTGTCCCCGATTTCTAAGGCAAGTGCTCACCAGAGATCTGGTCGTGCTGGTAGAACAAGGCCTGGAAAATGCTTCAGGCTTTATACAGAGAAGAGTTTCAATAATGACTTGCAGCCGCAGACCTATCCTGAAATATTAAGATCAAACCTTGCAAACACTGTTCTGACCTTGAAAAAACTGGGTATCGATGACCTGGTGCACTTCGATTTTATGGATCCCCCTGCTCCTGAAACGCTGATGCGAGCCTTAGAAGTTTTGAATTACTTGGGAGCACTGGATGATGAAGGTAACTTGACAAAGACAGGTGAGATAATGAGTGAGTTCCCCTTGGATCCACAGATGGCAAAGATGCTCATAGTCAGTCCTGAATTCAACTGCTCAAACGAGATTCTCTCTGTTTCAGCCATGCTTTCAGGTACGCTCTTACTTCCGGTTTTTTTTATAATAATCTTGCTAGTTGTGGTTAGGTATGTAGTTAAGGGTAGGGTTAAAATTGCTCCCAATTTCCATTCTGCAACTAGTCTAATGTGCATTAGAACTCATATGTGTGATTATCACATTTAGAAATAAGTATTAGAGTTAGGTTATCATCAGCAGTCTCTAGTCTGGGTTCTGCATACCCATGGTTAGGGGTATCCTAAGTAAGTGCTGATGCAGATAGTAGTTGCAGTTTCTCAGTTATTCTCTCTCATGAAGCAAATGGTATCAGTCTCATCGCCTCTATGCATCTGCTGACCTCTTCCATGGACCTCTTCTGTTATAAATACCAATTCTTTCTCTAGTACCGAATTGCTTTATTCGGCCTAGAGAGGCTCAAAAAGCAGCAGATGAAGCTAAAGCTAGGTTTGGACACATTGATGGAGATCACCTCACATTGTTGAATGTCTACCATGCTTTTAAGCAAAATAGTAAGTGATTATCCCTTTGTCTTCCTCTTTTGTTTATAGCTACGTTAGACAATTAAAATTACCATAACTAACTTGATCAATGTAAATTCTTACAGATGAAGATCCCAATTGGTGCTATGAAAACTTCATCAACAATAGAGCAATGAAATCTGCAGACAATGTTAGACAGCAGCTAGTCCGGATAATGTCAAGGTTCAACCTGAAGATGTGCAGCACTGATTTTAACAGCCGCGACTACTACATTAATATAAGGAAGGCCATGCTTGCCGGTTATTTCATGCAAGTGGCTCACTTAGAACGCACTGGCCATTACTTGACAGTCAAAGACAATCAAGTATGTCAAAACAAAATCAGCTTATATTGTTGTTTCCATTTAAACATTTTTCTCTTGTGTTAATCTCATGGTGAAATTCTTGGTTGGCAGGTGGTTCATCTGCATCCATCAAATTGCTTGGATCACAAACCTGAGTGGGTAATCTACAACGAATATGTTTTGACTAGCCGGAATTTCATCAGAACTGTGACAGATATTCGCGGTGAATGGTAGGTTCTTACATTTCCTGTTCTTGTGTTCTAAAGTTAATATCTTGTGGGAGTTTTTGTTTCTGAAAAATTCTTCTTTCTCCCATGTGGATTCACAGGCTAGTAGATGTTGCTTCTCATTACTATGATCTTTCCAACTTTCCCAACTGCGAAGCGAAACGTGTCCTCGAGAAGCTTTATAAGAAGAGAGAAAGGGAGAAGGAAGAGAGCAAGAGCCGGAAGTGAAGGAGAATCATATCCTCGTATGTCAACGTCTAATTCTACTTGGACAAGAGAACCAATCCATAAGAAGCCTCTGTTATAATTATAAATTACTTGTTGACCGAAAGAGTCTAGCGAAATATTGTTTCTGTAGGTGTTGAGTTGAAACAGTAATTTTGCATTATCTCAAAATGTTGTTCTTTTTAAGTGCTATAAAGATTTCCATTGCCTAGTCTCTCTCTTATGATTATCTGATCTTATGATTTCTTAAATATATAATTTTATGATGTGATTGACAAATTTTGAAGAAAAGGGGTTGGCTGTACGTTCAAGACAAGGCACGGAGTAGTTACTAGAGACTTTCTACTTAATTTAGTCTAAGTTGTGTTTTCTACTAACATATAGAGAACTCAATTAGTCTGAAGCAGAAACGTTTCGATCTACAGCTAGCTTATTTCCATGGGGCAGCCACAATTGCCTGAAACTCCTGATCTACTTTCTGAACCCTTTGGTCAAGAACCGCAGCATGAGACTGCATCAGGGCTATCTCCTTGTCTAGTGCCACTTTCGCTTCCTTCATCAACACTTCTTGTCTCTGCAATTCAACAATTTCTTCTTCACACTTCCTTCTTTTATTGTCATTCTCTGTGATCTTTTCCTCAACAGCTTTTAATTCATCCAAAGCCGATGTCTGGCTTTCTTTAATGGACAAAAGCTTGGAGATCCGAAATCGAGGTGTTGCAACATTGAACCCGTGTTTCTCTAGCATGAGAAAACATTCGTCGATCCTGTTAATCGAGCTTATTGGATCGTCGACTTGTAGATTTTTGACTTTCTCTAACAGCGCAGTGAACTTCACCATTGTACCAATGGCGTCTCCTTCACGAAACTCTTCTTCGCTCTCTAGAAGTGGACTAAAATGTGGACGTTGTGGCACTGCTTTAAAGACCTCCATTGATTCAAGGACTTCCCAAATTGGTGACTTCTTTACAAATGGCAGAACCATTGTTGACTCTCTCGCTGGGGGAGTTTCCACAACAGAATTAAGCCCTGGATCAGGAGTCGGAGATATGGATTGCCCTGAGTAACAAGATGAAAGGAAAACACAAAACAATGAGAATCGAAAGCTAAAAGAGCATCAAATATTTCAAAGACGTATAAGCCCTTAATCCAGCCAGACCCGATGATGAATTTCCACCGTGGATCCATGAAGCGAGAGGCCTATCCTCATCAGTCATATCAGAAAGTTCAATAGTCGCAGCCTTTGAACCATTACCAGTCACACCTACAAGTTATAATGCCAAGAATTTTTCAAGATTGCAAGAAACAACTGCCACTTACTTATCCACTAAAGCTAAGAGAGCATACCAGTCTTCTGCGTAGGCTCTGTGCTTATGAACTTACGTGGTTGTCCTCTTTTCCTCTTATTAACACTTTCTCTGTTTTTCATCTCCTCAGGTGCCTGGATAGAATCAATAGGATTAATGACAGGCAAAGTGCACAGTTAAACAGTGTGACTAACTAACTTTCACCTTCTCTCCAACAGAATCATTTGTAGAGCCCTTTTGATTCTTCATTGCCTGAAGTTTCTTCCTCGGAGATGTTTTTCCTTGTGTTTTGACCGCTGGTTTCGTCAGAGTAGCGGCTGCTACGCCCAGGACCACGGATGAGTGAAACTCTGTTGCTAGAAACAGTAATACTTAGTTTCATTTACTGACACAAACAACTTCCAACAAGAATAACCATCATACTTGTGAAGGTATATAACACTTACTTGCTGGTGTCTCCTGTTGGCTTGTGACTGGGGTGTTCTCATTCATCACAACATCAGCCATATTACTCCCTAATTCTCCAGTTAACTGCTGCGGAAAACACACAAAGTTAACCGTAATTACCCAATGTGTCATTGGAAAAAGATTGCTTCAAACAAGTTAAATTCACTGATATAGTTAAATCGCTGATACAACTTAGAACTGGTAAAGTAGTGTTCAACTTGAGAGATAGAGAGGGACGGAATGAATATATAACTCACAGCAACAGTTTCGGAGAGCGGTATCCCACTCACAGTGACAGATACTCTACCAGCCTTTTCAACATCTCCTCCATTGGAAGAGGCAGGAAGAGGATTCTGCATAACGCCATTAGAAGAGCGTGTCACCCTCATTGTTTTCCCTGTGCCCAAAGTTGTTTTCTCTCTCAAGGCAGGTCGAACAGTTACCCTTATGCGGGTTGAAGCAGCTGTTTGTCCAACTGCATGGGAACTTTCATCGCTATCTGAAACCTAAAAATTGGAACACAAAAACTGATTTCAATGGTTTTTTCTCCCAAAAGATGAAACACACAATGGTGTTTTATGTAAGAATCACAGTAACAAAGAAGTGACTACCTTGTCTTCTCTATGCCAAACGCCATCTTTCCATTGTATAGAAGGTCTTAAATGAGAGAGGCTAAACTCCTTGCTCTCCTTGTTTGACCCCAGAGCCACTGCGTAGCTCTTCCCAGAAAGGACTTTACTAACAACACCCGGACACCAACCAGAACTGATAAGCGCATCCACATTATCCATCAATTTGTAATCACTTAACCCACAAGGCGGTGGTAAAGGTCGGATTTTGGAATAAGGAATGCTAATGTTGGCGCAATCGACCTCTTCATCGCTCAAAGCCTTCAACTTCACCAGTAATGTTTCATCATCGTTCTCCTTAATGGCTATAGCCGGAGCCCAAACATCGCCCAAATGGTCTACCGCAGTTCTGACTTCTACAGACTTTCCAGCGCTAAAATCTGACTCAATCAATTGCTTCAAAGACAACAAAAGCAAAAAGAAAAAAAGAGGATCCTTTTAGTGTGATACCAACGAAAGTTAGTGTTGAATCAAAGATGAATGAAGAGAGAAGAAAACCCTCAGACACTTACTTGTTTCTCGCATCGAAACCATTCATCATCTTTCCAAACCCAATGTGGACGCAGATCCTTCCGTTCAATCTCAATTACATCAGGTTTGAATCTGAGATATACCAAGAAACGACGATTTCCCAACACTTTAATCACCGAACCGGACCACCAACCACCTCTATAAGCAGCGTCAATCACGTCACCTTCCTCAAAATCGACCTCTGGAAACGGATCCGGCGGCGGAACAGGACGAATCAAACGATGCACGGTGGTCTGTATCAACGGAGGAGAATAGTCTTCCTTAAGCAGAGGATTCAAGTGACGAACAGAGAGCTTCTTCCGCTTCGATTTAGCTAGATTCTCTTCAAGTATGACACGGTACCATACAGTTCCAGTACCATAATCATACTCGCAAGAAGAGACTTCAATTTCAGAACCTTTCGAAATGGAGAGTTTCTCTTTTCTTCCAGTAGTTAACAACATGCCTCCTCTCAGAAAACCCTAAGCAAACAACTAGACTCTTTCTTCACCAGAACCCTAGACCTAAGAAGAAGAGAAGAAAGATAAAGTGAGAGTGCTCTCGTCAAACTTTGTGAAAAATGCCGCTAAAGATAGTAAGATTTGAGTGTGTAAAGATACTCTTTCCATTATTAATGCAGTGGAGATCTATGCTACACTCGTTTGTTTAGTAAGTAATTAACTTCGCATATGGTTTTCTCTTACAACGTATTCAATATTATTAAATCGGGAATTGTAGCTTCTGGTTTGTATTATAGTGCCGCTCATCCAATACGATTTGTGGATTAGTTATATATAATTTGGATGTATGTTTGTAAACAGATAGAAATTAAAATAATACTACAGTACAGACTTTTTCTCTTAAACGAAAATTTCTACTTAACTGGTAACTTTATTAAAATACAATTCATTTTGTTCATTTTTCATCAAGGTAGTACGGTTTCAGTACTGTTCAAATTTTGAAATTTTATCTCACGGAATTTTATAGATAAAATTGATAAATGGAGAACCTAACGAAATTGGAATATCCGCCGAAATTGGGACCAAATTTTATAAGCGTGTCTGAAATTTTTAGGATGAAAGAAGAAAACTTATGAATTATTAAGAGCGAAGAACAAAGTATGAAGTGATATAAGTTTGAGACGAAAGAACAAAAGAGAGACGACGAACGATAGAAGACAGGACTCTCCTCGAATAAAACCAAACCACATATTGCTCTCCCTAAGCCTGCATTTAATTTAATCACGCATATTAGTTAAGTTCTTTAACAATCAAATCTTTTACTAATAGATTTGAAAAGCTGTAAACTTTAACTACCTTGTTTGCAATGTTGTTAGAGAGCCAGTCAAGTCCCTCATAAAGCCCTTCTCCGGAGGTAGCACATGTGCTCTGTATGTACCTGTTAATTGATATTACATCAGTTCTTTAGCCTTTCAAAGTACCGCTAGGTATCTGGTTTTCACAATTCAAGGTATTTGGGTTTAGATTTCTATGGCTCACCAGTGTCGTTGGCGGAGAGAGTGAAGCCCAAGCTTGTCAGTTATCTCAGCGGCGTTCATAGCATTGGGAAGATCTTGCTTGTTAGCAAATACAAGAAGCACAGCATCTCTCAATTCATCCTGCACAACTCAAAAGGAAACAAAAATGATGACTCTTGCTTCATCATGTAACTAGATAGATAGAGGGAGGGAGGGATTTTTGTTTGGGTTTTACTTCATTCAGCATTCTGTGAAGCTCATCCCTAGCTTCCACAACACGGTCACGATCATTGCTGTCCACCACAAAGATTAGTCCCTGGGTGTTCTGGAAGTAGTGCCTCCACAATGGACGAATCTGGATGAGCAAGTGAAACCAAAAAAATGTTATATTGGAATAGCGAGAGTGCCATTTAGCAAAATGGGGTTTAGTTCATTGAGAATCAAGGATTTAGCTTTAATAATTTCAGAATGCTAGTAAAGGAGTGTAATATCAATACCTTGTCTTGACCCCCGACATCCCACACGGTAAAGCTAATGTTCTTGTATTCCACAGTCTCCACGTTGAAACCTAGCAAAAACCAATATTGTCAATTCAAGAGAACTAAAAAAGTATTCACACTGTTAAACATACACAGAAACCATGAGTCAGAGATGAAAATCCTTCAACAAGTACACACACAAAATTGCAACTGACTATTCAATATCCAAACTAGAATTTCACCATAAGTTACAAATCCAACCATGATACGAAAATTTCACATAATCCCTTGCGAGGAATGCATCACAATGTGTCAATTTCCCATAATTACATGTGAGAGAGAAGATACAAAGTTATAAACTCACCAATGGTTGGAATCGTAGTCACGATCTCTCCAAGCTTGAGCTTGTACAGGATCGTAGTCTTACCAGCAGCATCGAGACCCACCATCAGGATACGCATCTCTTTCTTCGCAAAGAGCCTGCTGAACAACTTTCCAAAGGACAGCCCCATTTTTTCAAGCCTGTTACAGTGTTTTCACATTATATCGTCAGTCTAAACGCATACTCATTTGCAGCATACACAGATTAATATCACTTGGGAAAACAATCACAAAGCAACGCAGTTTTGATGCGTCCAACGATTTCGTTTAACTGTGAGCTCCTATGATTTTACAAATTCTCTCGGAACTCGGTTTCAGCATTCACATAGATTCAATATCCATTAACTAGAGAAAACAAATACAAAGCAAGGTAGTTTCGATGCATACTAGATTGCAAATTCTCTCGGATCTCATTCGTATCAGGATGTATCGATCAAACAAACAACATGATTAAACAATAAGAGAGATCTAAATTTAAAATTCCGACTTCAGGTGAACACCCGATCTGAAAAAAAGAACAAATCTAGATCACTGTGTATAACAATCATGCAGATACAGATCTATGATCCCAAAGGAAACGAATCACACGAAATCATGTCACATTCATAAGGAAATTAGGCGAATATGCACAGATCTGGAAACGAGGAACCACGATCGCGAGGGAGAGAGTAGAAACAGACGATCAAGTAAAGCAAATAGAGAGAGAGGGTTACAGATTCGTCGAAGAACCGAGACTTACCGGAAAAAAAAAACAACGCCGAAGAAGAAGACCTAGACTTACACTGTCGCCGATGGTCGTCCAAAGAACAAGAAATGGTCTTCGAACGTGAGAGGAGGAATCGTGGAACGCAACAATTCTCTACTTATTGCCAAAAAAAAAAGAAATTGAATTATTTCTCTCGTCGTGAACTGTTAACTTTAATATTATATAATATAACTTTGTTCTTATTAGCAAATCGCGGGGATAGCTCAGTTGGGAGAGCGTCAGACTGAAGATCTGAAGGTCGCGTGTTCGATCCACGCTCACCGCAATTATTTTTCTTTTTTAAATTAGCATTCGGCCAGTGGGCTGGATTAAACATAGCCATAGGCCCATTTCAAAATACTTTTTCGCCGTTGGCCCGTATTAATCATTTTATTTAAAAGGTTGCACTGAATATTTTAATAGCCCAACAAGTTCTGACAATCCTTAGAGAACATGGCCGATCGGATCTAAAGACCGATCTTAAATTGCTTTGAGATTATTAAACATTTAAATTAATACAACTTGAAATATGTATTAAGTTATTAACATGTACTTATTGACTTGCAATTAAAAGTTTTGACTTTTTAAGCCAGAGATATTACTCTATATATGTATATATAAAAAGCTTAGATCTTGAATCTTGATTAAAATTTTCTGTGTAGCAATAATTCAAACGAAATGGATTACGCTGTTCCTTCTCTACAATGCTTCTTCTTAATTTTATGCCTATCTCTTTTGGTTTGCTCTAACTCAGTAAATAGTTACAAATCAAATAAGAAACCTATTTTGATAAATTTCGGCGACTCTAACTCCGACACCGGAGGAGTTCTTGCTGGCGTCGGACTTCCTATCGGACTCCCTCATGGTATTACGTTTTTCCATAAAGGCACTGGTCGTCTCGGCGACGGGCGACTTATCGTTGACTTCTTCTGTGAGTCCCATTTCTATAAGTGTATACGTTTATGTACATACGTGTAAAATTACTAACTGGGTTTAAAAAACAAAATTTGATAAATGATTAGGTGAACATTTAAAGATGAGCTATCTGAGTCCATATTTGGATTCACTCTCACCAAATTTCAAAAGAGGAGTCAATTTTGCAGTCTCGGGAGCGACCGCTCTTCCGGTCTTTTCCTTCCCACTTGCCATTCAAATCCGCCAGTTCGTCCATTTCAAAAACCGTTCACAAGAACTCATCTCTTCCGGTATTTGAAACGGTCTCCACCAATTTATATAAACCTCATATCAGTATATCACTTATATGTGTGTCTTGTTGACAGGGAGAAGAGATCTTATCGACGATAAAGGATTTAAAAACGCATTGTACATGATCGATATTGGGCAAAATGATCTTTTGCTTGCTCTATACGATTCAAATTTAACGTATACTCCCGTTGTCGATAAAATACCTTCCATGCTTCTAGAGATAAAGAAAGCCATACAGGTTACTTCATTTATCCCACCATTCTTTTAGATTGTTTACATAAATATATACGTTACCTTGCTAAATAATATACGACTGATTTTGTGATTTGGTGATATCGTGACGAAGACCGTATATTTGTACGGAGGGAGAAAGTTTTGGGTACACAACACAGGCCCATTGGGCTGTGCACCAAAAGAATTGGCGATTCACCCACATAACGGTTCGGATCTTGACCCGATTGGTTGTTTCCGGGTTCACAACGAAGTCGCAAAAGCCTTCAACAAAGGATTGTTTAGACTCTGCGACGAACTGAGATCCCAATTCAGAGACGCCACTATCGTCTACGTTGATATTTACTCCATCAAGTACAAACTCTCCGCCGACTTCAAACGATACGGTGCGTTTCGATCGCATTGATATATCTGCCCCTTTTATATATAATTGTTATGTAAACGATACGATACGTACTGATCGGTTTATTTGATTATGCGAGCTTTAGGATTTGTGGATCCGTTAATGGCTTGTTGCGGTTATGGAGGCAGGCCCAACAACTACGATCGGAAAGCTACTTGTGGTCAACCCGGTTCAACTATTTGTCCTGATGTAACCAAAGCTATTGTATGGGATGGGGTTCACTATACCGAAGCTGCTAACCGGTTTGTTGTTGATGCGGTTTTCACGAATCGGTACTCATACCCAAAAATTTCCCTTGACCGGTTTTGGTAGATCCTAGAACAACCCAACAAATTAATAAATCTGACCGGGCTTGGTTTATAACGTTTGTTTTTCACTAATAAAAAAATAAAGGACATATGTGTTTAATAAAAGTATATGGATGAATCTTAGCCGTTCACTAATCTCATATTGGTCAGTTGTCCATCGACTGATTGATGATTACGCAATGAAGTGAATGTGTCAAGTCAAACTAATAATTATCACCATTTTCTTTTGGCTTCATCATGTCTTATTACAAATTGAAAAATTCGATTTCTCTCTTATTATAATATTGGAACATAATAGTTTGTTTCTTTTGTTGTAATTTAAATCACTTCTTTTAAGACGATGCTCTCTACTAGTCCTGGGCATAATATCCGGTACCGAAGAACCGTACTTGTACCAAACCGATAAAATCGGTTCCGGATCGGGTTCGGGTGAAGCAAAAATACCGAATGGGCTCAGAGATCTTGGTAAAATGGACCTCGGTTCGGGTTTGGATTATAACTTAAGTTAATTGGGCCACCCGTTAATACCCGTTTAGAGAGAACTGAATAATAAGGCCTTGAGGCCCACTAAGCAAACCTATGTCGACTAACCGGCTAACCCTATTGTGCAGCTGCAGACTATCTCATCTGTTCCCAAGAGAGAACCGTTCATCGAAGCTTGCTTTTCACTTCGTCACTTCGTCTTCTACACAAGATGAAGCATGCTTTGTCTTTCTGCAATCATTCAAGTAAACTTTTCGATTCATATTCTCTTGGTACCTTTCCTCCATTTCGAGAACAGAAACGTTATATAAACCCCTAATCCCCCATGGAAAGAACCATAAGTTTCAACCATTCATCTTCTCAATCATCTCCTCCGTCATCTCCTCATTCACTACTCTCTGCAATTAAATCACAGGTTCTCTCTAGTCTCTGTTAAATAAATTGGTGTGATCTGTGGTGGCTATTAGCATTTGGTTTTGGTTGTGATTCATATTTAAAGTTCTGTATTTGTTAAGTTTTGATTATTATTGATGCCAAATTTATTTTATCGTGTGTTGATTGATGTGTATGTTTAGACATGTATTCATAATGTTGAAGAAAATGTTAAATGAATCGCTTGGTTGATAGCATTTATAGTTGGAATGTCTGTTTCAGTAGCTTATTATTTGATAGCATTGAGACGAAGTGATAATGTAATACGGATTTGATAGCTTTTAGTTGATCCTAGATGTTTCTATCTTAATTTTAAAACTCTATTTGTGAATAATACTATGAGATTGATTGAATGTGTCTATCTTAATTTTAAACTCTATCTGTGAACAATACTATGAGACTGCTTATATGTGTTATGATCTATATATATGTTCTTCTGTTTGATACTGATTTGTTTCTTTTATGTGTGTGTACAGATGGGTTCTTCAGGCTTTCCAGATTATAATGATTTCGAAGAAGATATGAATCGTGAAGAAGAGCAGAATCATGAAGAAGAGCAAGACATTGACAGTACTGGGCAACAAGCTGCTGCAACTACATAAGTCATTGAAACTCATGATTGTGCTGGAAAGAGGAAGGACATTCCAGAATCAAGTGGAGCTAATCCAAAGCCACCTAAGGAGCTCAAAGTCATACTTCTAAGATCTCTTGTTTGGGACCACTTCACAAGGAATAAAGAAGATAGAAACAAGTGTATCTGCAACTACTGCAAGAAGGAATACTGCTGAAAATAATCATGAGGCTTAGTTATTCTCATAAAAGAAAAGGTAACTAAAGTCTTCTCTATTTGTTAGTATTAGCTGTTTTGATGTTTTGAAGGCTTAGCTGTTTTTATGTTTTGAAGGTATCTATCTTTGTATTGGTCTTCTTGTGTGGTGTTTTTCTAAGGCATGGATTCGGCAATAGTAAAGGTATATTGAAACTTGATATTTGTAGGTGTAAAAGTTTATCACTCTCTGTTTTCTGTGTGTTACTTTGCTGAATCATTCAAGTTTCATTTGTTTCACAGGAACATGGAGCAGCACTGCAGGCTGTGACCTTTTTGTTAGTGTAGATGCTTCTTCATTGTTCCAAATTTTCATTCGGCTCTTTGAACTTGTTGTATCTTTTGTTTTAAGTTGCTTGTGAGGTTATTGAACTTGATGTTATGATGAAACTTATGATTATGGTTTAAATTTATGGTTTACTCGGTTATTTCTGGTTTTTTACTTTGGTATTTGTAATTTTAATCGGGTATTTTGTGTTTTAATCGGTTCTTTTAGTACCTTTTTACTCAGATAAACCGAACCGATAAAAACCTGGAAAATTTTCGGGTTTATTCGGATTTCACATTGGAGTAGAAAACCGCTCCGAACCCGGCCAGTTACTAACCGAACCGAAGCGAATTTTTTGTTAATTAACGAATGGGAACTATAGGTCTTATACCGAATTACCCGAAACCCGAATGGGTGGAACCGAAACCCGATTGGGTACCCGATTGCCCAGGACTACTCTCTACGTTGAACCTAGACCAATGTTGCGTATATATGGATGGAGTACTGATCGGTTGAAATATTGGACAGTAAGCTAATAATAATGCAAAGTCTTGTCGTGGGAGTGCTGAAGGTTGTGAAGAGTAAAAGAGAGAGAGCATTAGAAATGAAGATGAGAGAAAATGACCAACCACACTTTGAGTTATTTTTGGCTTATATTAGTGTTTAGGTAAACAATATACAAGTAAATGCTCAGCTTTAGTTATATACTGTTGTACGATATATACATATCATGGTCGACAAAAACTAATTATTATACACTGTTGTGTTTTTGTCTTTCGCCTCACACATTTGTGTGTCTCTCCCTCAATTATTATCGCTCGTTCATATATAAAATCATTATAGAAAAAGAAAAGAAAAATAAAAAGTCGTCTCCTACGCATCATTATTGTCGGAATAAGTCTGACTATATTAATTTCATGTATTCTTTTTTGCTAAACTGCAAATATCATATAATATGAAAGGGTTTGGTTTATACAACCAATACAAAATTGTATCCTTGGCAAAAAAGGTAAAAACAAGAATACAATAAGATTTTCCACAAAACAACATCATTGAAGCCAAATCCTCATCAGGCCTTTGAACTGCTTATTGTTGTTCCTTGCTGTGATTGTGTTCCTTATCTGCTGGTCGATACCTTTGAAAAGCACTGAAGGAAGAACACACGTTTGATTATGCAAGAAACTATTTCTCTGTTTCCAGATAGCATACACCACTGATTGCACAACCAGCTTGCGAAGAGTAGTCGGGACGGAGCCGGCCATAGAGGTAGTCCAATTTACAAGATCCTGCCAAGTGTGAAACTCAAGAGTACGAAGGTTTAGCTTGATTCGTACCGCATTCCAGATGAATTCCACATAGTCACAAAAGAGCATTAGGTGATCTCTTGTTTCTGCATATTTGCCACATAAACCACAAGTTGTTGAGATGTTCATTCCCCATCAGTGTAACCGGTCACGCGTCGGTAATCGGTTTAAATTTGCTGCCCAGAAATTGCAGGCATGTTTTGGTATAGCTCCTTTGAACCAGACAGTGATGTGCCAATCCACCGGGTCAGATCTTGGTCTTAGCGCTTCCCATGTCCTAGAAGCTGAGAATCCTTCACAAATATGCTCATTAACCACCCATTCATAAGAATCTTCCTCAATACTAACAGTTGGGAGGGTAATAGTTGTAAGATGAACCATCAAGTTTATGCCGTGTTCCGATCGCGGGTTTGCTAAAGACCAACCCATCTCGTTGCAAGCTTCTCAGACTTTTGCTTTCAACGGCACTCTTAATCTCCTCGGACCATCACTTCCCAAATACTTAATTAGAGGTCCAAAAGGAGTCCACTTATCAAACCAGAAACTAGCTAGCTCCCCAGATCCAATCCTGCACTCAATAAACGACTCGGCCACCGATCTTAGCCTAAGAAGGCAACGCCAACTCCAAGAATCAGTTGGTTTTTCCTTTTGTTGCCAAAACAACTGGGAGGAGTTGCAGTGGTGGTGCTTATGCCAGGCCACCCAAAGGGAACCACTACTTGAAAATAGCAACCAGATCATTCTTAAACATAATGTTCTATTCCAAGTTGCAATTCTCCTAAGGCCAAGTCCTCCTTCTTCTTTAGGTAGACAGACTTTTGTCCAAGCAACCTTTGCTAATCCTTTTCTTTCAATACTTCCAGACTACAGAAAACTAGAACATAAGGATTCAATTTTCCTGATGCACCCTAGAGGGAGGATGAAGACCGAGATCCAGAAATTAATTGTTCCCGCAATGACTGTGCTAATCAGTTGAAGTCTACCGGCGAACGACAGAGATCTAACTGACCAGGACGTGAAACGATCAGAAATCTTCTCAATTAGGGGAGAATACTCTGAAACTTTCAGTTTTCTGCTCATCAAAGGCAGTCCTAGATATCTGATAGGTAGAGAGCCAGAGGTAAATCCATAGTTTGCTAGAGATATGGATTGAGACTGACTCAAGCCTGCATGGAACATCTGAGTTTTCTGAGTGTTCATCTGAAGACCCGACCAACCTGCAAAATCCTCTAACGTTTCATAGATTCCATGCAAAGAGTGAGGTCGTCCGCAAACATCAAGTGAGAAATCTTCAGGTGAGAAGTACCCGGGTGGTAAGAGATATATCCTGACTCATATCTTGAATGAATGAGGCCTGAGAAAACTTCCATGGCCAAGACAAACATGTAAGGGGAAAGTGCATCACCTTGCCTCAAACCTTTTGAGCTTTTAAAGAAACCTCCCGTGTGACCATTTATGGAGACAGAGAAGGTAGGAGTTGAGATACACTCAGTGATCCAATCAATGAATTTTCCAGGAAAATGAACTGCCCTTAAAGTGGAGATAACAAAATCCCATCTTACTGAATCTAAAGCTTTCCTCAGGTCCACTTTAAGCATTGCACTCGGGTTCACATTCTTTTTATTATAGCCATGGACAATCTCAGTGGCAAGCAGTACATTCTCCAATAGCAGTCTGCCGGGCAAAAAAGCGGATTGAGACTGGTTTATAATCGAAGGAAGGATTCTTTTGAGTCTTTCTGCTAACAACTTTGATATCACCTTATAAACCGTGTTAAGACAAGAAATTGGCCTGAAATCTGACATTGATGAAGCATTAGGAATCTTTGGGATTAGAGCCAAATTTGTACAGTTCCATTGCTTGAGCATTCTCCCTGAGCTGAAGAATTCTTTGACAGCCTCAGTGATTTCTCCCCCTATGACTGACCAGCAACCACAGAAGAACTCAGCCGGGTAACCATCTGGTCCGCTAGCTTTGTTTCTAGGTAAGGAGAAAAAAGCATCCTTGATATCCTCAGAAGAGAAAGGGGCTACAAGAGAAACCTTATCAGATTCTGAACATTTTTGTTTGACCAGGCTTGATATGTCTTCTTGGATGAAAAGCGGCTGGCACTGTTCTCCTCCAAGAGAGTTCATGAAGTACTCCACACATAAGCTCTGAATACCTTGTTGTGAATCCACTCTATTTCCGTTATCATCCCACAAGAAATGAATGTGGTTTATGGACTGCCTAACCGAGGCCATTTTGTGAAAATATGACGTGTTAAGGTCACCTTCACGAATCCAAGTCACTTTTGATCGTTGGTAGAAGAAACTCTCTTCAGCTGTAGATAAGATCCTCCATTTCCTATGTAGCTCCATCTCTGATTCTGCGTTTGAAGAATTGGGTAGACTCAACGTTCTGTTTTGGGCAGCAGTCAGTTTCTCTAAAGCTTCCTTAGTTCTCTTTTCCAGGTTGGAGTAGTTACTTTTGCTGAACTCTCTGATGATCAGCTTCATAGCCTTTAATTTCTTAGACACTCTGTACATAGATGATCCTGTAACGTTTACAGAAAACCAAGCACACGCAATCAAAGGCACAAAATCTTCATTTTTTAGGAGATAGTTGAAAAATCTGAAAGGCTTCTTTGCTCTAGGAGAGGCAACATAAAGTCTCAGTTCGCAGCAAGCGTGATCTGAGAAAATCGGGTCCCCAAATTGTCCAAGAGAGCAAGGGAAAAGAGAGGACCACTTATCGATTACAAGGATGCGATCAAGCTTCTTTGCTACTGGGGAACTCTTTCTCTTGTTCCACCAAGTAAAGGTGTTGCCTCTAAAATTCAAATCCACCAGACCCGCATTATGGAGGGAATTGTAGAAATCTCTTGTCTGTCTATCCAAGTTCAAACCCGTGGTTGTGGAGTGTTCTCTAGGTGACAAACACTGGTTGAAATCACCCATAACTACCCAGGCTTTATCCACTACTCTTGTGTCTGATGAAAAGTTTATCAACTCCTCCCAAAGTAACAACCTGGTTGTTTCGTCGTTTGCTGCATAAACAGTGGATATAACAATAGCTTCATGACAATCTGGGATCTTAACTTCACAAGTTATCATTTGAAGCGACTTTGATATGACCGTCACTTGTACACTTGGATGCCAAATGATCCAAATTTTGCCAAGAACTGAAAAATCATAATTATTATCATAGAGCCAACCTGGCAGCATTGCCTTCAGAAATTTATGCTGTTTCGGTTGCTTTACATGGGTCTCCACTAGACCCCCAAAAAGTGGTTGATGGCTACTATGCCATTGCTTATACCCGCGGCGATGTGAGGAAGAGTTTAGTCCTCTAACATTCCAACAAAAAATGTCTACACTCATAAATATTATAGGTTTTTGGGGCCACTGCCCCTAGCACTTCGTTGTTGACGTTGTGTCAAAGTTGCCGTGAATCTGTCCTCATCTTCCAGATCATCTCCTGAGTCGTCTTCAAGACTAGACGGAATGTCAGATGAATCTGCTTCTTCTTCAGACGAGGTCCCTGGCTTAGACGATGCCACTGCTTTACCCGGGTTACGTGCTGGAATGGGAGCCTTTACAAGCTTGGGAGTAGGAATCCCCTTACTAGAGCTCGGCAGAAGACTAGAGCTAGCTTGTTGTACAATAGGAGAAGAGATATCCTTAGTCAGAACAGTTTTCTTGGATCCCACCACTACCCATTCTCCTTCCTTTGGCACTGGCCTTGGTGTTTTAGATCTTCTTCTACGAGGACGCGCGATACCAACCGGTTTTTGGAGCTTTGGGCACTGGTCATCCGAGTGGATAGTTGAATTACATCAGTTGCAGCTTACCGGAGCAGCACGACACCTCTTCAAACTGTGGCCAACTTCTTTGCAGTGCGCACAGATTGGCGGCATCCAGGGACTCGAAACTTCGACCCTTCTAATGTCACCTGAGTCGAATTGGACATTTACCGCCTTTGGCAAAGGCTTCCTTGGGTCGATGATAGTAAAGACTCGGGCAACTTCCAGGTTTCTCTTACTCTCCGTATCTGGTTGCAAGAATTGAGGATGCCCCACTATACTTGCAATACGCTCTAGAGCTCCCTCATTGAACAACTGGAGAGGAACTTTCCTTAGTTCAAGCCAAATAGGAGCAGACTTGAGTTCTGGTTTTGTTGGGACCACCCCTGGCTCCCAGTTTGCCACAAACATGGTTTGTCCATCAATCTGCCACAGCCTTTGGGTTACTACTCTTTTCCTTGTTTGTGCATTTGGGATGCGGAAAAGGAAAGCATTACCCTCCATTTTTGAAACAGTGATGTCTCTGAACTGCCTGCTCCAAATACCATTCACTATGGTGTGGACAGTGCCTTGTGCTGGTGGGTCAGAGTAAAACTGGCCCAGGATGAAGGAATCCCAAGCTTGCTTATGTTTTTCAATTATCGTGTCAGGGATTTTAACACATTGTTCCCCAGAAGGCAAAGTAAATGGTGTGCCAACTTTCTTCAGTCGCTTTGATGTTCCTTTGAACATATCACACCAAGAATCAACCTCTGTATCGCTATTTGATTTTGATTTTCCGGCAATTTCTTCAGCCACCAAAACGGGTGAAGCTTTTGCGGTAGGTTTGGCTAGACTCGAAGTCGAAGACTGAATCTGAACCACGGGTGTGACCTGAGCAGGAATCGACACGGCATCGCCGGTCACTGGCTTTCCATTCTCAGACACAGGAAGAATTGGATCTGACCTAGGAATCAGATCTGCTGGGTTTTCGGCGACCGAGACTGTCAAGGAGACTGCTGCGAGGTCGGCGACGGGTGGTGACAACGGAGGAGGGGAAATGATGGGCGGCGAGGCTGGCGCACAGGAGGAAGAAGGCGAAGCGGAAGAGGAGGTGATTAGGGGAGAAGACGATTTCTCGCGTGGAGAACCTTTCTTGAGACGATTTTGCTTCCCCATAAGGAGGGGAGGGCTTACAGATTCCGATTTGAGGAGGAGCCGGCGCCGTTGAAGACGCCAGAATTTTGCGGTAAGAGACACCACTTTTCGCCTTTTCAGAGAGACACTTTTCGCCCACTATTGTTATTGTGCATCAGTACCTAGTAAACGGTGTTCATTGTGCATCAGTGCATGGTGAATAACATATATATGTATGAAGTTTAACGTGATATGATCATTTGATGTTTGAACATATGCAAGAACCTCGTATATATTGATCATATATGGAACGGGAAAGTGAAAGCAAAGATTCCGCCACAGAGCTTGTATATAAAATAAATCGGGTTTGATGTAAATAATTAAGCTAGCACATTATCAAAAAAGTATATATTACGTATAAAAAATATATATATATCTTTTTGAAAACAAACAAAAGACATGAAATGAGTGAAATGCATGATTGATTCTTTAATAATGTAGTGTTTTGACAATTAATATGTAAAGTTGAACAAACTAGTCGATATATATATTCAAAAAATTACTAATATAATGTATGAGTTTGGTGGACAACTTTTATAGACTGCATTAAGTACATTTATGCACGAGGATTCTCTTGAATACATGTTTTAACCTTAGAATTAATCGTCTTTTTTTAGTCCACATTAGTTAAACATAATAACATTAAATAGTACATTTCACTACAAGTCGCTATTTAATTTGTATGCCTCCGGTATCAATCAGTGATCAATCAATATATATATATCCAGTTGACAAAAAAAAGTAACAGTAGATGGTCGAATATCAAAGAGCATCTGATTGATCCCATGACGAACTAATCCATCGTTCGTTCGAAGCCTGGCTATAATGGAAAAGTTAAGAAGGTGCAAAGCATATCTCATTAAACATATTTGTCTCATAGACTTGTAAGTTATTCGAGTTTGTTTTTTCTTCTTTTTTTTATGTGATTACTTACTTTCTTATTGTTTTGAAGCCTATCACTTTGGTTTTCGTATTTATGCTAGCTATTGCTTTAATTTTTAATGTTCCATACATAGTCCATACTAGTCCCTCCTCTTGGCTCGACAAAACCGTACCAGACCGAGACCTGTATACAGTTATAGCCGCCTTCCATAAACTTGATATATATAAACATATATGTCTTTATGACAAAAAAAAATAAAAATAAACATATATGTCTACTCAGATGGGATGACTAAAATACAAAATTAAGCACCGGCACATATAGCTTATTGGGTTTTCTCCCCCGACTAATTTGGTTATATAGTCACAGTCTTCGATTTTGTCAAACATATGATATAAAACAACTCTTAAACCCGTCGTCCAACCCAAAATCTTATAACAATTTGATTAATTAATTGTCATATTATTTAAATGTACGAGTAACCAATCCACTGAAACAATTAAGCGAATGCCCTAAAGATGTTGGAAAAGAACTCAACGTCATAGGCAGGCCGCAGGCGAAATAATGCTTCATGTAATGATCAGTCATGGACTCTCTTTTAAATCGTGTCAAGTATAAAGACAAGATCGAACTCAATTGTCATAGACTCGTGGGAGAGTGATTTGTGGTTATTCGGTTACGTGATAATCTACTTAAATTTTGTCTACTATATTTAACTCAACGCTACGTCATGTAGCGTCCTCGATCTTAATAATTTAATCCCGAAAAATATCTATGGAGTTATGGACATAGTAGTTGACCTTTTCTCGTATTAAGTATAAAGACAAATTAAAACAAAATGTTATCTAAGATAGAAGCTATATAAAGTAACGTTATCATTTTTTATATATGAAGTACATTCATTACAATATTACGTAACCAAACAAAAAAGTTTCAATTCGTAGTAACAATTTAAATTATATATTAGGGCATGTTTGTATATATGTACATTAGTTTTTTATATGTATGTTAAAACGGCCAATTTTTTCAGATTTGTACATAAACTCTAATTTGGTAGAGAGTCTAGTTTATATACACACTAGCTAGTTCATGATATTGTAAATTAGAAAGAAAAAAAGTTAGTTGGGGAATACGGCTGTGAATTTGTAATATCGTATTAATTGCGTGGCTGTGAGATTGCGTCGAGTACTAAGAAATGAGTTGTCCATGGCACATGGCCCTCGACTTCTCTTGTTAGATACATATACACGTATATGTAACAAATAGTTTATTAATTAACATGTAAATAAAAGATATTATATAAATTCTTAATTTATCCATTATTATTTGAGGTCAAAATATGTTACAATACAATATATAGTCTATAGAAAGAGATAGAGAACAAACATTATTAAATCATTAACTAACTTCTTTTCTTAATCAGTCTTGATAAATTGATTAGGAAGAATATAATTCCGTAGGTGAACATCGGAAGGACAAGTGAAAGTGTTAAAAATACAATTCATAAAATAATTAACAAAGTGACAAAAGAAATAAGAGAGTATAATGAAGGAGCAATGTCGTTGATTGGATAATTAGGTCAACCCTGGTTCGTAGTTGTTAAAAGATGTGTTAGGTTTGAGTTCTTATTACTATTACAACGTCAGTGTATGGATTAGATGTATATTATCTGCACCACCCTCCTAAAGTGACCCCTTTTCTTCTTCTTTTTCTGCCTTTCCAGAAAACATCGTACGGTTGCCTTTTTAAGAAGAATTGCAGGTAACGTAAGTGGTAGAAGATGATAATATATAACTCCCTTTTTTTTTTAATAAAAAAGATGATACAAACTTTTCTTTTAACTCGATATATAAGAGCATTTTCAATGCAAGTATCTTATATAAGATATTTTACTTTGCAAATCTTATGATAAGATACTTTCTAAGATGCTTCATCCTATATTGAAGATGATCTAACATTCTTAGCTACTTCCAGTATCCGTAGTTTTCATCATTTTTGGCATTGTAACCATAGCCTTAATTAGTTAAGTATTCGCATATAACTTCAGATCTAATAAAATGGGTTCGAACATGCATGGGACCTGAATTGACACAACGACAATTATAATATCAAATATGAACCAACGAATTACAACAAAACATACAATATATCACTATATATGTTACCACACACACTCTAAAAGAGATAAATATTTTATCAGATAAATCTTGTAAATATGTGATGAATAATAATCGTAAATGTTTTAAAAATAAAAAGGTCAAAGGTAACGGTGGGCTGCATAAACAATGATTGTGTATGTACACTGTAGGTATTTCTTATATTCTCACGCGCTTCCTAATCATTTGTTAATTAGTTTAATTCCCGTCATTATGATTAGTATTAGTAGTAGGAGTATTATATATAACGATGCTTCCGCTTCTTCTTCCTTGCCACCAAAGACATACTTACAATTCCCACTGCTGAAACTACTCTTTTGCCACTTTCTTGCCATCCAAACAATTCACACAGTCCCCCCTTTTTATTATTGCTTCTCAAAAAAAACTCTCTTTTGTCATGTAAATTTGTTCTATGAATCGTTCCCAACCTTCATCAACGAGTTTCATTGTTGTTACGAGCTCAACAATCTTGGGTTCTTTGCTTCTGGGTCTTCTTATTTGGATTTTTGTGCATCTCTCTTCTATCCCTTAAACTTGTTTTAAGAATGTTCTGTAACATGGGTTTGTTCGATTTCAAGTAGTCTCCTTTTCGTTTCTCCCCTGTCTCGGGTTTAAACTCATCTTCTACCTCTTCCCAGAGGTTTTTAACGCAAATAAGCTCTCCAAGTGTTTGACGATTTGTCTGAGAGAAGGAAAAAAAAACAGAGGAGCTCAGAAACAGAGTATATTACAGAGAGAAGCCACCATGGAAGAGACTTTTGTTCCGTTTGAAGGTATCAAGAATGATCTCAAAGGAAGGTTAATGTGCTATAAACAAGATTGGACCGGAGGAGTCAAAGCTGGATTTAGGTACTACCATCATTGCTCACCTTTTCAAAATTTCTCTGTTTCTTATGATTTTTTTTTCATCTTATTGTAATTTATCAATTCTGAAGGATTCTGGCTCCCACAACATACATATTCTTCGCGTCTGCGATTCCTGTTATTTCATTCGGCGAACAATTGGAACGAAGCACTGGTACTGAATCTTCTCCTATGTAAAAAAAGGTTTTAAGCTTTAATTTGTTGATTGCAACTTGAATCGGATTGTGTAATTTGCAGATGGAGTTCTTACCGCTGTTCAGACACTGGCCTCCACAGCCATTTGTGGAATCATTCACTCCATCATTGGAGGCCAACCTCTGCTTATACTTGGAGTTGCAGAGCCCACTGTAATTATGTACACATTCATGTTTAACTTTGCCAAGGGGAGACCTGAATTGGGACGCAATTTGTTCTTGGCTTGGTCTGGATGGTAATGTTTTTCTCCTAATGTGATTGTTAAATAGTGAACAAATAGGCAATAATCTTGTTAAATATGTGCAGGGTTTGTGTTTGGACTTCGCTCATACTGTTTGTATTGGCTATATCTGGAGCTTGTTCAATTATCAACAGATTCACCAGAGTAGCTGGAGAATTGTTTGGACTTCTTATAGCTATGCTCTTCATGCAAGAAGCCATCAAAGTATGAAGAGTTGCCTTTTTTTCTTTTCAATATCAAGAATTTTATTTTAATTGCCTCTAATGCTTTGATTATGTATCCAGGGAATAGTCGATGAATTTCGCTCTCCTGCAAGAGAGGATCTGAAACTTCTGGAGTTTTTACCTTCCTGGAGATTTGCAAATGGGATGTTTGCTTTGGTTCTTTCCTTTGGTCTTCTTATAACTGCACTTAGAAGCAGAAAAGCCAGATCATGGAGATATGGAACAGGTAACGAAGCAGTTAGTCAACTTTTTTCTTTAATTCCCATGATCTGGAATCTCCTTATTCTAAGGATCTTGAGCAATCAATTATTAACTAAACAGTCATTGCTTACAAGTGGGGAGATCTCAGTCAGATATTCCTTGTTCTTAAAGAAACTTAATTCCCTTTACTGAAACATTATTCTTGGAACAGGCTGGCTTAGAAGTTTAATAGCTGACTATGGTGTTCCACTCATGGTTCTGGTGTGGACCGGTGTCTCCTACATCCCAACAGGAGATGTTCCAAAAGGAATTCCTCGGCGACTTTTTAGCCCAAATCCTTGGTCCCCTGGTGCTTATGAGAATTGGACCGTTGTTAAGGTGTGATAAATTTATCTTGAAATTCAAACACACCCCCGCAAGAACATATGACTAATGACTAGTGACTTTGATTTCTCAGGAGATGCTTCAAGTTCCAGTTGTATACATAATTGGAGCATTCATTCCAGCAACAATGATTGCAGTTCTTTACTACTTTGACCATAGCGTAGCATCACAACTTGCACAACAGAAAGAATTCAATTTGAGAAAACCGTCTTCTTACCACTATGATCTGCTTCTTCTTGGATTTTTGGTAAGAATCTACAGGAAATAGTAATTGCTTCTTCTTTTTTGGCCTCAGTCTCCTACTAACTCCGCCATTTTCAGACCTTAATGTGTGGTCTACTCGGAATCCCTCCATCTAATGGAGTCATCCCTCAATCACCGATGCATACCAAGAGCTTAGCAACACTAAAATATCAGGTACCTTACCAACACCGATTGTCTTTTTGGGTTGTTTTACCCTTCAGGCCTTGGATTTAAGCTTGTTGTTTGTTCTTTCCACAGCTGCTTCGGAACAGATTAGTTGCAACTGCGCGCAGAAGCATCAAGCAGAATGCGAGTCTAGGACAATTGTATGGAAGTATGCAAGATGCTTATAATCAAATGCAGACCCCATTAGTCTACCAGCAGCCGCAGGTAAAAATCTTCAGTGTAACTTTTCAATTTTTCAATGGAGTAATATGGTTAGAGGCTAAATGGAGAGTAAACTATATCTTCCGCAGGGTTTGAAAGAGCTGAGAGAATCAACAATCCAAGCAACGACATTCACAGGAAATCTTGATGCTCCAGTTGATGAAACTCTGTTTGATATCGAGAAAGAGATCGATGACTTATTGCCAATTGAAGTCAAAGAACAGAGAGTGAGCAATTTGCTTCAAGCAATAATGGTTGGAGGATGTGTTGCAGCTATGCCTCTCCTTAAAATGATCCCAACATCAGTCCTTTGGGGTTACTTTGCCTTCATGGCAATCGAAAGCCTTCCCGGAAACCAATTCTGGGAAAGAATCTTGCTTCTCTTCACAGCCCCAAGCCGTCGATTCAAGTAAAATCTCAATCTTTTGTATCGCATTTTACTCTCTTCAGAACCGCTACTCAACGACTTACCAAATTTGCAGGGTGCTTGAAGATAACCACGCGACATTCGTGGAAACTGTTCCATTCAAAACGATTGCAATGTTCACTATTTTCCAAACAACTTATCTTTTAACCTGCTTTGGTCTCACGTGGATCCCAATCGCTGGAGTTATGTTCCCTCTAATGATCATGTTTCTAATACCTGTAAGACAATATATCCTCCCAAGATTCTTCAAAAGTGCTCATCTTCAGGACTTAGATGCAGCAGAATATGAAGAAGCACCTGCTTTACCATTCAATCTCGCAGTACCGGTAAAGGACTCCACTACCAATTCAAATCAATATCCATTTTTCTTTAAATTCTTGAACAATTGTTAACAGATTTTGGATTTTGCAGGAAGCTGAAATGGGATCAACAGCTTCGTATCCATGTGATTCAGAGATTCTTGATGAGTTTATTACAAGAAGCAGAGGAGAGTTTAGACACACATGTAGTCCTAAAGTTACTAGCTCGACTTCAACTCCGGTTTATAATCGGAATTTGTCTCAAGTGTTTAGTCCTAGAGTGAATGATTTAAGAGGTGAGATGAGTCCTAGGCTTGTCGGGAAAGGGCAAAGTAGTCCAAAGCCGAGTCCTTTAAACCCATCCTCGTCGTCAAAATGAGTTTAGCCATTATGGAGGCATAATAAAATTGGAGGAGATTATGTTTAAAATTAGCTGATTAACTGATCTTGGATCTAATGCTTTCTCTTTTACCTACGTTTTTATGTTTGTATTGCTGCTCTTGTTCTTAAATCATTGTAAAATCTCTTACTTACACTGTGGAATGCCGGTAAATTATACTATGTAGTAATAAAGGTTCTTTTTTCTTCTTTGTGTCTGTGAAAAACCAAACTGAACATACAGTTTTATCAAAAGCCATGAACCAAGTATAGAGAATATGTAGCTAATTACTCCAATAACTGTTTCACAAATTTGGCCACAACAACGCTAATATTTATGTTATGTGAAGCAGTAGCATCAAATGAACTCATGTTCTATTGGAAGAGGGGTTTAAGGACCACATCATCATCATATCACCTTACTTTAACGAAAAGAAAGTTTGAGAGCAAATCGAATGGAAACATGAAAAAGAAGAACGGCAAGAAAAGTTATAAGCTAAAGCAAAAGTTATGACCATGCAGTTCGAACAAGTGCGCATTTGCTTGCATGTGCTACAAAACAAGACAAGGGTCAACTTCTTGATAAACGAATTCCAACCAGGAAAAACAATAGGCAAATCACCAGTGTTTGATGTTTTAAAGGTAAATAAAAATACTTAATTAGGATAAAGTTAAGAACTTGTGATCGTTTTTGAAGTTCTAATTATTAGAACGACTTAAGAAAGTAGTGGACTGAAATCTTCCTCCGGATCAGTTTTTATTCTAGTAAACTTTGTTTAGAGAAGCCACTAGCTGGTATGTGACACAAGTTTCCTAAAAACGAAGACTAAATTGGTGATGTTAATCATCATGACCATATGCTATAGACTGACAAAGTTTAGGGATCATTGTCAACAAGGACGGTTCTAACTTGCATGCATGTGAACATAAAATATTCTATAAAGTGGCTGTGTTTAATTTGAGGTATTCAAAACTAATACTCAAACTCTAATAAAATAATTTTCTGAAGAAAGCTTCCAGTTTTAGTGGCCAACAACAAAAGGTAGAGTAATGGAAAATTCTTGCTTATCTTTCATTGGCATAAGCCAAATGGACTTGACAGATCTGTGAGACTACAATAGTGATCAATATAGGCTTACGTCAATGTCTTAATTCGTCAAGAGATCTTTGTCTTAATCTGTGTGTCTGTCCTCTGTGACTTGGACCAACAACGTAAGTCCCCTAAAAGCAAAATCCTACGTACTCTTCAAGTTTCTTTTTGATGGTCGGGAGATTAGACATTCTCGTTGACCATCTCCCACGTTTTGTCTATACACCACAGTAACTTAACTTGATCAAAACCTGTCTAGCATTATCTCTCTTATTGAGTTTATAATGGGCTAAAACACTTCATTCCATGTTAAAAAGCCTTATGGGCTTTCTTCTGAGTTAAGAAGTCCAGCAAACGCGTTCGTGCATCATCATTCATCATCAACGTGACGATATTTCCGTAAGTGTGCCTCATACATTATTGATTATTTCAACCCATATAACACAAGTACACAACACCAGTCACCAGCAACATTTTGCTGAGTCATATGCTGATTAGTTTGTTAATTGTTATTGTTTAGATATTTCTTTATGCTGAAAGACGAAGACTTCTTGGATCTAGATTTTAAATTGGTTATTTATTAGACTTTCTACGACGAATCACGGTTCACAATTTAGCCACCTTGATTTAGTCTAAAAGAAACATTATTATTATTATTATACACAAAGGAAAGTAATAGATATTTGTCTCAAACAGTCAAAATTGAGAAGAAAAATAAAATAAAAAACATCATATAAAATAAGAATTAGGTGATGGCTTTTGGATCATAGTGAGCACTTAACTTGTTAATCTGTCTCTACTCTAGGCAAATGTGTAAAGATAGATGCCACTAAACAAACAACAAAAAAATAGAAAAAGAAAAAGAAGACCTCCGACGTGGCATTACAAAATCTATAAACTTGGGATCCAAGGTCACAAGTGTGGACATGAACAGAAAGGTCTTAAAGATTCTGGTCGAGAAAGTTCTGGATTTACAAAAGTAACCCTCTATGTATAATCATATCACCGAAATATCTCCGTTATTTCCAGGGAAGTCCTCGGGTGGTTGAAGGGTACCGCGCGTCAAAGTTGGAATGACACGTGGCATGATCAGGGCTTTGTCTTAGCCGTGTGTAATCCACAAACTAATTAAAACACTTGCAGAAAGATAATAATCTACATAAGCAACCGACTCGACACATATGACCGCCACGTGTCGACTGTATCAACCGGTTAACCAAGTCACCCACAAATCCGAGTATTTTATATATTGAAAAGGCCCACGCACACGGCTCAGAAATTTCGTCCACGAGAGGAATAAAAACACACACGCCATCTTCGAAATTGTCAATTTTTCGTTGAACACAAGTGACAATTTTAATAGAGAAAGAGAGTTTAATCAGAGATTTCGAGTAAAAATTTTCTGAAGATTTGAAAGGGTTTGATTTTAAATTATTGAAATTGAAATTGATTGAGAAGTTAAAGAGACAGATGGTAGCAGAAGCAGAGGTTGTGTTTCAACATAGTTTACCGGCGGTTCTGGAGATTGAGTTGTTTGATGAAGTTTCTTCTCCCAAACTTGGTTTTACTGACTCCGTTCCCGCAGGTTTAACGACTTCTCCTGTGGTCGTAAGTCTTTTTCCCCTAACTTTCCGACATGTTTTAAAGTTTTTTTTTTTCTTTTTCTTTTTGGGTTCTTTGTGAAAGAGAATTTAAAAAGCTGGGTTCGTAAATGAATCGTCAGTTATTAGGAATTTGACTGAATTTCTTTGGTAGGCATATAGGATTCTATATGATAATCAAAGAATGATAGATGACTCTTAAGTAATTTGAAACGGTTTGGGACACTTGCGAACATGATCCTTGTATCCCTTAAGCTTACATGACCTCTAGTTTATGTATGTTCGAGTGTCGTATAAAATATTAGATGCTTGTTGTCTGAAACTTTGCGCAAATTAAGTAACTTTCAAGCTGTTAATCTTGCTGGAAAATCCTTCTGTAATTAGTTATTGTGTCTTGTTAACATGTCTTGTCTTTACTGCTTGTGTTTCATTTATTGTTATACTCTCAATTGAGTAAGCCTTTTCGTTTCTATTTTTCATTAATTCCCGAACTGGGAGCTATTTTGATGGTTTAAAGATTTGTTCTTTTAGTGACTGCGGAGATTTTGATCTATGTTTTTTCTATAACGTATATTGTTTATACTTAAGCAGGGTGATTGCGATCCTAGTGTCTCAGATTATGTTCCGACCATCCGGTCTGGAAGCTTTGCTGATATCGGCCCAAAGAGATGCATGGAAGATGAACACATTCGCATAGACGATTTATCTTCTCAGGTTGGGTCGCTGTTTGAGTTGCCTAAGCCTAGTGCTTTCTATGCGGTAATATATTCTTCGTATGCTCTCTTTAAGGATGTGTATTTTGCCTGGTTTGTTTGTCTTCCTCAAAATCTAATGCTCTTTTAAATATATATTTTGACTTGACTTCCTCTCTTTAGGTTTTTGACGGTCATGGAGGACCAGAAGCAGCAGCATACGTTAGGGAAAATGCCATTAGGTTTTTCTTTGAAGATGAGCAGTTTCCACACACATCGCAAGTCGATAGTGTTTATGTGGAAGAAGTTCAGAGTTCATTGAGAAACGCGTTTCTTCAAGCTGATCTTGCTTTGGCAGAGGATTGCAGCATCAGCTCTTCTTCTGGTACCACTGCGCTCACTGCTCTTATATGTGGAAGGTACCTCTTTCATTCAGTTTCAGCTCTTATACTAGATGTTTACTTTTACGTATATAACCTGTGATCTCAGCAAGATATGTATGGTCCTCTAGTTGTTATATGCTCTCTGTTGTTGCTTTTGAGGGTAAGGTGTGGGCATTAGGTTGTCTGGTTTGGTTATTTCGGTTGATCCAGTTTGAGCACAGTTTCATGGTTCTCTTGTTTTTTGCAGACTCTTAATGGTTGCAAATGCTGGAGACTGCAGAGCGGTTCTATGCAGGAAAGGCAAGGCGATGGACATGTCGGAAGACCATAAACCAATTAATTTACACGAGAGGAGAAGAGTAGAAGAATCTGGCGGTATCATCAACAATGATGGCTATCTAAATGAGGTCTTAGCTGTAACACGGGCTCTCGGCGATTGGGAATTAAAAATTCCACACGGCTCTCAGTGTCCGCTAATTTCTGAACCAGAAATCAAGCAGGTAACTTTGACCGAGGATGATGAGTTTCTTGTGATAGGATGCGATGGGATTTGGGATGTCTTGACGAGCCAAGAAGCAGTTAGCATTGTTAAGCGTGGCTTAAACCGACACAACGATCCAACAAGATGTGCGAGAGAGCTTGTGATGGAGGCTCTGAGGAGGAACTCATTTGATAATTTAACTGCGGTTGTGGTATGTTTACTGACGACAGAGCGAGGAGACGAGCCGGTGGTGTCTATGGAGAAGAGACGGTGTTTTAGTCTTACACCGGAGGCTTTCCGTAGCTTGAGGAATCTGTTGGATGGCTGAAAGTGAAACTGCTGTGGTTTTGGTGATGATACCAATGACTATAATTGATGATGACGAATAACAAACTCTCGAACGCTGCATTTGTGTTGGGACTTTAGAGGTTCTAAACAGCGGCTGAGAGAAATTTGCATATTACGTGTGCTAGTTTTGTGTACAGTATGTAATTACATTTTTGTGTACATACTGTTAATTGTCTGTGAATACTGAAAAGTGAGTGATAAAAGAAGAATTTGATTTACCCAATAAAGAGAGAAGAATTTGATGAATTATCGATTCCAAAACTTTACATATAAAGTCAACAGATTCATTTGAGACTATATATAGGGAAAATTAAAAAGCTACTACACCCAATCTAAGTACCAAATGTAGTTACTTTAACATTTAATAAGAAACAACTACACTACTGTCAGTCAAGTCGACCACAGTATTAAATCCTGAAACCAGAGAAAAGGTTGAATAACATCGGTGGCAATCTCGTTTATTATAGTGATCAGAAGCAAAAGTGCTTTGCTTTATTTTATATGTAACATATGTGAGTATAATGATAAACTATGGAGAGTGTTAATGGTCGACCTTAGACATGTGATTAGTGTTCTGATAACATAATAAGAGAATAGAACATGCACCTAACAATTGTTATATGCAGTGTCCGCCATACACCCCATTGCAACAAATATATATATATATCTCCCTTAACATGGTTACAAACTTGTATCGCTGAATAAATTTGCACTTGTAGTATGCACGCATATTATTTGAAATTAGAGCGAGCTAACCATTGGACAATCTTTAGAACAAAGATAATTAAGCGACAAGAAATTCCATAAGCATATACATAAATCAAAAACCTATTTAAATCGTGGAGCCATAGTTGTATATTATTAGCCTGACTAGGATTCTGAATTGTTGTCAACACGAAATGATCTAATTCCAATTAAAGAGATGAGCATAATATGATATCCATAAGAACCTAGGAACTTTAATCATTCATAAACCAGAACAAACGATGTTCAACATTGAATCCATAAACAACAAAAAAAAACGCTTACAAAATTCCCAAATGGAAATGAAGTTTTTTAAAGATAAGACAGATGATAGAGAGCGAGAGATCTAACATAAGAAGAGATCATTCGTCACCTCCCTCTTTCTGGTAAACGTAGGTGAGTCCACACTTACCACAGTAATGGCGATCAAAATGACTGGCCATGAAGGTACCAGCTCCACAAGTTGCGTTAGGGCACTCTTTCCTCAGACGCTGAACTTTGCCAGATCCATCGATTTTGTAAAACTGAAGAACAGCGAGCTTCACCTTCTTATGCTTGTGCTTGATTTTCTTGGGCTTGGTGTAAGTCTTCTTCTTCCTCTTCTTAGCACCACCACGGAGACGGAGCACCAGATGAAGCGTCGATTCCTTCTGGATGTTGTAGTCGGCCAGAGTGCGGCCGTCTTCCAGCTGCTTCCCGGCGAATATCAACCGCTGCTGGTCCGGTGGGATCCCTTCCTTGTCTTGGATCTTCGCTTTCACATTGTCGATCGTGTCTGACGACTCCACCTCTAGGGTTATGGTCTTCCCCGTTAGGGTTTTCACGAAGATCTGCATCTTTTGAGGCAACGGCTCGAGCTAAATTTCAGAATGGGGATTTTGTAGGAATCAAGAGACAAGGTGTCGCTAGGGTTTTGGAGCTCAATTACGTTACTATCCTTGTTTTATTTGGGTTTTGGGCTTTCACTGATTAGTTTGTTTTAGTCAGTCTCTAGGGCCTTTGTGGCTCACCAAAACCTAAAAAGTACAAAATAAATAAAATATTGGAGATGCAGGGAATCGAACCCTGTGCCTCTCGCATGCAAAGCGAGCGCTCTACCATATGAGCTACATCCCCTAATGGGAATTTTAGAAACAAGTTATAATAATATTTGTATATTTCTTTTTTTTTGTTTTTGTTTTGTTTTTGTTTTGGTATTTGTTTGACCGGCCTTTGATGATTCGGAGACCTTTAATATTCTTCATCTTGCCTTAAAGCCTGCCCTCTTTCAGAACCCTAGATCTCTCTGCTCGTCATCTTTATTGTTGTCGCTTTGAATCAATTCTCAATCTCAATCCCAAAATTCAGGAACAGACATGGATGATAGCTGTGCCGTCTGCGCTGAAAATCTCGAATGGGTTGCCTATGGATCTTGTGGCCACCGAGAAGTTTGCTCTACATGCGTCGTTCGTCTCCGTTTCGTCCTTGGCGATCCTCGATGCTGTATCTGTAAGACTGAGTCTCCTATTGTCTTCGTCACCAAGGTGATTACGGTTTCCTCTTCTTAATCACTGTTTACTCTTCAATTGTATCTATGTTACCAATGTTCTCGCAATTTCTCTTTTTTCCGTCTGATAGATAAATTTTGGTAGGTTTTGGAACTACCCTTCTATGACAATTACTTAATAATGAAGAAGTTATTGCAATTTTTTCATCTTTTTCTATCTTAGTTCATCTATGTCTTCCCATGAATGCTGATAAGGGATTTTATGAAATCAATTTGCAGGCATTGGGTGATTATACAAGGACGATCAATGACTTCTCCACCTTCCCTTCAGCACCAAAGGAAGGTCGAGTAGGAGCGTTTTGGTATCATGAAGACACTCAGGCTTTCTTTGATGACTTGGATCAGTACAGGATGATCAAAGCAATGTGTAGGCTTTCCTGCAGTGTTTGTGACAAGGCGGAAGATCAACCAAGACATCATCGTCAGCGTATTAAGAGTGTTGAACAGTTGAAGGGTCATTTATATCATAAGCACAAATTGCATATGTGTGGTTTATGTCTGGAAGGGCGAAAGGTGGGAGCTTCAAAACTTTCATATGTGCAGATTATTTGCTAATATCTCCTCCCAAGCTTTTCTCATTTGTTTACCTCTGTGTGTGTCTCTCTCTACATGTACAGATATTTATTTGTGAACAAAAGTTATACACAAGGGCACAACTGAACCAACACATACACACTGGTGACTCTGAAGTTGATGGTAATGAGAGCGAAAGGGCAGGCTTTACTGGACATCCTATGTGTGAATTCTGTAGGAATCCCTTCTATGGTGATAATGAGTTGTTTACACACATGTCTACTGAGCATTACACCTGCCATTTTTGCCAAAGGTAATGGCAATTTATATTAATGAGTTCTTGATATTGAGAGTGTTATTCCAATGACTTCATGGGCTTCAATGTCTAATATAGGTCGAATCCAGGACAATATGAATATTACAAAAACTATGATGACTTGGAGGTAACATCAACTACTTTCAATATAGCCCAGTTAAATTGTGGCAGCATCTGTTCTCACTCTATATGTTTTTGCAACAGATTCACTTCCGCAGAGACCATTTCATTTGTGAAGACGACTCCTGCCTTGCTAAGAAGTTTATAGTTTTCCAAAATGAATCAGAGTTGAAAGTAAACACTTCTGGAGAACTTCTCAATTTTCTTTTCTTCAGTTTGGGTCTATGGTTTTTTTGTTAAGGATTTATATTTGTTTTTTTTTTTCAGAGGCATAATGCTACTGAGCATGGAGGTAGAATGTCTCGGTCTCAGCGAAGCGCTGCTTTACAGGCATGTAAACATCTCTTGCCTATTGTCTTTGTTAATTTATCATCTTGTTTGCTTGACTGTGTTTAACATTACATTGCGCTCCAGATACCAACAAGTTTCCGATACCGACGTGGAAATGATCAAGATAATCGTCGTGGAAGAGCAAGATCATTTCGTCGTGAACCTGGTGATGATGAATATAATCTTGCAGTTCATGAGGCTCTTCGTTTATCTGAGGCTGAGTATTCCCGGCAAGAGCCTGCTCCTCCACCCTCAAGTGCACCACCTGGATTCTCTAATAACAACAACATACATATAGATGATGCTGGCCCTCTTATTGAACCAATGGAATCTCTATCAACTACAGATATGGAACCTTCTTCACGATATCTTCAAGCTGTAGGAAGCTCTGGTGGTGGTGGGTCACGTCTTGGAGAATCTGCTTTCCCTCCTCTTTCTGGTCAACCTAGATATGGACAGAACTTGGATAGTTTGCCTACTAACACCATGGCTGCTCGTCTAAAACGCCAAGCAAATCGAACTACTACTGCTTCTGCTATTTCTAGTCCTTCTCATGGATGGCCAGCAGTTAACCGTGGCGTAGCACAAGCATCTATTACAACTGGCGGTAACCATTCTTCTTCGGGATGGCCAGCAATAGCTCGAACGCCTGTACAAGCATCTAGTTCTTCAGTCCAATCTAGGTCCCATGCCAAAGCTTCTCAGCCTAGGCCTCTGGCTTCTGCAGTTCCACAGGCTGTTCGGAATGCGAATAGGATTCCTCACTCATCCTCAGCCCCTGATCTATCTGATACAAGATCTCTTCGGCCTTCTCCTACAGATTTTCCTCCAGTTTCGTCTGCTGTTGTGCAAAATCGTAAGACACCATCCACCTCAACACAAGGATCTCCAAACACCCAACTGCCTCCAGATGTTCAATCCGCCAACAAATCATTGATTGAGAAAATAAGATCTGCACTTGGTCATGATGAAGATGTATTCATGGCCTTTAAGCATGTTTCAGGACAGTATCGTCAAGGTTTGATTGATGCAAGAACTTACTTGGAGTATGTGAATGGCTATGGATTGTCTCACTTGGTCATCGATCTTGCTAGCCTGTGCCCTGACCCCAATAGGCAGAAGGAACTCATTGATACCCACAATGCTAGTTTGAGTGGTTTAAAGGTGAATGGTCAGTCTGTTGCGCAGAGCTCTTCTCAAACTAATGAGAGACCAAGTTCAAAGAAGAATAAAGGAAAAGCTGTGAAAGTTGTTGATCCGAAAGAAACTTTAGCAGATAATTTTATGGATACAGTGAGGAGATTACAATCCTCACAGAATCCTCAGGAAGTAGAAGAGGAGAGAATATCGAAAGATAAGAATACATATAGGACGGACAAGGGTAAGTCACAAGTAGTAGGTACAGATTCTTCTTCAACCGTAAGTAAGCAGCAACGTAAGAAAACTTCTAAGTTTCACAGAGTGCGGCTTGGGGATGGATCAATGGCTGCGTTACTAGATCTTAACAACTCTAACCATGAGGTAAAATCAGAGTCAAATGATGGTGATTTTAGTAGTAACCAAAAGCAAACCGGTGTTTTACCAGTTCGTGGTGTTTGGCGTAAAGGAGGTGCGAATCTTTTCTCGTAAAGAAGGAATTCTCTAATATGCTATTAGGCTAAGATTGGTGAGTGTGAAGAAGATACATTGTTCGTACTTAACATTTACCAAAAAAAAAGATACATTTTTCTCTCTCGTTTTTTATGTAATTGGAATTTTTTTTTTCTTCCAAGAGATGGTTTTTCATCTTTCTTTTAAAAAAATAGTGAATTAAAATGTTACTTTCTTATAGAAGGATTAACATGGTTTAAAAAGAAAAATTCTAATATTTGACCAAAAAATATAAAAAAAATGTAACATTTTATGTAGACAAGTTTTAACTACTAGCAATATATAAAGAAGATTTGCAAAGAAGTGGTTACATAATCTTAATTTATATCGTAAATTCTAATCGGGAGTATGCAAAAATGGTAACAAATCAGTAAACATAGCATGTTGTTTATGAAAAGTTGTAAACGAACATTTTTCCTTTTTGAGAATAATGAATTTGTAGAATATATTTATATCATGTTAAATTTGTTGATAAATATGATTTTTTCATATGTTCCTTATTAGAGGGGTAATTAACAGATCAATAGACTGTATTAAAATAAAAATAAAAATGAAAACTATTTTCAGTTTTTCAAGTCTTAAATAAAATTGCAACAGTGTGATTACAGACATAGAAACCACATTTTATTCGGTAGTTTTAAAACGAAAACAACATTGTATCAGGTAACACACCCGAATAATTCAACCTTGAGGTTCCTTAGTGCAGATAGATGGTCATCTCCTCCGAGCCTCTCTCGAACGTTGTGCCCACCTCTTCGGCTGCTGCACGAAAACGATCCGATTGATCCTCAGTGAGTCCCATTGGCAGATAAATATCAACTCGGTCCAACACACGACAGAGCCGAATCAGATATTTGAGAACCTCCATTTCATGTCTCCCGCCGCAAAAGTTCCAAATCTCAATGTTTTTAAGTGTATTTATCATACACGCATGCGCGTCGCTAAAACTCCAAAAGGTTTCTGCGTCGACGTGAGGTACCATCATCTGGACAGGCATGGACACAACTAGCTGAAATGTTAAGGTCTCAAGATAAGCACAGCTTTTGATCATGAAACTGATTCCTGTAAACTCAATGGGTTCAAGATTCGTCTTGAGCACCAATTGCCTAGTCTCCATCTCGGCTTTTAGACGAAGTGGATACGCACTCTGGATCACTTGAATGAGAAAAGGACAGATCGTTTTTGTCTTCGCCGATGCAAGGTTGGAGAGGAGATCACGAAGCTGATTTCCAAGGCCTTCATGGTAAACTGACTCTCGACCAAAATCCAAAGAGACCTCATCCACACTCTTATTCACATTACTCAATCCAAAGAAATGGACTCTTCCAGCATACTTAAACTCCAGAATACTTGGCAACTCAAGTGTAGAAGACTGTACCGCAAAGCCACAGTTCTTGAACACCAACCTGAGCAGCCGGCTGTTGTACCCGGTGATTGCTTCAAGACCAACGTTCCAGCAACGCTTAATGCTTAGGCTCTCCAGAAGAGGTGTTTTTAACAACAAAGCCGAGAACATCGTTAGTTGCATCCAGCCAAAATAAAGGGTCACTACCGAAGCCGCTCCGGCAAGCTTTGATGGTTCGAACCGGCAAGCGAGCAGCTTCAACGTCACGAGGGTGGTTAGATTGTAAAAGCTCTCCGGAATTTGAATCATGTTGGCTGCTTCAGTTGCTTCGACTTCTTCTCTGTTAACCCACTGCCTGTCGGAGAAGTCAAGAACAAGATTCTGGACCTTCCTACTGGCTGCGAAATCAATGAGAGTCTTCATTTCTTCTTCGAAACCAACAGGTTTTGAAAATGTGAGCTCGAAACTTTCGATAATCCCACCGGCATAAAGGGACACCCATTCTACCATGTACTGAACGAACCGAGCCCTTTTCGTATGAAGATCATCTTCCGCCGGATAAGTGCGCGTGATCTCACGCTCATTAAAGCGAATGTTTCTACCTTCACGATGAATGTGATTCCAGCGTTTGGAAAGAACGCTTGTTTTCAAGCAATCCTTAAAGGATAGGCGAGAAACAATGAGGACTAAGAGAAAATCCGACAGCATAGAGATTAGGTCAACTCCATCGTTCCCGGCATCCATTGTTAAAGATTTTGATAAAATGATGAACGGATCCGAGGAAGAGGTATGGGTGTTGCTCTGAAGAGTTTGCTGCTTGAGTACGGGTGAGAAGGCTGAGAGTGTTTCTCGTTTCTTTATATATCTAGTTGAAAGGTTACGACCCTATGCTTCTTTTTTTTGGCGGGGTTCGTTTTCACTTCAACCGCTCTTCTCTGTTTAATTGTCGAACAATGTCCTTTTTATTCTTCAAGAGTTGCAACGGTAAAAGCCGAAAAAAAAAATAATAACTGAGCTATACTGGGCCGATTACTGAATGAACTCATAACGGGCTTAGTTCAGTGACCCAATAAAAGAGGCCCAATAGAGACCAGAAAATATAAATCACCGACCGTCTTGTCTTGTTATCATCCAACGGCGTGAAGGAACGTTGACTAGCTGTCAAACGTTGACATTTAAGTCAAGTTAGAGAGAGAGAGCAGAGAGAGAGCACCACAGTGAGGGAAATAAGTGGGTCCTACCAAAAAAGGGTTCGATATCTTCCTTTTTACAGAAGCAGCAAGCAGCACACACACCACCAAGCCTTTTTTGTTTTTATACATTCTTCTTCTTCTTCATCGATTTCTTAGATCTTCGAAACCTCTATAGTCTCTACTGTTCATCCTTCGTCTCATTTGGATCTCAAAAGGTTAGCTTTTTTGCTTCGATTATTTCTAATTTCATGAATTGATTCATTAGTGATTCCGATTTTGATCATCCTGTCCTCTCGATTATTTTTTCCGTTACCATTTTGTATCTTTGGTTTTGGATTAGTGTTCTCCTGCCGCCCAACCTTTTTTTTGTTTGTTTTTGAATTTTGAATGGTTTGTTTGCTTTGATTTCAGATTTTGGATCTTTTGGTTTAGTTTCTGTAGATTGTAATCCCAGCTTTATTAGTAGGCTCTTCAGCTAGATGATTATGATACACGAGTTTGGATTTTGCTTTATATGCTTGCAGGAAACAATGAGCTGTTTTGGCTGTTGCCGTGAAGATGATTTGCTTGGAGCTGCTGATTATGGAGGTCACAATATGACCAAGCAATCCGGAGGTATTATTTTTCAGTATAAATATTCATTTTTCTTCTGCTTATCTGTCCTCTGTGAGTTGATTTTGTTTCCCTTGATGGGAGTGAAGGTAATGATGGAAGGCGCAATGGTTCTGAAACTGCTCAAAAAGGTGCTCCAAGTGTGAAGGTTCAGCCTATTGAAGTAGCTGCTATTCTCGCTGATGATCTGATCGAAGCAACCAATGATTTTGGACCAAATTCTCTCATCGGTGAAGGCTCCTATGCCAGAGTGTATCACGGTGTGTTGAAGAGTGGTCAGCGTGCAGCCATTAAGAAGTTAGATTCTAACAAACAGCCTGATGAAGAATTCCTTGCTCAGGTTTGGTTGATACTCTAGGCTGTTTTTTTGATGGGCTATGTGTCACATTGTACGTCTTTGCATTTGATGTTTTTGAAACGAACCTGCAGGTTTCCATGGTTTCGAGGTTGAAGCATGCTAACTTTGTTGAGCTGCTTGGTTACTCTGTTGATGGCAATTCGAGGATACTTGTCTTTGAGTTTGCCCAAAACGGATCCCTCCATGATATTCTTCATGGTACATACAATGTTGAAAGCATATGTGTTTTACTTCACTTGAGAAAGTGATTTTGTTGATGTTATAACAATATCCTATGATTTCCACAGGGAGAAAAGGTGTAAAGGGTGCAAAGCCTGGTCCACTCTTGTCATGGCATCAGCGAGTGAGTATTGCGGTTGGAGCAGCAAGAGGGCTTGAGTACTTACATGAAAAGGCAAATCCTCATGTCATCCACCGCGACATTAAGTCCAGCAATGTTCTAATCTTTGATAATGATGTAGCCAAAATCGCCGACTTTGATCTGTCAAACCAAGCTCCTGATATGGCAGCACGCCTTCATTCAACTCGTGTTCTTGGAACTTTTGGTTACCATGCCCCGGAGTAAGTTGGTTTTCATTTCTTCTTCTTCTTCTTCAGCTCCATTACTCAATCGTCATTCTCTCATGTGCTTGTCTTTGCTTATATAGATATGCAATGACTGGGCAATTGAGTGCCAAGAGTGATGTGTACAGTTTCGGAGTTGTATTGCTCGAGCTTCTTACGGGTAGAAAGCCTGTTGATCATACATTGCCTCGAGGCCAGCAAAGTTTAGTCACATGGGTAAAAATACTAATCTCTCTCGAAGATTAACAATCTTGCATCATCAACTTTTCAGGGATCTTACTAAACAGTCAAAACTCTTGTTTGGCCTTAGGCTACACCAAAGCTAAGCGAAGACAAGGTTAAGCAGTGCGTTGATTCAAGACTCGGAGGAGATTACCCGCCAAAAGCTGTTGCCAAGGTATAAACAGAAACCAGTCTTCAACTAATGATTAGGACATAAAAACAGTCTTGATTCAAGTGTTGTGCGTTTGATCGTCTTTGTTGTTGTTGTTGTTGATAATGCAGTTAGCTGCAGTTGCTGCATTGTGTGTACAATACGAAGCAGATTTCAGACCAAACATGAGTATTGTCGTGAAGGCTCTGCAACCATTGTTGAATGCTCGGACCGGACCTGCAGGAGAAGGAGCACATTAGTCTTGACCCTTTGGCCGTCACTCACCGTTTAAAATTGTTATTTTATTTTATACTGGAGAAATAATTTCATATGACCATCAAACATAGTGTTCATAGAATTCTGACATTGGTACTAATGATTTGACCACTAAACTACAATCCTGTTTATAAATTTAAAAGAAGTGGTAGTAAATTGCTCGAGCTTTTTAAATATAGAAATATGTATAAAGTATAGTAGAAAACACATTGAACTGTTAAATAAACTTGATTTATTTATTATTTTGTTAAAGGGAAGTTAGGACGTATACGTCGTGACAATTGGAAAAACAGAAAACGGGAAGAAGTTTCGTCGTGGAAAACAGAACCGCTGAGTCTTCTTCGTTGAGTCAAGGTCAACGTACGTCAACGAAACCACAGTATCACACCACACCACTCAACCAATGCCAGCCAACAAGGCATTAACCACGACTCTCAACCAATCGAAACGCTTCACTTTTCATTTCCTAAAATACCCTTCCTCTCGCCCATACTTGAGAGGCAAAATCGTCAAATCACCACTCGTTTCAACCGTAGGAGAATTATAAAAAGAGAATAAGGAAGAGCAAATAGATACTTTAATAATTGAGAGAAAAAGCCCTCGTTCGACGCTTCCTCTGATTTAATGTCTACGAACGCGGCGGGGGATGGTGATTCCGGAACGACTTCGGTGGCGGCGGAGATGGCTGAAGCTCAGTACGTGAGGGCGAAGACGTCAGTATGGTGGGACATAGAGAACTGTCAAGTCCCAAAAGGTCTTGATGCTCATGGAATTGCGCAGAATATTACTTCGGCGCTTGGTAAGATGAACTACTGCGGTCCTGTTTCAATCTCTGCTTATGGAGATACCAATCGTATTCCTTTAACGATCCAGCATGCTCTCAATTCTACTGGAATCGCGCTCAACCACGTCCCTGCTGGTGAATTCCTTAAACCCTTTATCCGAATCAAACATCTCTGTTACTTCTACTTTATTTTTGCTATCTCTATATCTAAAAGTTTGATGATGTTTTGAATGTTTTATACATGCCTTACAGCCTCTGGTTGGATTTGAACTCTGTATTGAATCTTTGTTTAGGGTCTTTGACTAAACTATTATTTTACTTTTCCTCAGGAGTGAAAGATGCCAGTGATAAGAAGATTCTAGTGGACATGTTGTTTTGGGCATTGGACAATCCCGCCCCTGCAAATTTTATGTTAATTTCAGGAGATAGAGACTTCTCCAATGCTCTTCATGGATTGAGAATGAGACGTTACAATATATTACTGGCACAGCCTCTGAAAGCATCAGTTCCGCTTATTCATGCTGCAAAGACTGTGTGGCTTTGGACAGGCCTATCAGCTGGAGGATGTCCTCTCACCCCAAGCGAAAGCTCACAGCTTGTTGTGAATGCGACTCTCCAAGCCTCTGCTTCTGAGACGTCAACTCCGGAGTGTATTCGATCAAGCCAACCTCTGGATTCAAATTCTGACCCTAGAAGAATTGGTGACAACAAATTTAAGTTAAAATACCTTCCAAAACCATCAAATCAGCAGCCTGCTGTGCCAAAGGTTCAGGAAAGTAAGCCAAACAATAACTACCGTCAGCAGCAGAACACTCAAGGGAAACAATTTAAGAAAGCTCCACATGAGGTTTTTGGCAGTAGCGAGCCATCTAGTAGACCTCCTCCCAATTTACCCTCTAGCAATGTTAACCATTTCCCTGGTAATGTGATGAGTAACCCTCAGAATCAGAATCAGAATCAGTACAATTATCCTCCTAGACCTAGTCCTTTTCCTCCTAGACAACCTTATCCTAACCCTGATCCTTCTTGGAATAATGGAAATAGCATTCCAAATCATGCTCAGAACTACTATTCCAATGCTGCCAGGCCAGGTGCTCCTAATATGCAGCCACCTTATGGTAATGTTTTCCGCCCTTATCGCCCCGAGAGTCTGCATCCTCCAACTGGTAATGGTTTCCATCCAAGAAGTGACGGGCCTAGGTATTCTTCTCCACCTCTCTTGACTGCACCTGATATCAGCAATCTAAGTATGTCTCAGTATCCAAATCAAATTCAAAATCGTCCTAATTTCAATCCTCAAGTTAGACAAGAATTCAGACCTAAGATGGAAGCCTCATATTCTCCCAGCTTAAACGGTCCAAATAAGGGTTATCTTCCACGAAGTAGTAGTGCCCCAGTAACACAGTCTACGACAACCATAGGCTACACCAATTCCTCCACTCCTGGAGTTTCGCCTTCTCAGCCTCCAGTGGTTACTGGATCTGGTTCTGGTTCCAGCAATGGTATGTGGGGAACGCAAGAGTGTCCTCCACCATCTGAGTATGTTCAAGGCCTTATAGGCGTCATCTTACATGCTCTAAATATCTTGAAAATTGAAAAAGTTATGCCTACCGAGCCTAATATCTCGGATTGCATTCAGTACGGAGATCCAAAGCATCATGGTACTGACGTAAAGAAGGCTTTGGACAGTGCAGTAGAGCACCATATGATCATGGTGAAAAATGTAGGGAAACTAAAACTCTACATTGGTAGAAATGAAGCTCTATGGAATTGTGTAAACCCTTTAGGGGGAAACCCTAAGCAATACCCAAAAGCAACTTGGGATAGAATACAAAAATTTCTAACCTCATCTTCTGGGCGGGCAGCTTTTACGGTGACTCAGTGCAGGTAATAAAATTTTGTTTTCCTTTAAGATCTTTCGTAATTCAATGGAAGTATTGTAAAATCATGTTCTTCCTCTTTTGATGTCATGTATAGGTACGAAGCTGCACAAGTTCTGAAAAGAGAATGTCTACAAGAGCTGACTTTAGGTGATATACTTCAGATTTTGAACATAACAGCAACCACAAAGAAATGGATAACTCATCATCAAACAGGATGGAAACCAATTACTATTAGTCTTGCTGCAGAGACTACAAATGAGACAGCTACCGAAACGGATACAGGTATCCAAACCGTTGCCTGAAATTCAATCTTTGCTCCATGAAATATTGGAGTAGTAGCCATAAGCAGATCATATATGGGTTCCTACTTTAAATACCAAATGTAAGAGAGCGCTAAGACATGGAAAATAGTGTTTTCCATATCTAAAACTTCAGAATGAGGTGATTCTGAAGTCTAAGTACCAGTTCCTTAGTAGTTAGTAGTAGCAGTACTTTTCTCTTGTCTTTTTACTTTCCTCGGTTTAGTCTTAAGGATACAAGGGAAAAATTTGGGCGTGGTTACGATTTTGATATATTGGTCATGTATTAGCACATGGTTGGGTTCATAAAAAGCTCAAGTGTTGCCATCACCAAGAAGATTGCTCAATTTCATGTGGAGGATGATAAACATGTGGTTGGGAGTCTCTCTTCATCACCTAAGTTTCTGCATCAGTTTATTTTGTTTCTTTTGGTCTTGAAGAGGTTACAGTTATTTTCGTGAGATTCTACTGTCGTTGGGAGGATATTATGTGTAATGTCAACCTTTCTTTTCTTTTTAGTTACTTATCTTATTCTGAAATCTGAACCATGAACTTGAAAGTCGTTTATGCTTAATTAATAAACGTGTGAATCAATTACACCTACATTATTACAAATTGTGCTTGTGTATGAAAATAAACCTCAGTGAATTATTTGGAAATATATATAACATCATAATTTTTACATATCATTTTTTGCAAAAAAAGAAAGGAAGATGTGTGGGAATATTATAAGTACATATTTAACCAATGATTCAAAATGTTGTGATGAAAGAGACTCTGAATCAAGGAAGAAAAGGATTGTGAGAAGGGAACGTCTGTTTTTGCAGATTATAAGCCCTGCAAATGCCAAAAAAGAAATACTAATACTTCTCCAAATTTCAGTAGTATTTTCAATTATACAGTACAGTATATAGTTTCAGTACAGAGCAACGATAAACTGACCTGTTAGCTTTGACTCCACCAAGTCCGATGGTTCCTAAGACGATCAAAAGGAAAGGTGCGCCGATCAACCAAGGGTTACCTCTTTTGGCAGATGCATATGCCCTTGGAACTCCAGTCTTAACGACCCTCGAATACACACCTTATCAATGTTACAAATCGAGAGTCTCATCAGTGTGTGTAACCAACTAAGAAGACATCTGAGTGATGAGTCGTCTTATTACCTGCTCTGTAATATCTTTGACCCCTGACATCACCTGAAAACAGAGAGACGAATGTGTTTAGTAACAATGAGAGAGAATGGTTCAGAATAAAATGCTATATTCCATTAAGAAAAACAGAGGGAGCAATGTCATGATCTGCTGGGGACTTGAAAACCCAAAGGAGCTAGAATTGTTATTGCTACAACAGAGTAGGAGTATAGTAATATGTCATGGTCTCATATATTCAACAACAGAAGCTTCAAGGACTCAACATCGAGAATTTAGAAGCACTGCACATAATGGACCTTGTTTCATTCACAGAAACATCTAATATAGAGAGAAAAACTGAAGGCAAGCAAAAGATGTCTAAAAAATTAATGTAAAATCGATAAAGTTCAGCCAATAGCTTCAGATTCTTAACTAAGTAAACCAAGGAAAGGTCATATGATATGAGAGAGAGAGAACACTACCAGATTCAAGGCAAGAGTAAGCTTCAGATATCTGCAAGCAAATTGAATAACAACTATAAATGTGTTCTTTTGAGGAGAAGATTTGATCCACACATAAAAAAAAAATAGAAAGAGAAAGAAGGTATATAAAATAAATAAATAAATAAATAGCAACCGATTTGAACTTAGACTCAGCAAGGATCTTCTGATCATCGGGAAACAGGTCAGGATGCGATTCCCATACTTTCTTCCGGTAAGCAGCTTTCACCTATCAAATATCAAATCAAGCTCTCAAATTGAATTATGAATTCGAAATTCAAAAGGGGACAGTGTGACTCAACCTGACCGATCACCCACCGTATCAAAAGATGGAGCCTAAACCCTAATTATCGAATTCAGAGATACGAAAATTCTCTCATCCGAAACCAAAGCAATCGAATGGATCAGGGAGAAAGCAAACCTGACAAGGATCGGGACGAGAACCACGAGGAAAGCCGAGCAAGATCTTGGCTTCCTCCACCTCCATTTTCCAAATAGCCTTCCCGCGTCTACTACGTTTCGCCTCTCCTCCACTCTCACAGAGAGACGGTCCATTTTTTTATTTTTATTTTTATATTAAAAAAAAAAAAAAACAGATACGTGTAGCTCTCACAACCATAGGCGTATCACGGACCCAAAAATATTAGTAATTTTCAAGAGTGCATTATGAATTTATGATTAGACCGGTAAATTTCATTTTGGTGTCGACAAAAAAAATAGTATTTTAGTCAAATTATCCAAAATATCACAGTTTCAATATACGGTAAAAAAACAAATTATAATCAAAAACATAATATTTTCCAATGTAGCTAACCAGAATTCTGATAATAGTTCATAAGAATTCGTACACGTCTTTGCTAATTAAAAGAACCATTTTTCTTTCTATAGAGTATCAATTGTCGAAACCTAAAATTTGTTATACTAATTTTGTTGTTTGAGGAAAATATACACTTTGATTCATATTTGCCTTAAATGTATATATGCTCCATAACCGTTTTAACTTTTAACTAAAAAAACAAACGCGCAATTCACTCGCTACCATATATAAAAATTACAAGAATATGCATTAAGAGCTGCCAAATATAGACAAACTATAAATATAGGAAACACTTGAATCATTTCTAATATCAAAACCTCTTTTTCTCCTTCCGATCCATCCGCTCCTTTCCGATCCCTTTCTCACGTTCATAACAATCATGAACAAACTAGTCTTTCTTCTCTTCCTTTCCTTAGCCGCAACCGCAACCGCAACCGCAACGGCTGCATCCGTCAAACCCACTAACAACTACCTTTTCACACCTCACGCCAAAGCAGTCGCGGGAATATGCACCGTCATCCAAACAGACACAAGCCTTTGCTGCAAAACCCTCAAACACGTTCCTACCGATGACCCCATCGAACTGGTCCGAGCATTAGCTGTTGCGGCTGAAAACGCCGTGAAGCAAAGCGTTACTTTCCTCGCCGGAAGCAAACCAAAACACCAATCAAGCGCCATCGCAACCGCTGTGTTCAACAGCTGCGAGAAAAACTTGAATTACGCCTTGGAAGATTTCGCTGATCTTTGGAAAGCTATGGGGAAAAATGTAACGACGTTGGCTTACAACTACTTTACATGCAAGAAAGAGTTGATGTCGATCATGGGGTATCACTCGACTTGTTTGGATGATATCGTAGACAAGAATCTGTTGAAGGAAGTGGAGATTGGGATTGGAGTTGGGAAGAAGCTAACAAGTGATTCCTTCGATGTCTTTAATAATTTGAATACTATTTTCAAGACTTTTGGTATTAAGGAGAAGCTTAACGAGAAGGACACTTCCCCCCGACCACCACCGTTGTCTGATTATTATTACTGATTAAGGGATTGGACATTAATTTATTTTGGTATCGTATAAAATGCCTAGAGCGAGCGATCGCGAATGGAATCGTAGATGGTTGGTTCTGTCATGTATGATTATGCGCCGTTTGTGATGTATGTTGTTAGGTTTTATACATGTCCGGATGGGATTTCGTGATGATTGGAAAGGATAATATTATATTAATGAAAAAATTGATTCTTTTTTCTTTTCTATATTGTCATTCGACGACAAACTAACAAAAAGATCGTTAATTTTCTGAAAAATGACGTCAGTATCCGTTTCAATTTAGTATCTGAATGATTTTAGCCTTCAAATCAGTAGAAGGTATCCAGAAGAAATTAAATGCCAATAGCTATCTCTTATCTATTCTCAGAAAAAGGAAAAAAACAAACTTATCGTTATGGCATTTAGCCTTCAAATTATGATATTGGTTTTCCCTTGTAATAACTAATAAGCTAGTACAATCACTTTAATCGACCCTCGTTTCCAAAATTAAAGTCCAATTAAACCCCAAAACAATAGTTGTAAGAACTAAAGAAGGTTTAAAGTAATCTCACGCAAATAAATAAATATACCATTCATGTGTTGATATATACACACCGTCGTAGACTATGCATGCCATAATCTTTTACTAGCTAGTAGTCTAGGGAGCGAGCAACTAGCTACCAATTTCGTTGTACTCCCCGTTTAATTTTAATTTTTAAAGGGATGAGTTCGCAAACTGTCATTAAGAAGCTTTTGGACACTTTACTTTCGGATAGATCACTAAACTTAGGAATGTATATATATATATAGTCCAAAATAAATTCACAAGATTAGAATGTAAATAAACTAGTTACTGCCACAAACCTGTTTTCCCTTCTTGAATCTACATTTTATTTATAGTAATCGAACTCTTGATCAGGACACAATCAAACCATCTTGTGGTCACCAATGTTCAATCTCATATCCAATATATGACTAGAGAATTTTGAGCCATTCAACACCTTAAACATCTCCTTCCGTGCAAACCCTAATTTTAGAAACTACAAACCCTATAAGAATGTCTCCACAATTGACAACAATCTCTACCAGCCCCATTAATAAACCACCGGGCTCTGTATTAATAATAAAACAAAATCCCCTCCCTCTCCTAGTTACCTCCTCAATAAAACCGGAGGGAGAGAAAAAAAAATACAAAAAAGGAAAAATCAAAACGAAAAAAAGGGAAGAAAAAAAATAATATAAAAAGCAAAAAACTTGAAAAATGGCGGCAGGAAAAGTTGTGGCCGCAGTGGCATCCATCCTTCTAGTGGTTGGTGTTGCCATAGGAGTTATGACTTATGTTAATAAAAGCGGCGGCAGCAATGGCGGCTCGAATGCTCCCATTAGCTCCCATCAGAAAGCGGTCCAGACAATTTGTCAGTCAACCACAGACCAAGGCTCGTGCGCCAAAACACTCGAGCCTGTCAAAAGCGATGATCCTAGCAAGCTTGTCAAAGCCTTCCTGATGGCTACTAAAGAGGCGATCACAAAATCCTCAAACTTCACAGCTTCCACCGAAGGAGGTATGGGGACTAACATCAACGCGACTAGCAAAGCCGTTCTTGATTACTGCAAGAGAGTATTGACCTACGCTCTTGAGGATCTTGAGACCATTGTTGAAGAAATGGGTGAAGATCTTCAGCAGAGTGGATCTAAGCTCGACCAGCTTAAACAATGGTTAACAGGAGTTTTCAACTACCAGACTGATTGTCTTGACGACATCGAGGAAGTTGAGCTAAAGAAGATCATGGGTGAAGGAATCTCTAACTCCAAGGTATTGACTAGTAACGCTATCGATATCTTCCATTCGGTTGTTACCGCCATGTCCCAAATGGGTGTCAAACTCGACGACATGAAGAATGTAACCATCGGAGCCGGAGCAGGAGCCCCTGCACGTCGCCTTCTTGAGGACACCGACGAAAAGGGACTACCCCAATGGTTTTCTGGTAATGACAGGAAGCTTATGGCTAAGGCCGGACGTGGTGCTCCAGCCGCCGGTGATGATGGTATCGGTGAAGGCGGTGGTGGTGGAGGTAAGATCAAGGCGACTCATGTAGTGGCTAAGGATGGAAGTGGCCAGTTTAAGACCATCACCGAGGCGGTTAACGCTTGCCCGGATAAAAATCCTGGAAGGTGCATTATCCATATCAAGGCTGGTATCTACACTGAACAAGTCAGGATCCCTAAGAAGAAGAACAACATTTTCATGTTCGGTGATGGTGCTACAAAAACCATCATTACCTTTAACAAAAGTGTTAAACTTAGCCCAGGAACCACTACTTCTCTCAGTGGCACCGTTCGTAAGTCCCCAAAACCTTATTTAATTAGTATTGAGTTGCATTGCTACATATATATAACCGGCCGAGGTACTTTTACTAACATTTAATATGTACATGCAGAGGTCGAATCTGAGGGATTTATGGCTAAATGGATCGGGTTTAAGAACACAGCCGGTCCATTGGGACACCAAGCAGTCGCACTCCGTGTGAACGGAGACCGTGCAGTCGTATTCAACTGTAGATTCGACGCTTACCAAGACACACTCTACGTTAACAACGGACGTCAGTTCTACAGGAACATTGTTGTATCCGGTACAGTGGATTTCATCTTTGGAAAGTCCGCAACTGTGATCCAAAACTCTCTAATCCTTGTCCGAAAGGGAAGCCCCGGACAATCCAACTACGTTACAGCCGACGGTAATGAAAAGGGTGCAGCGGTCAAGATCGGTATCGTTCTCCACAACTGCCGTATCATACCGGACAAGGAGCTCGAAGCTGACAGGCTAACCGTCAAGTCGTACCTAGGAAGACCCTGGAAGAAATTTGCCACGACTGTGATTATTGGAACTGAGATTGGTGATTTGATTAAGCCAGAAGGATGGACCGAATGGCAAGGAGAACAAAACCACAAGACTGCTAAATACATTGAGTTCAATAACCGTGGACCGGGAGCTAACCCTAGTATGAGGCCTCCGTGGGTTAAGGTGGCTAAGTCTGCGGCTGAGGTTGAAGGTTACACCGTCGCTAACTGGGTTGGTCCGGCTAACTGGATCCAAGAAGCCAACGTGCCCGTCCAGCTAGGTTTGTAAGAAAACAAAAGCAAAAATTAAAGAATAATACAGTATGTGATATGTAAAGGTAACGATACGACGTCGTCTCTGGGGATCAGGGCTCTTTTTTGTCTTAGCGCTCTAGACGTGTTGAGATGAAGTTTGTATAAGATTGCTTTCGTATCACGTGCAAAAGAGAAAAAAGAAAAAGTTTGTTTCATTTATTTTAATTATATTTTTGTTCCAAATCACAATTTTTTAAAAAACCATTTTGATGTATTTGTGTGTATATGTAAAAGTATATATAAATCCTTGTCATTTTCAAACTGATACAAACATATTTACACTTTTATGATTTCTTATAACCACAAAAATAAAAACTATAAGCATAGCTAGCCAGGTAGCGAATGATGCAGTCGGGAGCATGAGAGCGGTTGCTTCATTCTGTGGTGAGGAGAAACCGAGAAAATAATGGTAATGTATAAGAAGAAATGTGAAGGGCCTATGACAACAGGAATACGTCAAGGCCCTTCTCTTCTTACGCCGGTGCAAGGCTTGTCGATGACGGCAAAACAACCTTTGATTCTGTTTTCAGAGTAAAAAGCAGCAAAAACGTTTCACAAGCTCATGATTTCTGTATTTGATTGTCCCCTTTCTAAAGACTGTTTGCGTTGTTTTGAGACAAGTTTTCTTTGTTATTATAATGGTTTATTATAGAAGCACGCGCTGGAAAGGTTTGATATAGATGAACTGAAGCCAGATCAGTTAGTTTATAATTCTGTTTCAGTTAGGTTCAATTAAATTCTGAATCCTCTTATTTTGTTTTGGTTACTCTGTTTCAGACACTGGCTGAGTCAGAGTGTGTGGTTCAGGATGCATAGGACCGGGCTATGGTTAACCGAACCACCGTTGTGGGGGCACATTGGTTATCGACGATCAAGAATGCCGATGTAATAGCAGTGGTTAAGAATGGAGTCATATTGGAGAAAGGAAAGCATGAGACTTTAATAAAATAAAAGATGGTGTTTATGCTTCTTTAGTACAGCTTCATCTGAGTGCTTCTACATAAAATTCTTTTTTAATGCGTTTAGACCATTTGTGAGTCATAAACAATGCACTTGACATCAAAAAGTTTCAATGCTTAGATTCATTGAGAATGTTTATAGATTCTCGTGTGACTAATACAAAAATGTTAATCATCGTCTTCACTTTCATCACTATATGAGACTAAGCCTAAACCTGTTTGCAGAGGATTAGTTTTACCTGTGACATTGCCTTCTACGGAATCTAAAGAAGTCCGTTCGATTTGGCTGTCTGGTTTTCCAATCCTCGGGATCTCTTTCTCTTCTTTCTCTGTCGCCTTAGCCTTCTTAGGTTGTGGCTTGACTTTTATGATGGCTTTAAATGGACGAGTTGCAGGATTTCTTTTCCCGGTTGGTTTTTGTTCCTGTAAAAGAGATAAAGATATATATTATCTTGTGATTCATAATGCTCAAATGAACACTTAAAACAATTTTACTGAAAATTCCAATTTGAATCATGAGATACTCACCTTGGTGGGTGGAGATGGTTGTGGCGGTGCTGGATCCTGGAGTTCGTGAATGATTGCTGATCGTGCTGCCACAGCTGCCTGAAAATTAAACCATAATACAATCTCAATCTAGCAATTTTAACCTTGTTTAACTGTTAATCAAGATTCAAAAGAAACTTACCTGAAAACTACGAAGCTGTTCTTCTTCTTCATTTGCCAATTGTCGTTCATATTCCCTCTTTGACTAAAAAAAAGTGCAAAATGAGGGTGTTATAACCCAGAGATCAAGTCATGATCCTTCCATTACAGATCGTCAATAGCTTCTAAATACTAACACATGAATATCTACACTGGTAAAGCCATATGCAGTCCATTGGCAATAAACGAGATAAGTTCACTAAAGAGGCAAGAAATTATCTGGCTTTCCATGAAAAAAACTTGCTCACCATCTCCAGTTTATCGAGAAACTCAGTCTCATCTTCATCCAGAGCCTTGGGTGGTCCTGGAAAATCCGAATAGATGGAAGGGGTTAACTATAAAACCAAATGTTGTAGATTCAGAAGGAAGACTAATCCAAATATCACGTACTACAAGGTTTTTTTAACATAAGAACCGATAACAGCTTCAAACAACGCAATCAATACTGATAAGGTGTGAAAAAGCAATAGTGACTCACTATGCTTGAATCGTTCATTAAACTCAGCGTCCTTCTTGTCTTTGTTCTCTCTCAATATCTGGAATTGATATGTAAAAGAACACATTACAAGTGAGGAAGAAGAAGAGGAATGATTTACTCATGGGAGTACAAATAATCATCATCCGGGTTGTTTAGGAGGAATCAACAATGGAGGAGGATGGAGAAAAACCTCGTAGAGAGCCCTGTCTCTCTGGAATGTTCCATCTTCAACCCGTTCACCTCTTTCTTTCTTCGATTCATCTAACTGGATCACGAAACCATTCCCCCAAGAAAAGAAAAGAAAAAAAACAAAATTCAGAAATTGAATTTTACAAAGCTAGGGTTTCCATAGAGAAAGAGACACAGATTAGAAAGCAAAGAACCTGTTCCTCCGAGACGAAATTTAGTAACCTAATAGGTTTCGCTGTATCTTCAGCCATCTTCTTCTTCCTCTACGCAACAACAACAATCACGCTTTGCGTTTTGCTCCGAATCTCTTTACTCGCCGGATTTTATTAGACTCTTCTTCTCCGCAAAACCGAACGATGGATGACACGTGGCATTATACTAACTAGAATCTCAAGAGTTTCAAATTCTCCAGAAATACCCACTGGGTTTTTATTTATTCGTATTTGACCCTACAGGTTTCGTCTGAAGCTTTTGAGCCTTTGAGGCACGTACTGTATCAGACAGAAATTTGCAATTAACGAGAATCGTACTAAAATATGAAAATATAATGTTTTTCCTATCACATATTGTATGAATATGCTTATTGTTAATCAGTGTTAAGGTGAAATGTAGAATTATGAACAAGAATTTAAGGAAAATTTATTGGTATTATGAAAAAAGATTTGAAAGCAGAATGTTTGAGGAAGATGAAGGGACATTCTCTTATTTTATTTGCAATAATCAGCATACCAGAAAAAAAAAAAGCCGTTAAACGTTTAAAAACACTAACAAAAGAAAGAGCCTCTCAAGGTTAGCTTCTTCTCCCATTGCAAACCGCTCCTCCACTAGCTCCTCTATAAACTTCCATCCGGAATCTTTGCCCGTGGCTCTTCCAACACCTTATTGTCACACCGGAAACATTTGTTGATCTATGAAAGAGACTAAATGAGGCTCTTATGTACATCTGCCACCAAACCAGCATATCTGTTTAGAAGAAGAACCCAATGCCTTAAGCCTTTAACGGGTTTGGTTCATATACAATCAAACAAGTATCACCTAGAACACATAAAAGATCTAAAGTTGTTTGCTTACATAGTCCACCATTTTACTAGATATAAGACCTACAAAGTAAGAAGCTCTTATGTATAGAAACAACTCTGAGAAGATCAGCAAGATTGTCAATTTGAAACATACCTGATTACTACACTGAAGGAAGGTTTTGACAAGTTATCTGATCCTTGACCAGCTCTGTTATTGCGTCTCTCAATCTCTCATAATCCTCTGTTTTGTTATAAACCTGATGAGAGATCCGAACATACGCAGTAATTAGTCCACTCTCTTTGTCTTTCACTCCTTCCTCGCCATCCCTCAATCCGAGAAAATACACTGGAACCTCAACTGAGTAATGCACCCGCAGATATGACCTCAACTTAGTAGCATCTTCATCACTTTCAACACAGAGTTTTGAAGGTAGACCGATCATAACCATCCCAACACACATATCAGGAGGTGACCCAAGATTCGTTCCCCAGGAATTAGCCAGCATTAAACCCATTCTAACAGCCTCATCATGGTTCCTAATCATTATCCCTTCGATCCCTCCCTCAAATCTGTTTACAAAATCCATCACAGATGGAACCACAAGCTGCGAACTGTAATCCCTAGTCCCAATCCAGGCACTCTCTATAGGCAAACCATTTCCAAACTCATGAGATACCACAGGGTGATGAACATCAGAGTCAGAACTACGTTTCTTACAATAGAAAAACGCGATAGAAGGTGGGCAAAAGAACCATTTATGCAGATTACTCACATAATAATCAGCTCCAATTTCTTTTACATCAACTTTAACACTACCAATGGCATGAGCAGCATCAACAAAAACCTGCTCCACACCTTCTTCTCTGCAGATTTTAACCAATTCTCGTACCGGCATCAAAACACACGGCATCGACGTTATATGGTCAATGATAGCTAACCTAATCGTTCTACCATTCGCCCTACCTTTCTCTAATCCTTCTCTAAACACTGAGATAATCTCCTCATTCGAATTTACAGGGAAAGGCAACCTAACCTCAACAGTAGAACCTCCGACACGAGAGACGTAAGCCTGAATCGACTTCTTCACACTCTGAAACGCACAGTGAAACATCACTACCGTGTCTTCCTTCTTGTACTTGCCTTGGGAGAAACCCCTTCCGACTTTCTGAAGAACAATAGCTGCGGCAGTGGTGGCGTTATCAACGAGCGAAACCTCGTCAACATGATCGGCGTTGATAAGGTCACTGATCACAGTTCGAGAAGCGAGAAGTCCACGACGGAGACCGTTGAAGTAGAAGTCGTCAGGCTGACGAAGATACCGAAGCTGCCACTCACGCTGCGCCTCGAGAACAGATCCAGGACAGCACCCGAAGCTACCGTTGTTGATTCGAGCAATACCGGTCTGGTGGTGAGCGAACTCGGACTGGATATCCGACTCGGTTATCAACCCAGCGAGGCGTGGCTTCTTCGGTGCGCGGTGATTATGATTCGTTGAATCGCCGTTCCGCCGCTCGTCCGCCTCCATCGGAATGAAAAATCTGAGTTAGGGTTTCTATCTCTCGAATCCCAAATCGAGAGAGACTGTGGTTTTTTGTGGGTCAAATCATTTCACTGTTGGTACGTCATCGTCGATTTAGTGGTGCGGTAACACTTTTGCGCTTCCCGACAATTCAGAAATTTTCAAATAAATTCGGTGATTTTAATCCAATTTAAAATAAAATAACAATTCATTTTTTTACTATACAGTACACAACGTTAGATAATGATATAATTGACATGTGATGATCGTTTACTCTAGGAAGTAAAAGCCCGAAACATGTACTGCATCAATTTGATTTTCAGTCTAACATTAACGATTAAACAAATAAAAATAGGAAGAGAATACAATGAAAACAAAACCAAAAAAAAAAAAAAAAAAAAAACACAAGAGTGTCTCTCGAAAACTTATCCATAGAATGACTACATCATTTTATTTTTGGCTGGAAAAGAAAAACAAAGAAAAAAAAAAACCATCTTGTTTTCAAAATCTTAACCCAATAGTAATTAGATGTCCAACCCAGTGCAGATTATAGTGCTAACGGAATTTAAATGATATATTCTGCTGAATATAATAAAAATATCAGTATACGAATTTTAATTCCAAAGATTTTGTTTAGTAACAATCTCACAATATTGTTTTGCAACAAGCTAACAATCTCACAATTTTAACCTCCCTTTAAATTTGGATTTTAAACATGATTGTAATGGCATGTTTATGTAATTTTTGATTACTTTTCACGTTGTTTTAATAATTGTACTTCCGTAAGAATAAAGAGGGGATAAGTTTATGAAATTTCTCATTAACTAAAATGTTATAATTTTAAATTTGGGCCTTAGTGGGCCAATAAGGTAGGCTACTATGTCTAGGTCGAGTAATATAATATGACATGCGAGATTAGCTGACGCCTGAGGATTAATAAATTAGGTTTTTTCCATGACCTAACCATTATTCAAAATTCAAGTTGCAGATACATAGATAGATTATAATATAAACCCATTATTTCTCCATAACTATGGTATAGTTAATGACTTAATGCATAGATCGTTGACTAAAATATATGGGCTTTGTCCATGTAAACTTTTAGCTAGCATTAGGCAAGAACAAGCCCTACAAAAACGTGGCGAGTCAAAGTCACTTGTAACGCTCGATTCCTTCTCTCCTTTTATCTTTGCTGCTTCTCTCGTCTCTCCGCCGTCTCCAGCTTTCCGGCGAAGTTGGTATGGTTCTTCTTCTGTCTAGCTCAATTTGCTTTATATTGTTCTGTGAATCGATTGTGATTTTTGGTCATCTCTTAAGGAATCTGGTGAATCTGTTGTCTCGACACTCGTTTATCTTTACTTTAATCCATTCTTGTGTTTCGTATATCTTCCTTTGTTTTAGTTTTTGCCGGCTTTTGTTTTTGTGTCAGATTTGCTTACTCCGTCAGTAGAGTAACTCGATTTTCGTTGACTGAAATCTCAATTCGAAATAGCTTGCTATTTACTATTCCATTTTCATTTACTTGGTGGTGATAAACCTTGATTTCATTACTTTGATTATAAATGTATTTCGTCTTTGTTAATGCATTCAGAAAAAGAAGGTTGAAATGGCTGGTCCAAGTGAACAAAAAGAAAAGGCTGTCAAAGAAAAGGTTGTCAAGGAAAAGGTTGTCAAAGAAAAGGGTGCAACGGCTGGTCCCGGTGGGAAGAAGAAGAAAGACGTCAAGAAGGAAACTGGTCTCGGACTTAGCGTTAAGAAAGATGAGAACTTTGGGGAATGGTATTCTGAGGTTTGTTTATATGCTCATGATGGTTGTTTTGACATTATTTTTTTTGGTCCCAAACAGGTGAAATATGACTTCTGCTTTTCTTTATGTATCTGTCCAGGTTTGTAAACACGAAATGATTGAATACTATGATATCTCTGGATGTTATATTCTTAGGCCATGGTCAATGGCGATTTGGGAAATTATGCAAGTGAGTATCATCCTTTCTTTATTGTATTTTAACTCAATCATATGGATTCAAGAGTGGAAAATAAAGACATTTGTTCATTTCGTTTTCATTGATTTGTCCATGCTCCATTTCTAGACTTTCTTTGATGCCGAAATCAAGAAAATGAAGGTCAAGAATTGCTATTTCCCTCTGTTTGTATCTCCTGGTGTCTTAGAGAAAGAGAAGGACCACATTGAGGGATTCGCCCCAGAGGTGTGTATATCTTATACCGTAGAAGATTGTCTTTGTGAATTGTGACAAAAAGGCCTTCTTTTTACAGATTTGAATGATTGTTTAGGTTGCTTGGGTTACAAAGTCGGGTAAATCTGACTTGGAAGTCCCAATTGCTATTCGTCCAACTAGCGAGACAGTGATGTATCCTTATTACAGCAAGTGGATAAGGGGGCACCGTGACTTGCCTTTGAAGCTTAACCAATGGTGCAATGTTGTTAGATGGGAGTTCAGCAACCCGACCCCATTTATCCGGTATGTAATTATCATATACTCCTTTCTACTTTTATATATTCGACACAGAAGTTTTCTTGCCACAGCCTATTATGTAACCTATTTAATTGCAGGAGTCGTGAGTTCCTTTGGCAGGAAGGACACACTGCATTCGCCACCAAGGAAGAAGCAGATGAAGAGGTTGGTGAATTTAAACTTTTGCATGTGATTCAATCTGTCCTTTTTTTCCTGCAAACAAGGCTTATATTAAGCAGTTCAACATCATACTGATTCTACTGTTCTTTAGGTCCTTCAAATTTTGGAGCTTTACCGTCGCATATATGAAGAGTATCTCGCAGTCCCAGTTGTGAAAGGTATGAAGAGTGAAAACGAGAAGTTTGCTGGGGGACTGTACACTACAAGTGTAGAGGTATGTAATCTTTCTGTTTTGTTTCAGAGACATAATCTGTTTTTCTTGCGGATTTACTTGTTATGAATAATCAAAACTTCGATTTTATAGGCTTTCATTCCCAACACCGGTCGTGGTGTACAAGGTGCAACCTCTCACTGTTTGGGTCAAAACTTTGCGAAGATGTTTGAGATCAACTATGAAAATGAGAAAGGAGAGACAGCAATGGTGTGGCAGAATTCATGGGCCTACAGTACTAGAACGGTAAATACTTGAACTACTTAGATAGTCTTTTCTCATCCGCTCTATAACTGTTAACTTTTTAATTCTAACCTTGTATAGATTGGAGTGATGATTATGACTCATGGAGATGACAAAGGCCTTATACTCCCTCCTAAAGTCGCATCCGTGCAAGTTGTTGTGATCCCTGTGCCCTACAAAGATGCTAATACCCAAGGAATTTTTGATGCTTGTACTGCTACTGTATCTGCCTTGTCTGAAGCCGGGATTCGTGCTGAGGAAGATTTAAGGGACAATTACTCTCCTGGATGGAAGTATTCAAATTGGGAAATGAAGGGTGTTCCATTGAGAATTGAGATTGGACCCAGAGATCTGGAAAATGATCAGGTTAGTCCGTTGGACATCTCCTCTGTTCTTTTGACTTATTGTAGTGAAGTATCTGGTTTGCATCCTCATAGTTCAGAACCTGTAATGATGTTTGGTTTACTGAGGAGACAGTGATGTTTGGTTTGAATATGTAAACTTGTAATATAGCTAAACGGAATTCATTTATCTCTGGTTTCTATCACTATAGGTCAGAACTGTGAGACGTGACAATGGAGTTAAGGCAGATATCCCAAGAGGTAGTTTAGTCAAACATGTTAAGGAACTCCTTGAGAAAATCCAGCAAAACATGTATGAAGTTGCAAAGCAAAAGAGGGAAGCATGTGTCCAAGAGATTAAGACTTGGGATGAGTTTATCAAAGCTCTTAATGAAAAGAAACTCATCCTAGCTCCTTGGTGCGATGAAGAGGTACGTTACAACAAAACTCTTCTGGAATCATCTGTCAGAGTATGCAATTTTTATGCCCTTACAAATCAATTTCGTTGCAGGAAGTAGAGAGAGAAGTTAAGACACGTACTAAAGGGGAAACTGGAGCGGCTAAAACTCTTTGTTCTCCATTTGATCAGCCAGAACTCCCTGAAGGTCAGTGACATAGACCCTATAATTTAAATCTATATTGAGAAATTTTTCTCATAAACTCAGGCCATCTGAACGAAGTTTCAATGGTTTCGATGCAGGCACTCTCTGCTTTGCTTCAGGAAAGCCTGCGAAGAAATGGACCTATTGGGGCAGGAGTTACTAAGTGTTCATCATGTTTTGGTTCAAGTCATGAAATTTGCTTTGGTCTTGTAAAGACTCCCTCAAAGTTCAGTGTGCTTTTATTTGATATTTTTGACGGAAAGTTATTTGAATTTTTTTTAACTGTGATTGCACTAAGAATTATAATTATAATTCTACTTCTTGGGTTCCTCAAAAGTTTCTTCCTTTTCTCTAATACTCATGCCCCTATTCATAACATTTACAGATGAGTATAAAAATCAAAACAAACAAGAAGCAAGATCATCTGTAACACCATTGGATCTTATTCTCCAACGAGGATAAAGACACCAACTTTGGTTGTTAGACTCATGGGTCTTGATCTTGTTCCTGACAATTACAGATCATCTCCTACTCCAACTTCTACCTTAATTGATCTCAAGACACCAACAAGACGGAGGCACACGATCTCTTCCCAAAACACCGAGAATTTCACTTGGAATTGACGTTAACTGTTACGAACACCAACGTTCATCACTTCATCTCAGAGACAACAACAACAACAACGTGTTGTCTGAACGAGAATCTGGTATTAACAATGTCAAGCTCACGAAGATCAAGTAAACAAAGACACATGAAGATAAAGAGAATCGGATCGTTCACGTGATTACGCTAGACAGATAATGATGAAGTTGAAGGAGGCCTTTAGCCGGCGAAAAAGAATGGGAACTGGTATTACCAACAATTGTGAAGAGAAGAGGATTCTATATTTAAAGCATCTTGACGTCTTGTTACATTTGTAGAAAGTTGAGAGGGATGCTAAGGCAAGAACTAAAGGTGAAATTTGGACTATAGGAGCAACAACTAAGACTCTCTGATTCTCCTTTTGATCAGGCTGCAACTCCAGAAGGTAAGTCACAACTCACAACTCGGGTTTACGTACGGTGTCTTAGATACTTATCTAATATTATATGCCCTATATTTATCTCTCTTGAAACTCAAATGTTGTTTAGCTTTAACTCAGCACCGTATGTTTTGTTGCAGGAGCTCTGTTCACCATAAAGCTCTGTTCTGTTTCTGTTGATGACCTTGTTTTTAACCAACATTGACTTCAATAATATTTTTATTAATGACTTTATGTGTCTAATGTAATAGTAATTTATGAGAAAAGAAAAGGAAAAAACAATGCATAGGTGGGTAAATATACCTGATAATCCGGTCAATGATGGTATGTTTGGTGAATTAATAAAGGAGTAATTAAGTACAATAGTAATTATCGATGTTGTATCCTTCAGTAATCCCCCACTCCGGACCTAAAGAAAGTCTCCGGTTCTTCGAGAGGGTCTCCTTCCTTTGGGAATGCTTTTTTCTTCAAACCTCATTATTACATTACACACACATACGCAGAGTCAACTCTCACCACACCTTAGGAGTTACGAACCCACGCCACGTGTCACGTGATCCGCCATCTTCTTCTTTTAATTTTTACGAGAAAACGACACCGTTCGCCTCGTTATAACTGATGAAGAAGGTGTAAAAAAATAATAATTCACAGAAACTTTTCGAAACAAAAACCTTTTTTTCTCTACAGAAACAATCAATCAATCTTCCATGTTAGAAAATTCCATGTCAAATTTTCTCATCTCCTTTTTTATAATATTCTTTTAGTTCGGATCACATGAAATACGCTGTTGTTTCCTTCAAAATAAAAGTAAAAAAATGATTCCATAGAGGAGTTCAATTCATATTTATACAGAGTACTACTAGTTTCTCTCTCTCTCTGTCTTTCTCTATTTGGCTTTCAGGCTTATCTCTCTCAGTGACCCTCTTTGTCTCTTTGTAACAGAACATCGAATAAGGTATCTGCGGACATCTTAGATATCATCGAATGTTGTTCTTCTTCTTCTTTAATTATGCTTTAAAGTCTCTAATTAGATTTCTTGGTGATTCGCCATAATCGTACGGGAAAGGAGGAGGAGGAGGAGGATCATGGCAATGGGTACGGAGAAGGTAGAGGATGGACCTACTGCTTGAATTTTGGCGGGCACAAACGGTCTCTTTCAATGATTTGTTTGTCCAGTGTGGGTTCCCCAGTTTCCTCTCACCACTGACCCATCTAATCAATCTTTGCAACTTGCTACAATCTCACCTCACTTCCCATGAGAGAGAATTTTCCATTCCTAAAGTTTTGATTTTTACCATTGATGAGTGACTTAAGTGAGTGAGTGAAGGACTCGAAGAAGCTCAGAGATCTCTCAGATTGTTTGTCAAGATTGTTTTTTTTTTTGTATAATTAATTTAAGTTTCCTGGAGGAGCTGAAGGAGATCACAGATCCTCTATTCATATGAAGAGATCTTTCCTTGTAAGTCTTTTTTACAATCTCCTCTTCTTTCTTTTGACATAACTTTGTCACTTCCAATTCTCTGTCGCTCAAATCTGGTAATTCTTTATCTATCTCTGTCTTTGTCTTTAAGATCTGAAATCTGGTCAAAAGGTTGAGATCCTAGAATTCACTCTTCTTAATGTTCAATTTTTTTATCTTTCTTCCTGGTTTGATGCTTGCTAGCTTATAGAGGTGAATGTGGCTCTCACACCTAACTCCAGTGTTCTTGAGTTATTTGAGTTTCATAAAGCTTGAGACTTCAGAACATCATAGGATCACAATATTCTACAATGCGTAGAGGATTTTCCTAGAAACCAATGTTCTCACTATTTCAGATTTCACTTCTCTTTCTGATTTTGCTCATTACTAAGTTGTAGAGATGAAATGTGGCTCTCACCCTCCTGTGTTTCTTCCAGTGTGTTATCTGAGTTTCCTTCAAAGCTTGAGACTTGAGAACTGTTGGTTTTGCAGCTCTTGTATGTGCTCCTGGTACAAGCCTTCTATGGTGCTTGGTGTAATGTTGGAGGAAGCCTGCATTGTGAATATTCCAATTTAGAGAACCTTCACCGCCCTCATAGCGTATCAATTACAGAGTTTGGAGCGGTTGGAGATGGGGTGACTCTAAACACTAAAGCCTTTCAGAATGCTTTGTTCTACCTCAATTCTTTCTCTGATAAAGGCGGTGCCAAGCTTTTTGTTCCAGCTGGTCAGTGGCTTACCGGGAGTTTCGATCTTATCAGTCACCTCACCTTATGGCTAGATAAAGGTGCAACGATTCTCGGGTCAACGGCAAGTCTCTACCTTTTTGAATCTTTATAAGCATAAACTTTGTAATGTTAACTGTGATCACTTATACAACTTATTAATTCTCAGAGCTCAGAGAATTGGCCTGTGGTTGATCCATTACCATCATATGGACGTGGAAGAGAATTACCCGGTAGAAGGCATAGGAGTCTTATCTATGGTCAGAATCTCACAGATGTAGTCATAACAGGTACTAATATAGCATTTATATGAAATGATTCGATTTAAACCGATGATATTAGTCTTCATTGTTGTCTGATGATACTGACATTATAGGCGAGAACGGGACAATCGATGGTCAAGGAAGTATATGGTGGGATTGGTTTAGAAATGGAGAGCTAAACTATACAAGACCTCATCTTGTTGAGCTCATGAACTCTACTGGTCTGATCATCTCTAACCTCACATTCCTGAATTCGCCATTTTGGAACATTCATCCTGTTTATTGCAGGTCATCTAACTTATCGTGATTGAATTTTAACTTCTACCACATTTTTCTCTTCAATGTTCTGATATGGAGTCTTTGTCTGAACAGAGATGTTGTTGTAAAGAATCTTACAATTTTGGCTCCTCTTGAATCTCCAAATACAGACGGAGTTGATCCAGGTGAGTTTCCTTTGCAAAATTTACTCAGTAGATTCAAGGTCTCAGATAAAGGTCTCAGCATATTGGAAATTTTGATCTGCAAGTGTATATACCATCTGTTTATTCAAATCAAAACTAGCATTTCTCAAAACATAGCAAATCTGTTTATTGTTGTCAAATCTAGAAACTTTTCAGTTAATTTAGGATATTTCCCTCATACCTTTGGATTTTTTCCTATTTGCAGACTCATCAACTAATGTGTGTATAGAGGATTGTTACATAGTTACCGGAGATGATTTAGTGTCGATAAAAAGCGGATGGGATGAGTATGGAATATCCTACGCAAGACCGAGCTCCAAGATCAAGATCAACCGGTTAACAGGTCAAACTACTTCAAGCTCAGGAATCGCAATCGGAAGTGAAATGTCAGGAGGTGTATCCGATGTATATATCAAAGATTTACATTTGTTCAATTCGAATACTGGAATTAGAATCAAGACTTCTCCAGGAAGAGGCGGGTATGTCAGAAACGTTCACATCTTGAACGTGAAGCTCGATAATGTAAAGAAAGCGATAAGATTCACTGGTAAGTACGGAGAACATCCTGATGATAAGTTTGATCCCAAAGCACTCCCCACTATCGAGAAAATCACGTTTGAGAATGTTAATGGTGGTGGAATTGGTGTTGCGGGTCTTCTCGAAGGTATAGAAGGAGATGAGTTTAAGAATATATGTTTCCTTAATGTCACTCTTATAGTGAAGAAGAATTCAAAGAAATCTCCATGGCAATGCTCAAATGTTAGAGGTTATTCACAGTGGGTATCGCCGGAAATTACTTGTGATTCTTTGAAAGAGAGTATATTCCCGGAACATCAAGCTGATTGTTTTGGGTTATCGGAAAATAATATGGAGATATCAAGTGGTTTAAATAGATCACCATGGTTACTTTCTTGGTAAGTTACTGTGAAGTTTTGAACATCAAAGAGAAATGAAAAGAAAATACAGTTTGCTTGATTCTATAGAAACCTCTTTGAGTTCTCCTTCCAATTTTCCCTTCAGAGGCTTCGTTTTTCAAAGTGATGATGCTTTCTCTTTTTTTTTTTTTTTTTTCTTTTTTTGCTGTTTTCTTGTAATTTGTAAATTTGTGTGCAGTGAGAAAAAATAATCAGAGTGGCTTATGAGTTTTCTTTTTTTTCTGTTTCTGTTTCTTTTTGTTCTAATGCTTTGGTGAGCGGAACCAAGTGTAATATCTCCGACAGAGTCTTTTGACATTTTTTTGACAGTTATTTTTCGATCTCTCAAAGACTCAAACTCCATAACTTAACGAAACTCTTAACTGTATATCAGTGTTTACTCAGGTAAAAAAATCAATGAGAAGGATATGGAAATTTAAAATAGATCGTGTATTTGGTAAACTAGTTATACGTACTTAATTTGTTGATATTCTGAAAATTGAATCCTCCGAACGAAAAAAGGAAAACTCAACTGAAACTTTTCTAATTCAAGAAAATTAAAGATATAAGATATTAGCTAATCTATGACTAAACTGTTGTACTAATAAGCCAAAAACAAACATATACACTCTCAATGAAAATGCATAAGCGAAACCTTTTTTTTTTTGAAAAAATTGCCTCCTTACAAGTTACGACCGATTTTTATAGAATGTAATAATAAAACTAGAAACAAAAATCTCGAACAAGTGATTTACATCAGACAAAACTAACTTTTTCTCCACCACTGTATTGGTCAATCCTAGATTTCCACCTTTGCTTTTAAGAAAAGAAAAAAAAATCAGTAGTGGTAAGCTCTTGAGATCTTCAGTCTTCTCACGCTAGACAAGAACATCCTACAATGATCAATTAAGTCCCCTTAATTAGATATTTCTACATAGTGTAATCATTATTATGTTTTTTTTTTTGTAAGTATAATTTGAATTAGAGCTAGGTTTAATTAAATAAAAATGTAAAAAGTGCTTACTCCCAAGGAACGTCTCCAACCATCATCCAGTCACCTTCTTTGTCTGCGTACGTTAGCACATGACTCTTCTCACTACACATCTCTTCTTCTTCAGCCCCTGTTAATTTTCCCATTTATAAATTATAGACATATCAGTTTTCACTCTTATAACGATATATAAATAATGACTTTGGTCTACATGCAAATAGTATATACATAGATTCTATTTTTAAATTTGTTTTTCAAATTATATCTTAGTGACATTAGTAATCGGCTAAATCATCATACCTACATAATATACATTAACCATCTCTAGTAACAAAACTAATTAATTAACTATATTAGTCTCTACATGCAAACCCAAACTTACAAAGGATTGAGGCGTTGAACATGTAGTCGAGAGTTGTGATAAGATCATGGTATCCGTTAAGTGACAAAAGATCGATCTTTCTTCCGATGGGAACTCCTTCCATGTTGACCTTCACGTAGAAGCTTCCGACGCTGTTACACTCGTTTTGATCTTCTTCTTCCAAGATCATCATCTCCTGGTCAGCCGCGCCCACTCCTCCATACTGATCATGGTTTTCTCCACCGTTGTAATATTGGCCGGACGATGATCCGAAGCTGAGTCCGAGCCTCAGGTCTGTGCTCAGGTTCCGAGTATTGCTTGAAGACCCACCAAATGGGTTGCTTTTGCAGCTGCTCTCTATCGATGAAGACGATGAGCTTCTTCCTCTTCCCATTTTTGTTATTTTACTATTTCGATCTCTCTCTCTCTTTGGTTTCTATCTAAAACAGGTGACTAATGATTTGAACGTGTGTGTATATATATAGAGGAAGAAATTTTTATTTTATGTATTGCTTTGCTTTGTAGAAGGAAGAAGTAATATTGAAATGGTCTTTCTGATATATAATATTGTAATTTATAGTATTAAAAATGGAGGGGGAGATGGTGGAATGATGAGACATTGTTGTTAAAGATGTTGTCCATGTAGCAGACAATTCCACGTGTCACGCAGACACTTGGTCAAAGTGTTGGTTTTGACTTCGTGCTCGGATTTTTTTGCTGGGTGTGTTCTAATTTAATTTTTGCTTCTTTCAATGTAAATACTCGACTCCTAGTACGTACTCTCTCTTCGTTTTATTACCAAAACAAAAATAAAAAAATTAAAGACTCTCTGATTTCTTATACTACTAAATACTACTAGTGATTTTAGATTTCTGATTTAAACTAATTATCAGTTTTTTTTTTCAGTTAACGACCCAAAAAAAAAAATGAATTATCTGTTAAAAAGAAATGAATAAGATCGTGTGGCAGGCATATATCTAACGAAAAATCAAATGCTATGCTTAGATTTAAGGAGTTATTTATATGAACGTAGACGATATATATATATGTATGTATGTTATAAACCGGATAAGAACATATGTATTATATTAGCCAAAGTACAATTAAGAAAACATACAGTTTGTTGATCATTATGTGGCCGGATTAGTAATATACAAGTTCAATGCATGAGATTATCGTGACGCGCATTGATGCATATTCGTGGGTTCGACAAACAACACCACTTCCATATTAAAGGGTTTTTTTCTTTTACAACCGCGAGACACTTCAACTTCATGAATACTTATGTTTTTTTGATCAAGGCGTTAACAAATAGTCTAATTAAATGTATGTATCGTTTAAACTAATTATCAACTCCTAAAACACGTCTCGTTTACGTCATCAACTCTCTAATGATGTTGTTTAATTATATATGACCCCCAAAAAAAAAAACATATAAAATTAGTAGTCTACGTGGACTCCATCGTATCCAAGCATGACAGCAGTTTGGGCTTCCCATGATTCTAATCCACGTGGCTATTAGTAGTATACACTCCTCAATGCATGTTTCTTTCATTTTTAATTTATCTTATCATATAATTAAGATAAGAGCCTAGCATCTATAGTCAAGTCCAACCACTAATTTTTCCAAATATTAAACCAACTTACCAACCTTTTTATGTGTAACAAATCAAAGTGAATCATTCAATTGAGGCAGATATTTTGCTTCCGTAGATTTCATCAAATGATGATTACAAATTTCATATGAAAATGAAGATAACGATTAGTTTTAACAAAGGAATTGTGGATTTTTATGTCCAAAAATAAATCTTTTCACGCCAGAGATTCAGAGACCAAAACACATCATGTTGGTGACTTTAACAACTGTTTGTCGTCTTTGTTTGGCCTCAAGATTCTAGTTGTGAATTGTATATATTCATTGGATTTGGAAAATAAACATATAGATATAGTCACTTCGATTGATGTAAAGTATTAAACTACGGTCACCACTCACCACCAGAAAAAAGTGCATGTGTCCTTTGGGTTTATAGTACGTTACATATATATATATATATGTAATAAAGAAGGACGAAGCAAAGAAACAAAAAGAATAGAGAGGGAAGAAAGTGAGGAGAGGAGGCAAAGGAAGCATGAGTAATGAATGCGTAACCTTAAAGAGAGGAGCTAATGAAGAGATGCTTCGCCTATGGACTATGGACTCTGAGAGGTTACGTCGCAATTCTTCTCGCACTTTGAAAACATATTTTTCTGCAAAGCACGAGACAGTGACACACTAAAACACCATCCATTATCGACAGACAACATTTCACACTCCCCACGTCACGTGCCTTTTTCCACGTGTTTCCTCACTCTGTCGCCTCCACTTCTCTAATACTTGCACTACTCTCTTCTCTTTTACAATCTCACTTCTTGTACCAATCAATATGATTACAACTCCTTGTTTTCTCTTTTATAACTATTGGAATATTCTTTTTCCATAGTTGTTTTTTTTTACAATTATAAACTAATTTCCAGTTTACACAACAAAAAAAAACTAATTTCCAATGTATACATCTTTTTTTTTTTTTTAACGAATTACTATGACTCTCCTTAACTAACACTCAAGGCATATATAGTGTTTTCATATATATATATATATATATTAAATTTTAAAAATACGATTTTGACTCTCTTGTCAAGAGTGTCGTTATCATTTATCAATGAGCTATAGCTAAAACTAAACATGTATACACATTTAGTTAAAAGTTGATACAAATCTTTTGATCCCGCAACATTCAAACATTGTCGTTAATTATCAGAATAACCGACATTTATTGCGTAAACACCGTTTGGTTTTGAAGAAGCAAAAAATAGATTTTTAAGAAGAAGGTACATCATATAAAAATAAGAAAAAAAGAATCGAGCTTAAACCAAAAAAAAACAAAAGAAACTGTAAACATGATTTTTAGAGAGAGAGAGAGAAAAAAAAAACAAGAGGGAGTAAAAAGATAAAGAAGAGATATGTTCCCCACCACCCCTACCATTATCATCACCATCCCTCACTTTCTTTTTTCTTTCTTCTTCAGACTTTTCTCTACACCATTTTTTTTTTGTCCCCTTCAATTTATATAATTTGTTTTATGAATCTTCTACTCTTCTTTTGTTTTTTTGTTTGTTTCTAGATTACCAATATGATGCATGTATTTGGTCAGTACTATTTTCTATGGATGTGATATAATGTATAAACCAACAAAAAAAAAAAAAAAAACCAAGATATAAAAAGAAGTCGATATATCAAACATTGAAATAGATATTAAAAAAAGGAGTCAATTAATTAAAAAAAAAGAATTATAATTACAAAACTTAAGAAAAAGGAGGTGATGTTTCAGAGAAAAATATTTCAAAAGAAAAACAGTGATAACTCTCAGATTTCAAGGCACTCAAAATAGTTTTCTAGTTTCAAGATTTAATGATAATGTCTGGTCCTTTTATAAATCATTAAGTTGTAAGAGAGTTTTCTCTCTTTTTGAAAGAATTAAAAAATAAAACTCTAATATTAATAATTTTTGCTTTATGTATATATGATTTTTTTTTTTTGTGAACCTACTTTATGTATATGATAAATTATGAGAGAACTCGACTTTACTGCAATGTGTTTGCTTGTCAGTAAGAAAATAAAAAACATGGGCTGGCTTCAAATCAGGATGATTGCATGTCTCGTGACTCTTTTGTAGCCTCCTCTCTTGTTGGCCAACTCATTCCATTTTTTTTTCTTTGACCATACCAACATGCAAGACCAATTATTAGATTTGAGTCCATGAGAAAATAGAGGATTTTCACAACTACTCTATCTATTTACTTTTAGGTTTGGAACTGTTTAACCAATAAAATATGGCGGTTTAACAATAAGGAAACCGTCTATGTACAAAATATAATACAATGCAGTGATGAATGACTTCGAAGCTACTCCCATTCTTTTTTTCTCTCTACGAGTGTTTCATTTTATCGTAAAGAAATGTTGTTAGCTCTTGTTTACTTTACAATGAAGATTGCTAGCTACTGTTATTATGATAAATATATGATTGTGGAATACGTCTAACATTTTTTACAAAAGAAAATCAAGTAATAATTAAGTATATAGTTTATGGAAAAGTACCACTAATCTATCAGAACGAAATCTAGAATTAATATTTGTTGGTCTATATAAATCTTTAAAAGGAAAAAAAAAATCAAAATGTTGTGGTCCAAAAACATTTCAGGTCCAAAATAGTGTGTAAACAACATTTGTTTTTAAGGTTCCGACTCAAACTGCAAAAATAACCCAACCTTTTGCAATACTTATTGGATGAAATCTTCATTCGTAATTCTTTCTAGAAAAGTTGTGTATATTTGATTCGAAAATGTTTATTGCATCTTTTTGACAAAAAGAAAAGAATGTGTGTAGTAGCACGTACCCTACTAGAGCTTACAATGACCTTATTGGCTAGCTAGAAAAAAAAAAAAAAAAGAAGAGGAGGGGTACAATAAATCGATTTTCCTATTAAAGCGGGAGCTAAAACATGTTTTCAATAATCAAATCCTAAAGTTTAGAAAATAGAGGAAGATTTAGATTTGGTCGCAAAAAGTCTAAAAGTAGTCTAGGAGAGCAATCTAGTGAGAGGTGTTAGTGATGTTCTTTTCACATATAAGTATTAGTATACAAAATTTGTTTGTTTGAGAGCTTCTTAATACATATATATATAAATGACTAAATGAGTATGAAAATGCATGAAACTCGATAAAGCAAGATACGGTGTGCGTGCGTGCGTGTTACTATTTGAGGTTATACGTGCGTGCCTTTTAATACAACTGTTGATACTATATTTTAAATTTGGGGTGTTTTAGATTATGCGCTAACCCCGTGATTGATTTGGTTTCTTAAGTAATAATAAAAATAATACCTTTCTCAAAATCTTTAAAAAAAAAAGAACATGATAATGATACGTGTGGGTGTGCGACATTATGTATACAATATGGCGTCTTTTTTGTCTTCCAAATAGACACATTTGATTCGCCTTTTGTCGACGGTACATAGTTTTGGTTTTCTATTTAACTTTTTTTTTTTTTTTTTTCACATTGACAAGGTTAATAAAAAGCCTTATATGACTCTCAAGGCCCAAACAATTTGTGCATGTGCATGTTAGATCACTTTGTTTTCTACTACAGTATGCTATATGTAACTTTCCCGTTTAATACAAGTAGCTAGTGAAATAGTATAGAAGCCCATGTTAATAGTATATATATAAAAGAAACTCTCGTTTTCTTTTGGGAATAACTTTAAAAGGTAAGACATGGATGGACCCATAAGTTGTACCTATAGAAAGAAGATAGTCGGCTTGGGTTGATGCTGTTGCCGACTTGTTCACGTTGGTTTAATGTGTTTGCGATGTATTTTGAACCTCTCGCAAAATCTGAGAACACACATTGATGAATGTAGGCTTTTTTTTTTATTTTTAATAAAGTAGAAATGCATGAGAGTGAGTCATTGTATTTGGAGATGACAAATGTCCAAATACAATGCAAATGGGACCAAAAGAAACAAAAAAAGAAAAGAAACACAAAGGTACTAAGAACCACGTGGCTTTCACGTGAACTTCACGCTCTCTCTAATTTTTATATTTTTTCCAATATGTTTTTGTTGTAATGAGTTTGTTCCGCTTTACCCTTTTTTTTGGAAGAGAATTAATAATGCAGCCAAAAACACATCCTTACCATTTTTTATATTTTGTGGTGGGCCCGGCCCATTCCTTATTGTCCCCTTTTGTACTGTGAATTCTCTCTTCCCTCTACCACGTGGGCTTCTTGGCCCGTTCTCTCTCTCTCTCTCTCCTCAAAGTATAATTTTTTTTTTAATCGATTTTGCAAAAACTTTTAATGTTTACAGAAGATATTTGTCTATGCTGTGGCAATCTGATATTCATGAACATATATTTTTTTTTTGTCGTCTGGAATTATATTAATGAAACAAAGAAGGATACAACGCGAAACACAACCGAATATATAATCATATCTCATCATCCCTTATATAACCATGCAAAATATAAAATCCAAATAATAATAATAATAATAAAAGCACTATAGAACTGTTAAAAAAAAAAAAAAGCACTATAGAAAAAAAAATCAAAGATGCTAAGATTCGACCTGGTACGAAAGACGAACAGTGTGGCACTGTACTCGAAAAAAACTGCACCTGAGAAAATTATATTATAAAAAGTTGGAAAAAGATAAAATAATAAAACTAGAAAGAAAGAAAACATAAAAGTAAAAAGAAACAAAAGCAAGATATAAGAAACCAAGTCTGCTCTGAAGTTGATCAACAAAAAGAAAGATTAGCTTTCACTTACTTCCACTGAAGAAAAAAAAAAGAAGCCTTTCGGATCATTCAACCAAACAACAAAAAATATGACTCACCCATCATCGACCTTCAAACCAAAGTAACTTCTCTAATCTTGATTCACACTAGAATCTAGATGATGGTGATGATCTTCTTACCAAGTGCTTACCGTTTTTTGCAGGTTAAACGACCCACAGTTTATGGAGCTTGTGTTTGAGAATGGGCAGATTCTTGCCAAGGGCCAAAGATCCGACCTTTCTCTTCTGAATCCACGTACGAAATCAATCATGGATTTGTATGAGGCTGAGTACAACGAGGATTTCTTGAAGAGTATCAACAATTTCGGAGACACACAGGTTGTTCTACAAAATCATCTTGTTGCTGCTCCAGATACAAACATGTTGGAAAGCGATAAACATGTTGATGGTTCAACTTTGATTGAGACTTTCAAAGCTTCTTCATCAAAGAGGATGACGATGAATTATTTTAACCGAAAGAAGATCGAGTTTCTACCTCCTGATGAGCAATCTGTGGTTGCTGAAAGGACCGTGGAATCGAGCTTTGACACTTCCTCTGCAGGTTTCACTGAAGACAGTCAAGGATCGACGTATCTAAGCAGTGTATGAGGATTGATTCACATATTTTATTGGTTTTGTTTATCTGTTAGGTTCTTGTCTGTCTGAAGATAGTTTTTGTCTCAACGCAGAGTCTAGATGAAGAGTCAGATGATGGGAGGCCACGTGTTTCTGAAAGAACAAGAAAAGCTTTGGTCAAAAGAAAACGAAATGCAGAAGCTTGTCATTCACCTGAAAGAGTAAGTAATCTCACTGAGCCACAAAGCAAAATATTGAATACTGAATCTGATACATCCGTATATGGTATTGTGGAAAACAGAAGCAAAGAAACGATATCAACAAGAAAATGCGTACTTTGCAGGATCTACTACCTAACTGTCGCAAGGTTTGTCATAAAACCAACTTTTGAATTTGTTTCGAAAGTGATCAAAAGCTTTCTGGTATTCTACAATAACTTACATTATCTTATATACTTAATGTTGTTCATAGGACGACAACAAATCGATGTTGGGAGAAGCAATCAATTATATGACGAACCTTCAACTTCAAGTTCAGGTATAACAAAAAAAAAAAAAATCAAATAACAAATTCAAACTAAGTAATCGTTGTAACCTGTATAAATCTTGGGTTGCAGATGATGACGATGGGTAACAGATTTGTTACACCATCAACGTTGTTGCCTTTGGGGACGCATTACTCTCAGATGGGTGTAGCAATGGGTATGGGAATGCAAATGGGAGCACCACAGTTTCTGCCTGGGCATATTTTAGGAGCAGGCTTGCCTGGGATTAATAATTCAGCTAATATGCTCACGTTTCTCAACCATCCTGGACTAGCGCCAATGCAAAACTCTGCTCCTTTCACTCCAACAGAAAAATGCTCCCCACAATCTGTCTGGCCATCGTATGCTACTTTCCCTGATCAGATACCAAACCCCACATTTTTGTCAACCTTAGATGGTGCAACACCCTACACAAGAAATCATGGAACACTAACAGATGGAGGAATTCTCTCTGGTAAAAAATCTGGAAACCCCTGAGCAGATGAAACAAACAGAATGGTGATAGTTACCTGTTGATTCATGGTCTTCTTCTTCTCGAGAATACTAGAGCCATCGCAAGGTGAACCATACAGATCCAAAAGAGCACTACAACAACAGAACAAATACCATGAAAGGATCTCCTCAACTTTCTCTTTTTAATAGTGCTAGCTTTTGTAGTTCATGTAACATATAGGATAGGAGCTATAGGAAATTAGGAATAATAATTGTGACTCGCAAGTAGTAGTTTTCTTTGGATGACAAACACTGCATGTTAGAGAATTTAATAAAATATGAACCACTATCAGAGTAAACAAAATCATAATTCGACCTTCTGCTCTGTTTATGAAACAAGCTCTTGAGTTTACACAAAGGAGTGAAGCTTTTGTTTTTAGAATCCCAGCAAGAGGCATATATAGCTTACTAGTACTCTAAAACTCACTTTACCCAGTTTTAATCTATGTACATGATACATTGATACTCCGTGTATTTCTTCTCACAGTACATCAGGAAGAGAAGAGATCGCACCAGAATGAACATGTATTGTTCAGCTATGCCGCTTCAAGAATATTTTTTCCGCTATCTTTTATCCGAACTGGCTCAGTAGCTTGCTCTCCCAATGTTTGTTTCCTATTGCCAACATTAAGCTCTGAAAACATCTCAGTCAGTGAATCTGTAGCATCTGAGATCCCTGGTCGGACCTGTGAATTTTCGCTTTCAAGCTCCATCTCTAATTCCAATAATTCATCTTCGATATTTTCGTCATCAATATCTGGATATGGAGCTGATTCTGCCACATTAACAGAGAATCTAGTTAATCATAAAAGTTGATGGAAATAATCGTGTATGTATGTTTAAATGACCAAAAACCACTCACCAAGAGCTTTTTCAACTTGCTTCTGTGATTCAATAGTTTCCTCAAGTTCTTCCAAATAGTCATGAACTTCATCTGCACTGATTTTGATGTCCTTCATAACCTTAGCTCCAGTTTTGATTGCTTCTGAGACCTGCCAAAACACACAGAGATATATCTAAATCCATGATTGATACTATTACATAGACCAAAACATGAGAAATTCTTCCTATGGGTTTACCATTTTCGTCGATTCGGAATCTGCTATAGTATTCAATACTTCCTCTACTCTGTTCAGAAGTGACGTGCATCTTTCTCTGCTCTCAGTGGCCAGCTTCAGTTGCCTTGCATGCCTTAGAGCAACTTTCTTGTGTCCAGACTTTAGAGATAACAGCGCTGATTTGTTTGACCTACAAAAGGGGGAAAAGTAAAAAAAAACTTAAAATTCAATCTATATAAAGAAGTAAAGCTAAATTACTTTTGCCATTGCTATGATCAATGTACGAGAAAATTAAACCATTTCGATACAAATCAGGAATCAGAGGTGTTACGTTTCACAACGTTGATCCATCACTTGAAGTTGATCTTGAAGTTTTTCTGTAGTCCTTAGCAAGTGTAGAATATCACCGTCTAAAATCGAGATGCTGGGAAGAGCTGCTTGTGAAATGGACACTTTAACACCCTGCAAATCACAAGTACATTGGTTTCGTTAACTGTGCATAGGCCTTGACCTGAACTGAGTCTAATTTCTAAACTTGGCAAAGTTGTCTGTTGCACTGGAATGTGTAATTAAGCGAGAAACTTCAAAGACATCAAAATTCAAGCAAAATACTAACATGCCTTATTGACCAAATACATCTCAAGGAACAGTAGTCATTTAAAATCCACAGACACTATACAAACTGACTAACAAATTTCTCCATCAGACAGCAAGTATAAGACCAAAGAAAAGATGGATAAATAAGCAACCTCAATCAGTTCTCCCCGATTGATAGAGATTTTATGTGCTTTTCCACATCCTGACAAGTGACTCAAAACAGCTGATGCCTCACTCGAACCGTTGCACAAATTCCGAAACTTCTTCAGTGTGACCACACAAGTAGAAGTCCAGTGTCCCTCAGATAAAATATTCACCACATCAACCGCCTTCTCCTAGACATTACAAAGACTTATTTATATGAGCCACAGACTTGTACAATAAACTGACAATTCTGCACGTATTAGCAGACGAGCTATACAAAGGATACTAACAACCTATAAAAGATAGCTGAAGACTTATATAGTCAGCTCACACATTTTCAAGAGACCTAATATTTTCAATATCAATCATTACAAGACATATTCACACATTATAATCCATGTATCTAAACAAATCCCCAGACCCTAAATATCATAGTTCCAGCCAGACGCACCTTTTAAACTTAAAACAGAAAAAAAAAGATGGTTAAAAGTGAGAAGGAACAGAGGCACCTTCACGAGGGAAACAATAACAAGTTTATTCTCCAGAATGTCTCCCGGCTGAACTGACGGTTGAGCCATTAGGTTCCTCACTGTCCTAAACAAACGAAATATACGGCCACTGCCTGGGTCATCAAGTTCACTAATCCGCACGACATCACCTTCACTATGCATCAATAACTGAATAACGAAAAAGCTTGTAATCAATCTCAAGAAAATTAAAAAAAAAAAGTTTAAGAAGACTAAATGCAGAAACTCACCAATACATGATCAATGCATAAAGGCGTCATACCTCCTCGATCAAACCACGCGTTCTTCACCTTTGGGAACAAACAAGTGACACGTAATCAGTTATTTTATTACTAATTTCATCTAGAATAAAAAAAAAGCGCTATTTATTGAGCATACCTGGACAGGATCAATGATGAACACCCCAAACTGACGCGAGACCTTGAAGATCAAATCGCGCCAAAACTGAAATTTGGGTTCCCAATCGGATCTCTGCCCGCTAAACGCCTTGAATCTGGCCGTCGACACCACCTCATCGTCCCAATCCGGAACTTCCCTTCGTATAAACTCCTTCACAGCTTCCGAATCCATTTCCTTCCCTCAGATGAAAATTAACTTGCAAAATCTACTTCGAAAGTCGATTTCCCGCTGGGGTAAGTTTTATACGAAGATCGTAGTCGGAGAGAAAGCAAAGTCCAGAGAGGATTTCTCGAATCGACATGCTCTGCTGTTTTAATTATGCGCTTTAGCACAGTGTGGCGTTTTCCTTACGCCGGGGGGAGTATTAATGGGCAAACACCTTTTTACAATTAGGCCCGGCCCATAAGTTAGATAGAGGCTTTGGACTTTCAAAACAAGACTGGTCAAAAAGGACCAACGGCAAGCCGATAGCACCGGTTGTTTAAATAACAAATCCACCATCAAATAACTAATCTAAAGATTGTTAATTTTATCTTTTACAAAATCAGTATTATTCAATTAAATCAGAATTCAGAAAGCGACCAAATGTTTTTTAAAACAACTTAAGAATAATAAGTTGAACGTAGAAAGGGCCGACCATAAGATGACCCAATACAAATTACACACTTGACACACGCTCATATCTATTTCATGATCGTTTTTAAAAAATAATTGAAAATGGGAAAGTCAAGTAATAAAGTATGTCTTTTCCTTTTTGGTGACGATAGCAAATGCTCAAACAAAAAAAAAAAAATGAGATCGGGATACACACGAACAAGTGTGAAAACTAGAAAAAGAAAAGTGTAAAAGAAACAAATTAACGAGACAAGAAGGACCGACCATGCCTATATAGACTTATAAATGCGTTCGTTATATTAAATACGATAATGATAGTATGTTTTTATTTATATACATGCACACCACACAGCACACCTGAGGGATGAGGCAATCCAATTCCATAGACATATCACATATGTACATGTTTATCTACACACACAAAAATATAGACGTTGTAATTAATGGCTTAACTGATCATCATATTGGTCTGGGATAGTTATAGCATGTCACGTGACTTTTGCATGTTAGTTATTGGTTTGATGTTGATATCTATATCCGTTTCCACTCCAGCTTTTTAATTTATGGTGTACGGGTTAGCCCCTAAACAAATTTATAATAAACCTTATTTTGCTGGTAAGTTTGTTTATCTAAAGCCGCGTTAACGGATAACAACAATAAGGTCGATCAGTAGTGATGTAATTAATGGTCGCTAAGTTAAAGCTTCCGGTATTGGATTACGGCATTGTGCATTTACGAGTACTAATAAGGAGGTACACGTGTCACTTATCAAAATAAACTTTGGAAATATAAGGAATAATCAAATCTCGTATTAAGGACAAGATTAAGATAAAATGGGTCACTAACTATTACGTGATTACCTTGTTTAAACATTTCATTTAATAGAATCAATTCTACTTTCCTGTGTGTATGTTTATATATTTCTGAAATAAAGAAAACAGAGTTGTTCAAGCTCCGCGTTAAGAAAAAGTAACGTTTCTATTTGAAAAATGGTAAAATTCGACCAACGTTTTTCAAATAAACAAAGTGATTTGAGGACTGCTTTAGCAACGATAGAATCAAACTAAAAGAGAGTTTAGATAGATATTTACCCCCAAAAAAGGGATTAAAAGTATAATAAATAATTGCTGTTCTCAAACAAAGAGGGGTAAAAACGTAAATAGCACAACCCGCAAGACTTGGGTGGTATAAATGAAAGTAATCGTAAAAGAGTTAAAAGCAAGAGTTGACTCAGTTTCACCATTATAGCAGTGGACGGACACTCCAAACGTCAGTCTCTTCGTTTTTGCTACTTTCTTTTCTTTCATGGCCTTCGACCAGAGCTTAGTGATGGTTTCTTCTCTGTCGAGACTCTCTGTATGCACGAACTCTGTTTACGTCGACGAAGACGAATCATCAGCCACTAAAAATCAGCCGGATTCGTGCGTTTTCACGTCGGTGGAGAATTTCGACGGAGCAGAGGCTGACGGAGAAGTTTCCGATGATGGAGAAGGAAAAGAGAACGTTCGAGAGTCTGATTCCGACAAAGAGGCACGTGGTTTCTACTCTCTTCCGGTGACTCCATCTCGTCGGAGAAGAAAACTTTTAGTTTCCGGCGAGTTAAATGCGAACGAGAGTAACAGAGATGGCGGTAAGTGTAGTATACGGAGGCAGAGGAGGGTAAGTAGGGAAAAGAAAAAAAAGGGAGTTAACGGAGAGTGTGACGACGGTGGACGAGAAGGGTTAACGGTGTTAACGAGAGCCAAGGGAGGAGACAGGTCGATGAGGATGGGGTTGGAAGAAGTGAAGGCTTGTAGAGATCTCGGGTTCGAACTAGAGGTTCCGGTTCCGGGTCGGATCTCTGTCTCAACCGGGTCGAACTTCGATACTCAGACTAGTAGTGGCGGCAACTCACCCATCGCCACTTGGCGCATCTCCAGTCCTGGTAAATTAATAATATATACTCAAATATATTATTTTGTTTTATGAAATTTTTGACTTTTGTCATTCAAATATATCATTTTGTTTTATGAAATTTTTGACTTTTGTCATTCAAATAATTTATGTGTGTTTGCTACTGAATTAGGTGATGATCCAAAGGAGGTTAAGGCGAGATTGAAGGTGTGGGCACAAGCTGTGGCTTTAGCTTCTGCATCACGTCATCAAGCTTCTTAATTATATATCTTCTCTGTTTTAGGTTCTACTTTTATCTAAGTAATAGGTCTTTTCATGTTCTTTTTTTTTTTGCTTAGTGGGTTTTGAGAGACTTTCCTAGTTCGTATCGTGGGTTTGTAAATACGATAACAGTAGTTGTTTTCAGTCATCCCTTCAGGTGAAATAATAATTTTGCGAAATACTCTATATCGACTTTGTGGATTGAAGTAATTATTTACTATAGCTAACACTTTATCGCACAAAACAGAGCCTGCAATGTTAACTCGCGTGCGCTTCATTATGGTGCAAAAAGGTGAAAATTAAAGCAAAGCGATTAACAATTGGAATTTCAAAATACAACAAAAGGGGACATCTCAAAAGAAGAGTTCATGATCGGTTTTTGAGATTCGGACGTTTTGTGTTTGAGTCCAATGAATAAAGGAATATGTTCTTTTTACTTTTCTCTTTTTGATATTCTATTCCATGTAAATGACATGGATTTTGTCACTAACTAGATTCGACATTTGAATCAAATGGTTATAGATAATGAGGTATGAAAAGATTGAGGTTTTACTATTGTACCTACTAATCTAAGAATCTGAGTATGAGTTTTGTCAACACTAGAGGGACCAGATAGGCTCTAAAGAGAGGAAAACAAAACCTTGAAGAAGCTGAGATCTCTAGAGCTGACTGATTTAAACTGCACAAAGAATATATATGAAATAGAATCGATAAAAATAAACATCCAAAGAAAGCTTATTACAATCGAAAAATGAGGTCACATAAATATAAATTATGATCTGAATCGACAAACAAAACGATTCCCATTTTGAGATACACCAATGTTACATATTTCGAAGTTAGGATAAATATTTGGAAGGATTTCCCAGCAATAATGGTATATATGTTTGAAAGAATCAGAGAAATGAGTTTCAACGATTTACTCACTCGAAAATCAGATTGTGACATGTTGTGTCGCACGGATAAGGACAGTCGATGGCTTTGACATTTGTTGTTCGGTCGAAGTACCAGTCACCTACAGATTCTGCGACTCGCTGATAAGAAGACAATTAACGAGCAGAGTTTAACAAACTTGTGATTGCTACATTGAGACAGAAACCGCATGAATGGTTTTGGAGGAGCAAATGTTACCTTTCCATTTAGTTGGGGCGAATCTTGAGCAAACCAGGTGTCCTGTCTTTCAGACTGACAATGCGCGAAGCAAGAGTTTATGAAAAGACCGTTCTGCTCAGATGCGGAAAATGAGTTTACAGCAAGCACCATCTGAGTCCTGAATTCTATTTGGTGTAAGCAAAGAAAAATGACATGGGAACAAATCAACATGCGCAGACTCAGTATAGTAGATAGAGTGACGATAAACAACAAGCGTGAGTTAAAAAATTTACCTTGGAAGAACTGGATTTGTGATGAATTACAGTGCAAGTGATCTGATTTGCATGCTTTCCAAATGCCGCCTGGATCAGCAGTTGGAGGAGCTAAGCTCTCTTGGATCTGACAGAAAAATATCATACTTATGTTTTCTCAAGAATCAAATTACTGTGGAAGGATGAAGCACTGAGCTAGATGGAAGAATTGATTATACCTGCCAAGAGTCATATGCTGTGTTGAGAAGAAACATTGGAGTTTTGATGTCTGAAACCAAGTTCTGGGGAAAGAAGCACTGAGAAAGAGAGAAAGAGATAATGTCAAAAGATTTTCTCAAGCCTTTTCTTCTAGAAACTTTGGTAATGGAAATAGTGATATTAGCGGAGTGAAATAGATATACCGAAGTAGGATCCAAATGGTTTGTACAAGTACTGGACAAGTCCTTTTGGAGGTTCTATAAATCAACAGAGACATTTATATAAGAGTTACAGTAAGCTTAAGATGAAGTAAGTTGTATGCACTTTAGTCATGCCCATTTCATAAGAATTTTGAATCTGAGATACCTGCACTGTAACTACACCTTGGAACATATTCCTAAGCGAGTGGCCCCCGGAGACATCCACTCTGCAATGTTCATTAGAAAATATCAAGTTTGGATACTTTTCTAAAGAAAAAGTACTATTCGTAAACAAAAAGAGCCAAGTTGAAGAGATTTACGCGTCCAGAAACATTCCAGCGTCACTTAAGCATTTAACTTTCGTGGAATTAGGTAATAGTTCCCTGAATTCATCACAGTGCAAGATGGAAGCTAATCCTCCAGCTGAACATCCAGAAAGCAGAGCCTGTGGTGAATAATCACTTGCAATTGATTAGTTAAGGCAATAAACAGAACATAAACCACAGCAACAAAATCCAAAAATGTGATAGATTTGATGAAATGCAAAGACCTGATTTGCTTGCTGCATGCCTAAAGACAGGAATTCTTGCATAGCCACTTGCCAGATTCGTTGTCCTCGATAGAAAAGTTGCGACCCCTAGATACAAGCCATTCTAACAAATTAGAAGAGGGTGCAAATGGAAGAATTCATCACAATCCTACGGTACTATTGAGTTCGGCCAACCTCGTCCTGACTATCCCCAGAGAAAGAAGCACCATCGCAGTAGCGCAACTTGATCCTGTTCCAATTAAAGAAGTCTGCAAGCCATAAGAAGACAAGAGAATCAATACAATAACGTGCATTTTTTTATACAGTTGCTTCATAACCACATGCACACAAAAACTCATGGTGACAAACCAGGGTTCTCTTCAGGTTTATTGCTCAATATTCCAGTGAAGGCCAAAGCTTTTTCCATGAAATTAGAGGAACCACGCCGACTTGTTTTGCGATACACACAGCTCCTATGGTTGTTACACCATCCTCCACCCTAAACCACTCACTGAGTTATAAGAAAAAAAAAAAAAAAAAAAAAAAAAAAATCTAGCTTCTAACAATTAAGTCATCCCTCAATAGCAGAAACTTCCATTGTATACAAAACCATCAAAAGTCTTAAAGACAACATAAGCTGTAAAATGTACATACCTCAAGTTGGATAAGCCAACTGTTAGCACCTGATCCAAAACCACGATCTAGATGATAACCAGGCAGCGTCCCATCTAAGCACACTGCATCAATTTAGCAAAGAGACCGAGTCAAAATACAAACAGTCTATGAAATCGAGCGACAGACAAAATCAAATCCCAACTAAGAAAGCCAAAATCGAGACTGAATTGTGGACCAAAAAGGACAATGTGATAGTGGACGCATTTCCACAACAAGCATATCCTCAGATCCCATAGAAGAAGAACGAAAGAGATAAAGAGAGAGAGAGAGAGAGAGAGAGAGTATACCAGCTCCTTTGGAGTCAGCTCCCTGAATCAAGGTGAGAGGCACCATGGGAACCGAAGAAGCCATCAGTTTATTCTCCATCAAAGATATCACAGCCTCAGTATCTATCGGTATCCCGAATCCATCGCTAGATCCGCTCCGAACCACCGCCGTGACTGAGCATAGCCAGCACACGACCACCGGAATCAACAATACGCTCCTCATCTCCTCGGAGCTCCGGGAGATACAGGGAAAACGAGCCGAGCGCGAAACTTTTGCTAAAAAGAACGATTTCGATAGTAATGTGTTTACTCTTAAAGTCTTAATCAGTACATGAAGACAGAATAATTTGAATTTGAAAATGATGGAAAAAAAAAAAGGAAAAGCAGATGAAGAAGTTTTTTTTTGTTTTTTCTCTCGTGCGTCGATTTGTAATAATTTATAATACTATTATTATATACTGAAGAATTCAATGTCTGAATCTAAATGCATAAAATTCTGTATTCCTTTTTATTATCAGATATTTAATTTCAAGTAGATTCATTCACTTGGGACTTGAATGTACCAAATTTTTTTTATAAAAATAATCTTACAGATTTAGCATTTAATATTTATAGGTTTGATACAGGAGATTGACATTTGTAATCCGTGCATAAAATCATATGGAGTATAGATTATTTTGAAAAAAATCAAGATACTGTTTAGACTGTTGTTTGCTAATTCCTAATAATCTAACAATGGTGGCAACTGGCAAGTGCATGTTTATGGATTCAATTAAAATGTTTTGTTCTTCCTCTTTTAGCGTGCTCTCTAGATTTTTTCTCTTTTGGAACATTCTCAAATGAATTTTAAATAAATAAGTAATATAGATTAAATTCACGTTTGCTAAGATTTTTTCGTGCCCTTCTGTCGGTCTGACGTGTCACTTGTGTCTGTCTCCATCCTGGATGTACTATACTATGGGCCTTAGAAATGGGTTTGTTGACACAAATATTTTGGGTCACACTATGGGCTTACAAAACCTATAAATTGATTGAAGGTTTTAGATTCTTTATAATTGTCCAATTTAATGACCTAACTTTTTGGTCATTATTTACAAAATATATCTAAGGGCAATTCCCATGAATATGATCTTTATATGCGAACAAAATTTGTATATAACACAGAAAAATATGACTAACTTTTATTTATTAAATATGTCTGGATTTTATTTAACTTTTAAGAAAATCAATATGTTAAACTATTACGTACACAAACACAAGAAAATTAACACAATCCATGTCAATATGTCACTAACCTAACTTCTTGGTTTAGTCTTTAAACCCTTTTTCTATTATAAAACACAGTGCTCTCTGAATCAGCTAACCATTTGTTCCTTGTATTATTATATATGCAGATTTGATTCATTTTCATCCGTATATGTATTTATGGTGGATGTTTATAATACATATTTAATTTGGCAAAACGTAGTAACATACATGATACAACTATTTGTGGTTTAATTTATAATCAAATTAGTTTAAGACATATTTTTAGTTATAAAACATTAAAATAATGTTTTTCATGATCAAACATTTTTTTTGTTGCATGATACTTGCCCTTTTTTTTTTTTATACACTTGATATTTCAGCATACTTTACTGTTTACCTTTTTATTCACTCTTTGTTTTTTGCACTATTTATAGAAAATGAAAATAGCAGGTCACGGAAAGTGGGAAATGACAAAGAAAATTTATATGAATGTTTAAAATAAATAATAATAATAGTGTTGTATATGCTAAACACCTCATCATCTTATTGCCTTCATCAGCATATAAACAACATGGTGGATCGTTATATCATAATTTCAAGTCACCTTCAACCATCATGCTTTCTGAAAATGATTTCATATACATATATAATACATGCCAGCCAAATTATACAGAAAAATAGAGACAAAACCAAAAAAAACATTATAATACATTATCGTATGTATATGCGTTTCCAAACGATATACATTATTAGATAAAAAAACCAGTCTTGAATTGATTTCTGGTAGTACACACATGTACACTTGAAGCGTTACAAAATACTTTATCGTTAACTAACAAAAAATGATGGTAATTGGCAAAGACCATAACCGTATAATTAAGATGATAACCAAATATTCTATGTGTCAAAAGATAAAATCCATTATTTCATTTTATTTTCGAATTTGTGTATATAAATATAGCTATCTCCTTCACTTTGATCATAAGAGCTCTCTCTCTCACTCACACACCTTTCATCAAGTAATCTCTGTCTATACTTCTCTCGTTTAGAAAAAAATGGATGGATTTGGAACGAAATACGAGTGCTTGTTCTTTGGTAACATTCATATATATAAACACATCATCTTCAACCTTTCTTCTCTATGCAATTTCTGATTGTTGTTGTTGTTGTGGCAGATCTGGACGATACTTTATACCCTTTGAGCATCGGAATCAACTTAGCTTGCCGAAAGAACATCCAAGGAAAAGATCACTAACGTTTCAAGATCGAATCTCTCTTATATCATATTAACGACCATATAACTGAAGTTCTTATTTTGTTTTTGCTGTCTCTTTTGTTATTTGCAGAGTTCATGCTTAACCAACTTGGAATTGAAGAGAGTGAAGTTCCAAAGATGTGTTTGGATCTTTACAAAGAATATGGAACCACCATGGCTGGTCTCAAGGTATGTGTTTTTCAAAGTTCTTGATCTAAACACCAAAATTATTCTTCATACCGAACCAGACGAGATAACCACAACAGAGGCTTGTTTACAGGTTCTTGGTTACGAGTTTGACAACGATGAGTTTCATGAATTTGTCCACGGAAGACTTCCATACGAGAAACTGAAACCTGATCCAGTTCTTCGTAAACTTCTTCTCTCTATGCCTCACCGTAAAATCGTAAGTTTCTTCCATCCTCAAGCTTTTTACTCGGAATCCTCACACTGCACCCTTTTTCTCATCCTCTGTTCTGTTTTTCCCCCATCAGATCTTTACTAACGCAGACAAAGCTCATGCAACACGAGCCCTTACCAGATTGGGTCTAGAGGATTGCTTCGAAGGAATCATTTGCTTCGAAACTTTGAACCCTTCTTCTGATTCAAAGACTCAACAAATTCTCTGCAAACCTTCTGTTGAAGCATTTGAAGCCGCAATTCGCATTGCAGACGTTGTTGATCCACGCAAAACGGTAATAGAACAGTCACAAGGATCTTTCACAGTTTTTTGGTTAGCAAACTCAAAAGTCTGTAACTTTTTTCATTTTCAGATATTCTTCGACGACAGTATTCGTAACATCGCTAGTGCTAAGGCAACGGGTCTAAAAACCGTGTTCGTGGGAGATTCGGTGCTAGTTCCAGGTGCAGACTATGCACTTAGCAGCATTCACAACATAAAGGAAGCAATACCTGATTTATGGGGAGATAATAAAGATGAGAAGCTCGAGCCAATTGTTCAGCAAGCAGCGGTTGCAGCCATGGTCCATGCTTAGAGAAACAGTTCAATAAGAATCCCACATTGATTAAGAGAACCTTCATTGTACTTTTAACACATCTATCCAAAATAAAGAAACAAAAGACCAGAATTTAAAAATCTTTGGCTTTTTGATGGTTTGGATTCCTCAACAGTCATAATAGCAAAAACAAAAAAACAGAACAAAGATCACAATGACAATGCAGTGGTCAATAATGATAATCAAGCTTCCATCGGGAGCTCTCCGCAGGCATAGATTCTACAACCTTTCTTGGGAACATCCATGGCGCGTGTCTCCTGAGACTCAAGAGTCCTCACAAGCTTCATACCTTCAATCACTTGCCCAAACACAACATGCTTGTTATCTAACCATGGGGTCTGCACATGAAGAGATCAAAGAACAAATATTCTGTGAATAAACTGAACCAAAATGTGAAGACAAACATATGAAGATAGATAACTTTATAGATGAGGTGAAGAGTCACCTTGACAGTGCAAATAAAAAACTGGCTTCCATTAGTATTAGGACCAGCGTTTGCCATGCTCAAGATTCCAGGTCCAGTATGCTTCACTGCAAATGCGAATAATCAAAAGCATTAATACCTCAAAGAAGCACAGACAAATGCAGAATTATTCTTTGATAAATAATACTCACGGGTGAAGTTTTCATCTTCGAACTTGGCACCGTAGATACTAATACCTCCAGTACCCTGTGAAGCAATATTGAAAAGGACGAATTAGAAAGCAATATCAAATAACAAGCAGTCTTGGATCCATGAAAAGAACTTACATTTCCCTCAGTGAAATCACCTCCTTGGATCATGAAATCCTTAATAATACGATGGAAAGAGGAACCCTTGTACCCGTACTTTTTCTCACCTGAAGAAATCAATATATCCTTTAGACAATTGTTTTTCTAAAAAGTTTGAAACTTTAAAAATCATTATAATTACAGTTGGAGACAGAGATCTCACCAGTACACAAGACACGGAAGTTCTCAACGGTTTTAGGCACAACATCTCCAAAGAGACCCATCACAATTCTTCCAGCGACTTCACCTCCAATTTCCACATCAAAGTAGACCTTGTTTGTCACTTTAGCCTGAGGTTCTATGACTTCTTCTTCCTCCTATGAAAACAAAAAAAAAGTTCAAGAATCAACACAAATCCATAAGAAACAGGACATCAATGATTATGACAAAAACAAATTAGGTTCTTTTCGGAAAATCTTACAGCCGCCATGGCTTTAACACAAGCGGTTCTCTGGTGCTTGGTGGTGGCACAGACTCCGGAAAATTGCTTGAGAGGGAAACTTGATGCATAGTGCAATCTCGAAGACAATGCAATTCCAGAGGAACGAGCTCCAAAGCAAACTGATTGAGATGTTCGATTTGCGGAAACTAATTGCGACTTAACACCGAACCCAATCTACAACACAAAACAAAAACAACGAGAATTTAAGACCAAAACTTACCACAAGAACAGCAATGATCTCTGATGAGATTTCGTTTCAGCTCATACTGCTTAAAATACTAAAACACAGTAAAGCCAAAGAAGACGCCATTGCTTGTAAATGGAGAAAAAATAATTAAAAGCATAGACTTTTTTCAGTGGCGAACCTGGGAAACGGAGCGGGAAGTGTGAACCATTTGCATTGAAGACGAAGCAGCCATTGATTTGATTAAAGAAGAAAAGACTTTTTGTTGGTTCGCTTAGACAACAGTCTCTAGTTTTGCAGATAAGAGAACCGCCTCGAACCTTGTTTTTAAGTTAGCAAATCTGGATTGGTATCCTTAGCGTCTCGTGCTAACTTACGCACATATGATTGCGACAACTAACCAGGCCTATTTGACATCTTTCCAGGCCCAGCCCAACTATATTTTCTCTCGGTTATTACAGTCCCTTTTTTAGTGATAATATTTGCCTACTGATTTCGATCGGTATTTAACATTTGTACCAACTTTTTGATAACGGAGATTAAAACATCTAATTGCAGATATGATCAATATGGTATGCAATATTATCTAGTTATCGTTTGATTAATTTTATTGTAATTAATCAGACAAGTTACGACAACTAGTAACCGGGAAGGTTTCCTACAGACTTGTTATTCTTTTAGGCCTCAAAAGGAAAACACTACTCTACTTGCACTACGTTTAATTAGTCTATCCAATTGTAGTTTTTTCCTGGATTTCAAAAGTTCAATAACGTCGACGAAGTTCACTAGAGCTATATGCTTTGGACAATTTTATGTGGAGGAACAGGCACTGTTTTATTGTAAACGGGCCTTGGTAGAAATATCCCAGGCATCTAGCGACACAATTCTAAATTATCTTCTTCTTCTGCTATGCATGAGGCAGATTGTATAGTAATGTCATAATCATGCATGAATCATACAAAAATATGACCAGAACAAAAACATCTTAAGAGATCAACAGAGGAATAAACAAGAGACCCTCTGTATGGATATAAATTGGAACAAAATCCATACATAACACACCACAAAAAAAAAAACATGAACTTGTCTACTTGCAATACGTTGTTATAGTTACTTGTCCAGCAAGTGGTAATGTCATGCCTAAGTAAATCCGACTAGTTACGCTTACTAATCACTTCCAAACACATCGCTGGGGTGAACAAGGATAACGTGGTAATTCTTCCTGGATTTCAAAAGCTTAACAACCTGGACGAAGTCATCGGAGGTGTCTCCCAAGATTAGCAGCAAAGTTGATGGTTCAGGATGTTCAGCTGACCAGGACACGATGTCTTCAAGCATCTTCGTATGTCTCGCGTATGTGTGTCCTGAAACAAACAAACAACAGAGATCTGATCTATAAAATATACATTTACACAAAAACTATTTTTTAAAAGACAAAAAAAAAAAAACGGAAGCGATGGAGCTTTTACCTGCGGGAAAGTGATTGAGCTTAATGCCCTCGGAAGGAAAGTCAAGACCAGTCATATCACCATACGCACTCATCGAGACCGTACCATGATGACCAGCATCCGAAATGACTGATCTAACCCTCTGCACAACCTCACCGGCATTGAGTTCATCAGGGATCTCGCACTGTTCTATGTCCCAAAATATGCCAGTCTCAGCTGCTGCGGAGGTTTTTTTTTTTGCAAATATGAAAAATATTACGAAACGGACAACAACAAAAGGAACTCAGATCCTATTCGAGAACGATTCTAATACAGATCTAGACCACTTATGGAGAAAAGACGCAAATCAAAACATCAGAGCTTAGTGTCCCAGGAGATGTTACCTGCATACTCGCCAGGAAAAATGTCCGACATGGCAGGATTGATCGAGAGAACAAAGAGACTATTTTTGGTCGGTGAGAGGGTTTTAGCTTTGACGCGGAGCTTTTAGGGTTTTGGTGGTCTGTGCTAATTTCGGTGCGACCCCTTGCTAAAACAAATATACAAACAAGCAGCAGTGGGCAACTTAGTAACTTCGCAACTCAAGACTTACCCAGGTTCATTGTAATCCATAGAGAACAAGAGGTGGTGTTAACAAGCCACCTAAACTGGACTTCTCTATGGGCCTTGATTACAGCCAGCGACTTGTCCATTTGGCTTTGATATTAATTCGTTACGCTCTGTAATGTTAATGTATATACACAAAAACAGACCATAAGATATTCAAATACCATTCTTGTTGCTAGTTAACGATCGAAACAGAATCTCCAGTGGCAGGACCATAGAAGAGAGAGAGCTTAGAGATCCCAAGCTAAACCCTAAACCCTAATAATTTAAAAATGAACTTAATATCAACTTACAATGCTCCAAATGAAACTTTGGTTTAAATCAGATTACAAAACATTTATTAACTGTGTCAAAAATCGAACATCCCACCGGCTAAATCTGTAAATGCCTATACAAATTTGCTTTTATAGAGAAGAGAACCTGCAATTGGGTGTGTGATTGAGAATTTTGTTTACCTTTCTTTCCTCACAAGTCACAAAGCAAGATGATAGATGTGGCTGAACTGGACTAAATAACGTAAAAAAATATGTATTCTAGGACATTGAGAACAAATCAATTGATCGTTCTCAAAATCCGAAAACAAAATCATACGTTTTCATGTTACTTAGTCTAGATCAGACATCTTTTTAAGTCTAAAACCTCCACGAAAAGGAAAGAGTAGATAGAGGAGAGACAAGACAGAGGAAAAGGGAATATTTAGGTTGAGAGGCGGCTAACACTTCAGAGTTCAGAGAATGAAGGACATCTGCTTTAACCTAAAAATATGGACTAGTATCGTTGACACCTCACGTTACTTTACGCCGGCGAGAATATACCCCCTACTGGGCCTATTTTATTTTATACCAGGTCCAGCCCCGCAAGATATATGAACTTAAAAGGACTTAATCATAAATTTACCTCATCTGGGCCTGTTTAACTTTCTACCAGGTCCAGCCCAGCAAGATATATGAACTAAAATGGACTTAATCAAGAATTTACCCCATCTGGGCCTATTTAACTTTCTACCAGGTCCAGCCCAATTAGATATATGAACTAAAAAGGACTTAATCAAGCATCTAAAAAGGACTTAATCAAGAATTTACCACAAACGGGCCTATTTAACTTTCTACCAGGTCCAGCCCAATTAGATATATGAACATGCTTCATCACCGAAGTGGGTAATTTAACTTTGGAAACTGAAACCTTTTGAAGTTTTTATATCAATCTGATCTGGAATACAATTCGGTTTAACCTTAGAATTATAGATAACGATAACCAAAACTTAAAAGTCAAATTAATATATACATCATATATTAAAATGTGTAAGAAAACGACATCACATCTCTCCAACTCTCAGTCTTGCTTTGCGTTTAAGTTAGTTTAGCTATGCATATAATTTTCAACCAACAAATTCATATATATAATATATATATATATACCTATCAAATCGAGACATGAACATATATCAAACAGTTGCAAAATAGAGCTTCAAATCTGATTCACTAGCTCTTTCTACAGTAGTACATCATCAAATAATGGACTCGAGATGTTATGGCTTCTTCTTTGCTTTGTTATCTTTTACTGTGATTGCTCTTGCGTACGATCCTGACACGCTTCAAGATCTATGCGTTGCAGATAGTACTTCAGGTAACATATACCTTGTGTTTACTTTGAATGACATAATACGAAGTAAATGTAAATGTACAAATGTCATTTATTTATTTTGAATCATCAATCATGTAGGCATAAAAGTGAACGGTTTCACATGTAAGCCGGAATCAAACATCACCGCCTCAGATTTTTTCTACGCCGGAATCGGAAAACCCGCCGTGGTTAGCAACACAGTCGGATCCGCCGTCACGGGAGCAAACGTAGAGAAGATCGCAGGGCTTAACACGCTCGGAGTCTCACTCGCGCGTATCGACTATGCGCCTGGAGGTTTAAACCCGCCGCACACGCACCCACGCGCCACCGAAGTGATCTTTGTATTGGAAGGCGAGCTCGACGTCGGGTTCATAACGACGGCGAACAAGCTATTCGCTAAGACGGTGAAGAAAGGAGAAGTTTTCGTATTCCCGAGAGGATTGGTTCATTACCAGAAGAACAACGACAAAGCGAAACCGGCATCGGTGATCTCGGCGTTCAACAGTCAATTACCGGGTACACAATCGATCGCCGCCACGCTCTTCACGGCCACTCCGGCGATACCGGATCACGTTTTAACGACGGCGTTTCAGATCGGGACCAAGGAAATCGAAAAGATCAAAACTAAGTTCGCTCCAAAGAAAGTCTAAAATTTTTAAGTTGCACTTTCGTTATAAATTTTTATTTTATTAATTGGTTATAATAAAAGGAAAAAGAAGAAGATTATTATTCATTAGAGAAACCTAGCTGAATCAGCTGGAGGGTTTTAAGCAATCCATAGCGCAAACCTATAAACAGAGAGATCTCTCTACAAAGCAAACACGGGGATATGGAGAGAAAGCTGTACAATTTTTTTATACACTAAAAAGCTCTGTATAAACCAAACAACATAACTTTGCCTACCGATTTATATATAAGATATATTGACACTGAAACCCAAAAGCACACTTTTATTTATCTATCCTGAGGTTATGACAGAGATGTCCAAGTTCCGGCCGTGACTTCATCCAATCTAAGAATTTCATTTCTTCCGGCGACGTGCAATAGAGGTATGATCTGAATGTTATCAAGTAAAAGTAGCGCCTGTTCATACAAACAACAATCAAATTATTTGTTTGGATATGGAAAGAAATGGAAACTCAAGGTTTGTTTGGTTTGGTTTGGATTGGATTTTAAGTAACTAACCTCAAGGCTTTAACACCCATGTCCATGATGTGTGAACGGTTTTCATCTTTTGTAATAGGAAGCTTGTTCAGTTCTTTACTGTAGTATACAATATCTTCTCTCAAATGTCCTGCACCAGCACACCTATAGAATCCCAAAACAAGAGGACAAAATCATGAGCTATGTAGTTAAAAGTGAAAGAAAATTGTCGCAAGAGATTAATTGATTCTATAGATACATACAGTTCGACTATTCCATCTACGTCTGATTTGCTTTGAGGACCATGAGAAAGCACTCTTATGAGACTCAGTATATCACGATAATCTCCCATACTCAATGCTTCTTCATCACAAGCCCGTGAAGGCAAATCATCTTCTTCTAAGGTAGAAGAATTTGTTGTTAGTGTTGGTGTTGCGGTGAAGTTCTGACCAGGTTGAAGTAGGAGACAAGTTATGGCCATTGCATAAGAAACACCTCCAAAACCGGTGTGCGATACAAACAAGTAACTCCCAGCGGAACTGTGTTGAAAACATCACCACAAGTTAAAACGGAACAGATTTGGTATATATATAAAATCTGCAGACAATTGATACTTACTCGTCTTTACAATACTGGATTGCGTCTACATCGGAAGCTAATGCGTCTTTTTCTCTGGTTAAAGGTATTCTCCGGTAAGATATGTTGAAATTTTCATCTTTTAGAGCAGCATATACTTCTGCAGGTGTCTTCACATTATCTGGTTGAATATTTTCCCAATATCCAATAACCCGAGATTGATTTGATGCCGGGCTGTATTCTTCACGATGCAATAGCATTCGGCCTCCAGTCTCTCGAACTTCAGACAATATATCTTCTTTTAATCGTGTTTCTATGCTTTCCACCTGCATTGAGGATACAAATTAATAAAACTGTTTTTGCTATTTGCATAATTATTAGCTCTGATTGAAACATACCACTGCACCCGTTATTCCAACATGCTTAAGGGTATCAACAGGTTTACTCAATTCTCTCAAGACAAATGGAGTTCCATTGATGTAAACAACTGCTTCTTCTCTCAAGTCTGTTACTACTATCCTTTCTGAAACCCCACCTTCTTCCTTTAGTTTGGTGCCTAAATAGGCAAGCATCTTTTTAGCGCCTGAAATTGTGGGAGTTGCCATGCTATACACAGGATATCTATCAACCTGAAATGAACGTTATGTCATGGTTAAGTATGATCATTTCCAGGTTACGAGTAATCAGGAAACCATGGGTACAAAAATCACATTTCCTTGAAGCCTACCTTGTATACATGAGGTGCACCGTTAATTTGCAAACGACTTGAAGTTCTTTGGCCAGGAAAAAAGTACATTTTAAGAATAGAACCTTTTCCCAAGACAGAACCACTCCGTTCGTTGACAATTGACTCCATGACTGCATCCCCATGTTGTGATTCATGTTGTGCCCGCAGTTCCTCCTACGTGAATATATCCAAAGTTATAACAAGCAAAATAAAGAATATTATACAATCTCCCAATGCTCAAAATGGGAAACTTGACTCACAGGAATGGTGAAAAATCGTCCAGGTCTTAGCCTTATGCTCCACTTCATTGCTTGCACCTCAGGCCTCTGATGCAACCAATTCTTGAACGTCACCTTAGATTCTCCTTCCACAAAGAATCCATCAAAAGCTTTGCTTCCTAAATAGGCTGCAAAGGCAATCAAACGGAAGTATCTCTCCAAGTATTCAGCGCCACGTTTCAAAGCAGCACTCCTTACTCGTGGCTCAACATGTTGTTGGTTGAAAACCTTCCTGTACTGCAGAACAGCTTCACGAATATTTTGCAATGCAGAACATCTATCAATCACAGCATCTAACGCCTCACGGGATTCAACTCCATTATCGAATAACCTAGTGATTTTCCACAGCAAAAGGATGTCATCCATTCCAAATGCACGACCTTGTTCCTCCTCCTCCGTTCTCCGTCCTGAATTACGAGGTCTTGCTTCAGCGTTATTACTTCCACTTTCTTCACCACCACTTGAGGAATCTTCATCCACAATTTCATGGGTCAGAACATCATAAAGAACCTTGATAGGTCTCCCATAATTTATGCGGAGCTTCACTAGACAGGCAATAACAGTTCCAGTGGTTGTTCTACCTCTCCCCATCTGTGAATGTCGAATGAAAAAGGAAATGCTGTAAGTTGAACAGATAAGCTAAAGAGGATTACCAAATATATCGAAATACACAAGAAGATTGGGACACAGAAGAAAACTCAACCTGGCAATTGAAGACAAAAGCAGTGTCTTTGGAAGCAGAAGTAATATTAGATGTCAATGTGTCAAAGTCTGAGCTTTTGGGTGCTTTACCATCAGTTATAGGTACACGTGCGTACTTAATAGGAAAACCATCAGCCTCTAAACATTTGTAGACCTCAAGGGGTGTCTGAACAGAATCAGCATCCACATTTTCCCATAAGTCAAAAATCTGTCCATCTTTGGTTTCATGAATGACCATTATTGCACCGTCGTATCGCTTCGCTTCTCTTAGAATATCCTCTTTTAGACGAGCCTCCATTCCTTCAACTCTATCTCGATCAATTCCCTACATAGACGTAATTATGTAAGCTTTCCAAACAATCCATAGGAGTTGAAGGGAAATTGAGGCTCATCACTCAAAAGGTATGCATCTAATTGAGAAAATATACTTAAAACATACAGATTATTACCGTATATTCAAGCATGTTCTTATATGGTCTTTCAACTTCACGTAGAACAAATGGTTTCCCGTTG